TAAAGGATGTAGCCATCAGAGAGACTGGGGATCTGGCTGTCGAGACAGGAGGTGACCCATGTATTGCTGTCTTGAAGGCGGTCTTGCTGCGAGATGGAGCAAGAAGGGAGGTGTGCTGTCATTCTTGCCTGTGCTCTTCACCTTTTGGGTGAATGTAGGCTGGGTGTTGCCATCTTGCCTACACCGCCGGCCACAGCCCCCCGTCTCGCCCAGCAGGAGCCCCCCAGGTGCTGACATCCCCTCGCCCGGGGCCCAGCGTGCCTTCTCACAGCCACGGATGTTTTAGCCACCATGTTGGCTAGCTCCCATCGGAGCAAGATCAAATGACATGGCAGTTGGGATGTCAGCAGCTGGGCCATGCTAGTATTCCCCACTGTTGTTACCATGGATAACAACTGATGTGTCTGCAAGAGCCCTGGTGGGAGGCTTAAAGAACAATACCAGGGTACTCAAGCTTGTCGCCCATACCAAAGCTACTTTCTCTCCTGATACAGTGTCATGGTTGTGAGCCAGGCAGTCTGTGACCAATAGGTTGGATTGATGTTTGTCATGATGACATGATGTGCTCTGACACCTCACGTGCTGAGACTTGCTGTCTCCTTCCTCCAGGTCGCTGGGAAGGATCCTTGTATTTATATACGACTGTGCTGAACTGATCTAAGGAAAATAATACTTCTATTTTTTTCCTTTAGGGTTTACTGCTAATTTACAGTGATGGATGACGTTGCTATTAAAATATGGTGTGGATGCTAATTTATTGCTCTAGGGATGCACTTCTGGCCTCATAAATAGAGACACAATGTTCTGACCATGCAGCAGCCTTGAAGTGTGCGATGTTCGGATCTGTACCGTTCTGTTCTTTCTGCCTTCCCCACCCCCCACCTCAGTTCTGTAATTGTTTCTTCTTTCTTGTGATACATTAATTATGCTTCTTTCACACTGGCATGTGGAAGAATTTCTGCTGCCTTTTGTCCCAACACAGCCTTTGGCATTTTCTTCCTTTTCTATTCTGCCTTCTCTGTACCTCCATCCTTTTAGTCTGCTCTGTTTGAGCTTCTCTTTCATATTTTGTCCTTGGCTATTTTTTCTTTCCATCCCCTTGCGCTGTTCAAGATGCTGCATCTTGGCCTGCCATGTTCCTGTTGCTCTTATTTTAAGTTTTACTTGGGGTCCAGATTTCAGGTCTTTCTGCCTCCTAACGTTCTTTTTCATGATGCTCTAGGTAGAGTATTCGGTTAATGGACATATCCTGTGCATTTTAACCTACTGAATGTATTTTGTTTACCAAAGCTGCACCCCTGACTAGTTCTTACGGCATTACCAAATGTCTTTGTCACTACATAACTTCAAGATTCCCTCACCTGCAATTTTTGACAAGTGGTGATGGACTCTGACAAGGATTATATTGATGTGCGTACATCACTACCAGGCAAACCTTCAAACCCCAGCTGTTCCTGTTGTTGCTTCTGCCCTCATTGGCTGACAGGCAAGAACCAGAATGTCTCGGGAAGGAGTCAAGTCACAAGTCATAATGAATCTCAATTTACCAAGAACAGCAGCAAAACACTACGAATGAGGGAACAGACTGATCAGAACAGAAGAGGCACTGGTCTAAACATGAATCTGTGGCCACCCCACAGCTCTTTGGCAGGTTGTATGAACATCAGGTAAAATGGTGGCAATCTGGGAAATTGTCTCGAGAAGCCTCCCTTTTTTGTGAAGACATGCATCTCATATCTCATACCAGCGGTATTGACAGTGACTTGCATCATTTGACTCATCACGGCATGCCTGAGGTGTTCTATGTATTCAAAGAAAATTAGTTATTTTTCACCTTAAATAGCAGTAACTGGTGTTTAGTTGTGGTAAGTGATGTCCTGGGAATGCCTGATGCCCACTCTGTGGTTCTCCAGGACAGTGGAGCAACCAAGACCTTCTTTAAAGACTCCTAATGGTTTCACTCTTCATTCAGTCAATGCTTACAAGAGGGCTAGGGAATTTAGTTAGGTCTGTGTAGATCTTGGAGAGATACCCAGCAAGGTATACTGGAATAACTTTTTTCTTTTTTTCTTTTTTTAATTTTTTTTTTCATGTGATGACCCTATGACAATGGCTAAGTACTTCTGCAGAGTGACATCACTTTTTTTTTTAGCATATCTCCGGGTGCATGGAAACTCAGAAAATTGTGTAATTCTCACACTTCTGTATCTTGAAAGCTGGCAAAGTTTTGCTCTGGGGCTTTCCTTCAGAAAGTTCTTTGTGTTCTGGGAGGCTGTGCTGTAATTGTCAGTGTTCTGGGAAACAGAAGTGAGAGGTGAGGTTAAAACCATTGGCCTAAAGCTGTTGTTAATATTTAGGCTTTATAAATCAGTTTTCTGTTTTGGTATTTTGCCTGATACAATTGTGTCACAATGCTGATTAATAGAAATAAATAGATTAAAGGTATCTGACAGCAAACCATAGCAGCCACAGTAAACCGTGCATCTTGCTATGAATTGTTCTTTGTTGGGTACTGTGAAATGTGGTCTGTTTTCTTTGCAAATATGCCTGGCTTCATATTCTTTTTTTTTCCCCAGCAAGAGAAAGTAGTGTCACAAAATATATTTACGAAGTAATTCCTTTCTTAATCTAACCTAATCTAGATTAGTTTTTATAGGGGCCTTCACGACAGTTTAAAAAAAAAAAAAAGTGTCTATCTTTAAATAATCTGGTAAATTGACCTGCAAATCTGGGACTACATCTGAGATAGTAGGCAGAAAGAACGAGGTGTGGGATGAGGAGGGGAAAGCAGGTCTTGGACTGCTAAATTAAACTTCTGTAACCTGGAGTGAAACACATGATGACCAAATGTTACTACCCCAGTGGTTTCGGGCGTGTGTAGGAAGCTAGTTATGGCTGGTCTCACAGAGACAGGGATAACCTTCTGCAAAGCAAAGTTCGTGTGCCACAGGCCGGTGTGGTGGCCTGAAAGGCTCTGATCTGCCTCCTAGCTATACTGAAGCAATCTGAGTCCACATGACAAAACTTCTGTTTTCAGTTTGGGGGGGGGGGAAAGTAGTGATTGATTTTAATTATCCATTAACATCACCTTAAAATAAATTTGTGAAGTAAAACACTTAAAAGTGAGGAAATATAATTAAGTTGCTTATGCATCCTTAGTTTATTACTTTTGCATATGCATTATGACAGTGTCCCTAATTGCATTTTTACCTGCTGTTTTCCCATAGACCCCAGCCCTGTTCAGTCACATGACAGGCTTGCTCCCTGTGATGAAGCAGGGTAATATCACAAGGGAGAATTTTGTCTGTAGGAGCTTCACTTGCTGCAGAAATTGGAAGGCTACAGTCAGTACAGCAGGAAACCGGAGAAAGGACGATCATGATGAGGGCAGTTGGGTGCTGGAAGACTGGGTTTCTTGTCATGCAATTCAAGCAAACAGTATTCTTTGCTTGATGATTGTTTGAGTGTTCCTCATTTTATGGATAACTGACTTGAAATTGTCAAACCTCATTTGTTGTGTGACTGGGCACTCACAAATGCTTTTGTTTACTGGATGTGAAAGTCCAGTACATACTGCTATCTATACTGGCAAAATGACTCAGTATCTCAAGCTGAGCCTCCAACAGCAGTTGCAGACACTTCGCTCTTGGTGTCTGTCCTTCCGTCTTTTTCTGTAATATGGATACAGTGTCACCCCTTCTCATTCAACTTGTCAATGATACAGAAAAAAATCAGAATGCTCATGAAATGTTCAGATACAGTAGCAGTGGGAGGCATAGCGATGTCTCTCGGGAAGTTAGTGCCCTTCTGTTCAATAGAGGACTAAGCGGTATTCATTCTTTAATAAAGAGAAACAATGAGAATAAAACAAAGTATTGACTAATTGCTCATTTAGGAAGCATGATTTATCTTCCACACTGAAGGAGCCCTGTAGGGGAACAAGGTATATCTTGGTCTAGTGAAAGACTGTCATAATCCATATGCTTAAGGGCTGAAGTCATTGAGAAGCATCTCCCCTTTTAACTGCCTATTACACAGTCTTGGTGCATTTTTAACATGATTAAGAGTTCCCAGCCAGCTCTGCTTTCATTGAGGCTGTGTCTGCACAGTGATGCTATGAACAACTGCTGAGCCGTCTAGCTGGAAGCGCAGTTGAGCTGGTGCAGCCCTCTGCCACAGCTGATGCATTCTGTTTCTCAGCCGAGTTGATTAGTCTGAGCAGAGCAAAAAATAGTTGACTGTGCTCAGGTGTCTCTGCATGAGACTGTCTTGTACCATATAAGGCAATGGAAGGTATTGCAGCTATTGTGGGTAATCCCTTTTTTCCAGTGCTGAACAGGGATCTCTATTAGAAAATAAACCTGCTATTTGTAAAACAACAAAAAAATGGTTTCAGTAAAGGTGTAGAGCTCCTACTGCTCTTTGAAATCCCGTCACCTGCTTGATCAGACTTCCTAAGACACATGAATAAACAGCACAGATCTTTTCATATCTTCAGTTCATTGCATAAAGTAAATGTATGGCCTAAAGTAAATCACATAAGCTTTCTCTGTCTTAGCTGATATCTCTGCTTTGGCTGTAGAAATATTTATCCATCTTACATGAACCTCCTGTGATCCAGTGACTCATTCATTATAAATGAATCTTGAGATGCTTGGAGACACAGAAGTGCATTGGGTTTTTTTTGTTTGGTTGGGTTTTTTGTTGTGGCTTTACTGTTTGTTTTTTTTTTTTTTTTTTTTTTTTTAATTTGCTAACACTAACTTGGTCTAATACAGATGCAGGCATTCATTTCTGTGCTTTCCCCTTGGCACTCTTGCACTGGAATGTTCAATTTATTAAGTCAAAATAGAAGGAATGGAGAGACTTTTCTGGTTCTTACAGTTTAATTTATAAATTAAAAAAGAAATCAGAAATGGTAGGAACAGATGTGATTCTGTCAAAGTCTGCAAAAAACCTGAATTAAAGTTTCCGTGTTTGTTTTTTTGTCTTTTATGTAGTTGCTTCCAAAATCCGTTACCTTCAGGAATACCACAACCGTGTTCTCCACAACATTTACCCTGTGCCCTCTGGAACTGACATTGCAAATACTCTGAAATACTTTTCTCAGACATTATTGAGGTAAGTTTTAACTAATGCTCTTGAAGAGAAAAGAGCTAAAGAATTGTAGGGGGTATTGATTAACTTTGAATTGGTTGCAAGATTTAATGGGTCAATGCTTAGCCAAAAAGAGTCAGAGCATAATTTAAGAAAAGAATGGTATGGATTAATCTCTTCAGTGGCTGTTGCCCAATTTGCCCAGTTGAGCTGCTTATTGAGTGGCTGATTCTAAAATAAACTTGGTTGATTACACATTTGCTTGGCACTCCTGAGACTTAGCTGAATGCACAAACATGCTGAACTTGTGAAGAAAGGAGTTCGTGACCTACAGAGTTTTAGACGTGTATCCTCATGACCTCCTTGACAGTCTTGGTGCCTCAGGATCCTAGAGTGATGAGCCAGACGAGGAGAGCTAGGTTTTTACTGTGCCATAGTTCAGCTGGCTGTCATATTTGGGTTCTGGTTCAGTCCCTTATAACAATATGAATAGACACAAAGCTTGGGTAGACATCTGGATTTGGATGGCAACAACAGGTCAGGGTTGTTCTGACCCAGGGTTTTGATTTAGTCCAATATTTAGTAATAATATGTAGTACTAAATACCATATGATTACAGAATACATTTTGAATAGGGAATACTACCTTGTCTTGCTAAAAAGATATGAAAAATTGTGAGACTTAATTAGGAATGACATTCATTCCACAGTGCTACCTAGTGGATTCGTATTTTCAAATTGTTTTTAAAATGGCTTTTGACACTGAAGAGGTGATTTTTGTCTGTCCAGGTTTTGGCTGGCACTAGTTTTCACATCCAGAAAAATGCTCTTAAATCTGCATTTCTATGCGTAGCTTCCTGTATTATACCTGGAAAGATTGTCCCTGCTGTCAGAAGCTAGTTTGGAAATACAGCTCGTTGTCATAGTTGATGAGGAAACATTAACAAAATACAATTAACCCATATATTTGTACACATACCCCTATGACATATACAAGTTGAGAAGCAAGAATCTAAACCTGAAAGAATGACAGTAGTGCATTAGAGTGAACTAGTGCATGGGATGTATCAAAATTCTTGACCCTGTTTATAAGAAGGAAGGATACATAGAAATACTCGTTAGCAGTGGAACACCTGTTCACTGCAAACTTAAACTGTGTACTTTTGAAAATTTCAAGAGTAGATTGTTTAACCACTGTGAAATTTGTTTCCCTCATCATTTAGAGTGTTGAAGAAACTTATGGCAACCAGTAGGGCTTTTTTCTAAGATTAATAAATTAAATTTTGTCTTGTTATATTGCAGCAGTGGGGAAAAAATGTTCAGAGTGTCACTAAAGATACCTCTGAAATGCGGTTCTATTCCCACATCAGGCTGTTTTGATGGATTATTTGCACAACACACACACACACTTAAATCACATTTAAGTAACGTTCTGTATGACAAAACAGCCCCTGCTCAAATGCTGTGGGCCTTCAAGCTTTTAAAGCAAGAAAGTTGGACTTGATTCTGAATGTTTTCTCTCTTAGCTGTAACTACCAAGTGCTATAATGAGATCCGTTTCTTTTTGGGTAGAAGTTTATTGGGACAGGATGGATTTAGAGTCTGCTGCTTAAAGAAAGTGTCTTTATGCCACCCTGTTGTCTTCATCGTTCTGAGCAGTACAGCTCACATGTCCTGTGTGACAAATTCTTCACATACCACGAGCAGTGATGTTTCTGGGATTACTGAAAAAGCTTTATACTTAGCGACTATGGGAGCAGATCAGAAATCAGGGCAGCAATGGCACAATTGAGCAACTCCATTTCTTTATTTCATGTTCACGATGGGACTGAACCAAAATCCTGTTGTTGATACGTAGGTCTACACAAATGGCTTTGTCATTCATGATCTGGGATCTGATCAGCCTCAGAGCTAAAAGGGCACCAGAAATTGAAGCCAGGACTAAATTTAAGTGGACTAAATTCTGACACTCAGCAAGGTCAAATCCACATTCTAAATCCCTGTAACTGGGGAATTTGAACTGTGGGTCAATGTCGGAGTGCTATGGTTGAACCAGTATGAGTTAATACACTGATACTAAGAAAGAAGCTGGATAAAAAAGCAAAACAAAATGCACCCTGTATTTAGTGTGGCAGATGGAAAGAAGGAAACTCCCACCCACTGTGTGCAGATCTCTACAAGATTTACCCTAAAACTAAACAGACTGGTTAAGAACCTTTCTGAAGAGCATGTTCAGAAATTTCTTTGAATATTCTGCATGCCGTGTCTTCTTTCTGCCTCCTACACTGAGACTCCATTGTGCAAGGTTTAACATCAATGATTGAAGTACATGGAGGAGAATAATCTTTGTAGCTTGAGACAGAGTATACGCAATGAGTTTGGGCTGCTAAGAGAATACTGATCAAACAGTAGCAAAAATGCCCATTGATTTCTGGAGATTTTGGATCTGTTCTTCAGAATAGGTTGCTTTTGTTCATCTACTATTTTAAAATAACTTTAAAAAATACTTCCCAGTTTGATGTGTACTCTCCTTGCAGCTGAATTTTTTAGGACAAACATTTCTTGATGAACATATGTAGTCATAGGAGTAATGGAAGAATAGTGATTAGTCAGAGAAATTCCATATGATGATGGGATTTTACAGGTGTAGCTCTTACTGTTTATTATACTTTTTACCATTCCACATTATGGACACGTTGACTGTGTTCTTTTCAGTGGGGCATGCCCACTGTTTTGGATCACATTCATACCTGGTGTCAATCTGCTAGCTATAGTTGGATTGCACAAGGGATTAGTTTGCTCCCTTGCTCTGTATGTAGCCTCAATAAATCACAAGCTCAAGGGTGGGGGGAACAGATTCGGAATGGCTGAAAAAAAAAAAATTCCTTATTTCTATGAACAAACATCACATAAAATCACCATACACAATGCATAGCACATTGATTCATTTAGTTCTTCTTTAATTTTCTCTTTGGGCAAAAGCATTTCTTTACATTACAGCATGAATTTGTTTCATGCCCAGCTCATTTTCAGTGTTTTCTCCCTCATTTGAGGAATGATCTAAGACTGAATAAACATGTTGCAGAACAGCTCATTCTTTCACATTTTCTTGGAGAAAATTCTCCATATGTATTTCTAAGTAAAATGTTTTACGTAAGGAATAGTTAGAAATGCCCAGTGGCTAATTAATGGTTAAGCTTGTTTTGCTGCCTTGGTGAGATGCAAATCCCTTGTAGGCATTTTAGGAAACCTTTCCTGGAAGGCAGTAATTTGGGGATGGATTTGCAGCAAAGATGTACAAATCTTGAAACAAGCCCTGGTAGCTTTGTCACTTGTCACAGAGCAAGTTCAGTATGGAGTTATGATCTGCAGATGCTCCGAGTTCTCAGTACTTGGTTTGAACAGAAACGGGAGCAAACTCCAATCGTTGTATCTTGGTCTTAGGGGACTTCCTAGATTTTCAGTTTTGACTCTTCTGTTTATTGCTTTTAAAATATATGGGTCAGGCAAAAGCCTGGGTCTGAAAGTTTTTTGTTTGTTTTTTTTTTTCTTTCTAAATTTGGCATGGTTGTAGCTGGAATTTATATATGGTTTCATTGCTGTTCCTGAAGTGAACAGAAGGATGCCCTGATCAAGATACAAGATGGTGTGCTTTGGCCTCTGATCCATAGATGGGCCATAGCTCTGTGTTAAAAGTAAGGGAAGCCTGTAGAGTAAGCTCTCCATCACTGCCTTACACTTTCTAAAGCAAGGATTAATTAATACAGTAATATCCTTTCTGGAAATAAGTGCGCTTGAAGTACTGTGTTGGCAAGTAAAGGGGTGGGTAATTGGTATCATCTGTTGGTAGGCAGGGAAGAAATAGTTTAGTACCTTCATATCTCTAAACATGAGCTGCAAAGTACGGCAAATGAACATCAAGCAAATTAAAAGGAATCAGCACTCTGATAATTTGTTTTTAAAGTCATACTAGATCTTAGGTGATTTTCTGATATGATTTCATAAACACTGTCATGACAGTAACCATGTTTCTTGTACTGGACATTGGGTAACAGAAACCAAAATAATCTACCAAATACGCAAGGCACAATAAAAAAGGAAAAAAAAAAAAGTATGCAGTTTCTTAAAACAGACGATGTCTGTCATCTCTGACTGCAAGTGTGATGTGATAGTAGCCACTTGGCATAGAACTGTACTCGTAAAAGTGTTTTATATATATGGCAAATGAATGACACCTTCTCTTATAAGCACCTTAGCAAGAGTTTAGCTTACTTGTGTAAACTGTTGAATTGACTTGAGGTAAGATACATCTTTGCTAAGGTGATTATATGATAGGGATTTCTGTACTGTTAAAGAGGACTGAGGTTTCCAGAAGTGCTCCCTCTTGACATAACTCTGCTCTTCGTTAGTCAGTGGAAATTTTAATGCCACTGACTTGTCTTTTATAAGTTTTAACACTGACTTTGGGAACAGAGTTAAACCAACAGCAACTGCTTTTGGAAATCCCAACCACTGAGAGGTGCAAAACATGCTTTGAAAAAAAAAAAGCATTGTGTGTGGTTTAATATATTTAAAAGGTGTATTATATTTTATAGGCACATATGAAGACTATGAACTAACCCTATAATTGCCTGATAACTAAAATATAACACTGCTTAAGTGACAATTTATTTCTATTTAAAATAGTGGGTTTTATTTTTTTTTAATAAATTAGATTAACATGTTTACAACCATGTTTACAACATTCTTAAAACAACATAGCAAGCTGGTTGACGTATAGCCTCTATTTTGATTCCCACTAAATCCTTTTTATTTTTTGAAATTATCTCTCCTTTAGTTTATAGTGAGTTTTGTTGAATAATAACGTAAGTAACAGCAGGAATGTATGGTAACATACTGTCTGATCTGCAGTTACATAATTGGTCTTGCTTGCTTAGCCCTTAGATTTTTGAAGGTAACTATTTACCCAAGGAGTGTTTGTATTCATAAAGTAAAATGTTTCCTCCCTAAACATGGGCAAAATTAAAAACACACATAAACAACCATTATCATTAGCTCACAAACATATGCTAAAGACCATCTACTATATATTATTTTATAACTTTTCCAAATGTAGTTTAGTTAACATTTTAGAAATATTATATTATTTCTAAATCCATGTGCCTGTTTAAACTTCATTATCTCAAATGATACTGAGTGAGTGGTCATGAAACAGTATCATAAAATACATACAGACATTATTTTAATGCAATAAACATGTGATTTTTAAGACTATCTTAACAAACACACATGTTTATTCTTTGCTAAAACATGTTTCTGCAAGTGCCACACCTATATTTTGCATGTTTTCAGTCACTTGTTTCAAAAGATTATGGGGGGGGGGAATCTCTCAAAATCCTCAAAATCTCAGAGCAAAATACCAGCCTATTTTGACATAGCTATTTTTTCCATAGCAAACACTTTTAATTCTCAGAATTTTTCTTAACTGTGAAACATGGGTAGGGCACTGAAACATGCATTTTTATATTTTTGCTCCTTATGAACCAGATAACACATGAGATGCAATGAAATTTTCCTAGATGTCAATTTTTAATTCTCTTACCTTGAAGCATGAAAGTGAATGGTTGCTAGATTTGTAGACATGCTGGTTTCAGTAGCGATTGCATCTTATGTGGGATGTATCTGGTCTTTTATTATTTGTTTTATAGTGTCATTTCAATGTAATGTGCTGTTCTTTGTGTCTTTGTTGTCTCTTTTTTTTCTTTGTCCCCCCAACAGCATTTTGTCCCGCACAGGGAAGAAGGAGAATCAAGATGCCTCCAATTTGACAGTGCCCATGACCATGTGTCTTTTTCCTGTGCCATTCCCACTCACCCCATCTCTAAGACCACAGGTCAGTTCCATCAACCCTACTGTTACTCGCTCCCTCCTTTACAGCGTCCTGCGAGATGCTCCATCTGAACGTGGCCAGCAAAGTCGTGATGCTCAGTTATCAGACTACCCATCTTTGGACTATCAAGGACTTTACGTGACACTGGTGACACTGCTGGATCTAGTTCCCTTGCTACAACATGGTCAACATGGTAAGCAGGCCCTTGAACCCTTCCAGTACGCTTAACTTCAGTGCTGTGAATGATGCGTAAATGCAGTAGAAGAGATGGGCCTAAACTGACCTGGATCTGGAATTCAAATCTCCTGGGATGTGTTTATATCCAAGTGTTTGGTGTGACTTTTTTAAATAAAAGAATTTTTTTGCTAACTGTGGATTTGGGTTTGAATTCTGAGGTTGTCTGATTTTTAGTGATATGCTGGTGGTATGTAACTAAAATACAATGGTACGTAACAAAAACAATACAGATGGGTCTAAAAAAATCTGGATTTTGAATTTGAATCTGCTGGGATATCTTCAGACTAGTCTTTTTGGGGTGGCTCTCTTAAAAAGGCGCAAATTTCTTGCAAATGTGTATCTGGCGTATAACGAATATGCAGATTGAGTGTTTTGGTGAAGGTCCATCTCTAAATAGACCATAGTATACATTTAATTGAAGAAAAACCCTGGTAAAGGTAATTTGAGATGGCTTTAAAATATTCCTGGGTAAAAAGATAGCAATATCTCTGTCTGACTTACAGAAAATTTTTCCTGTATTTCCTTATGTTTTGAAGTAGTTAATCACAAGATTTTTTTGTGACTGCATTGTATTTATATCGTTTTCCCTCAAGTTCTGCATATGTCTGGCTTGTTAGTCTGTGGCTTTTCAGACTGGGATTCAGGAGCCCAGTGTTCTCCCTATGTTACATAAGCCTAATATTAATTTTCACCATGGTATCAGGGTGTATTACTTACATAGTTCAGTATAGGAAGATTGTTGTCAATCTGATACACTGCTGAAATTCTTCAGGAGGAAAGTTTTTTCTGTTAAATGCTGAATTCCTTTTGAGTCGGGAGCAGCATGTTTTGAATCAAAGACTACTGCACTAGGAAATGGTATGAAATTGCAAAAGGGGGGCTCTGAGCAAATTACAGACTTGTTGACTTAACTTCAGTTTCTAGAAATGGTGACGTTAATTATCAAAACAATCTTTTTCTAAATAGATAAGATGGTGATAATTAACAAGCAATGGAGACCTGTAAAGAACAAATAACATTGAGCAAACATAATTTCTTTTTAAGGCACCACAATGGCTCTCCTGGTGGGGTTTTCCCGTCCTTAGTCAGGCTTTTGTTGCTGTGTCACTTGACATCCTAATAGGCAATCTGAGACATATGGTCTCCACTTGAGTGAGGAAAACACTCCAGGAGTAATTACCAGTGGCTCTTGTCAGCTGGAAGGGTGTACCAAGTGGGAATCTTACAGGAGTCTGTGCTGGGTCTAGTGTTATTAAATATTTTAATTTTTTTACTTGGCTGATAGAAATGAGAGAGGACTTTGATTTGCAGGGGTTATCAAGATGGCAAATAACATGTCCTTTGTGAGAAAGATATCCAATTCAAAACAATCTTGGCAAATTGCATTCTGTTTTGAAACATCTTCAAAAGAGAAATGTAAAATACTATGTTTAAGCAGGAGAAATCAAAGGCAGAAATGAAATGGGGGGAATACTACCTTGAAAGCAGTACTGCGGAAAGATCTGGGTGTTACAGTAGATCAGAGGCAGACCATAAGTCACTAATACACTAATTTTATTCCAGCAATATGTAAACAGGTATTTTGTGTATGAGACACCCAAAGCATTTTATTTGTCATTCTAACTGCCCTACCAAGGCCTCAGCTGGAGAAAAAAATTCAGATTTGTCAATCTGGCTTCAAGAAAGACATGGAGCATTTGAGAGGAATCCAGGAAAAAAAAACAAGAATGATTTGAGGTCTAGAAAATGTGAACAGTGAGGAAAAATGGAAAGAACTTGGTTTGTCTAGCTTAGATAAAAATGGAAGGGAGACATGATTATCATACAGAAATATGTAAAGGTTGCTGTGAGGAGAAAGAAACTAAACCAAACCATTTGTGGTTACAGTTGATCAGGGTAAGAAATTACAAGCTTAAACTGCAGCAATGGAAATTAAAAAAAAAAAAAGGCCTTTTTATGATAAAGATGGTTAAGCACTAGGATGAATTGCCAGGAGGAATGAACTGTCTTGTAGATTTTTAAGAACAGTTTAGATAAATATCTGCCAGGAATAATTTGGTTGACTCATGGTTGGGGCAAGGGGAGGTCACTTGCTATTTTTTATGGTTCTGTGTATGGAGAATTAAATTTTACAATAAAACTTGCTATTTATTTCTCCCTCAGCTTAGCATTTGACTAAAAGAAATATTTTTTTTTTATCAGAACAATCAATGTTGTTTGGGTAAGTACAACTGGTGCGCTAGGCAGTCCTGAGCTTTGGTCCAATCAAATTACACAAAACTCTCAATGCTTAGCTGGTAAATATGTATTGTGAGAGAGAAACGCTCTCTAGCATTAAGGGTCTGGTTAGACCCTTGCAAGAAGACTTGCCAGAACCACTGAAGTGGAGTACTAATTTTAATTCTTACTATGACTCATGATGTGTACAGCTAGAGATCTCTGAGCACTTTACAGAGGCAGTTTTAAATCATACTGGTTGTACAGATGAGACTGGAGGCCTGTGTAACATACTTAAGGTTACAGAGTGAGTAACAAAAGGAATCCCTCTCATGCAGGGGAAAGGCCTTCTGTTGTACTGGGATCATCATACAGGTTCAAACCTGGGGTTCATTGAGTGCTGTAACTTTTCTTGGAGGGTTATTGGCCCCAACTCAATTCCTCATTTGGAAGAGGGTATAGAGATTCCCAGATACAGTGCCCAGATACACAATAACCTGTCTCTTCCCTTTGGATCTTGAAATGTTGCACATTTCTTAAGTATCCCTTCCAAAGAGTTATAGTATAATTAATTAGAATAAGTATCGAAATTCTTGATAAATATTCCTTTCCTTTTAAGCCTTGGCCATTTTTGGCCTCAATGACTTCTCAGGAAAACAAGATCCATAGTTTAATCACATGTTGTTTGAAAAATACAGTGATGTGTCCTGTAGTCTCTATGTGGGGGGTACTTTGCAGCTTTCTTGAGGGTAATTAAGATCAAAATCTTATTTTTCTATGACTGATAAAGACTAGAATGCTTTTTGTGAAAGCAGGCCTTTCAATACCAAAGTGCATATCAAATTCTGATTCTAATAACATCTCTGCTTAAATGCAGACCATTGTATGTTAATCACTGTATGATTAAAATCAACATTGTTTTTAATAAGTTATTTTACTGGCTGTAGTATACATATTCCCTTAAAGCTCTTCTGAGTACTGTTGAACAGCTGTTTCACTCTATTTTAGGAGGGGCTTCAAAATGATGGGTGAAGTTTCTTGTCTATAGTGATTAACTTCCCAAATTACTTTGAAGGGAAAACTTGAATTTAAATGTAATTTTCTTTTATAGTTTTGTAAACTAAAAAGTAAATAGTCATATTTATTTTTCCATTGTAATGATTCTGTATTTATTTCATTTTATTCAACAGATCTTGGGCAATCAATTTTTTACACTACTACATGCTTACTTCCTTTTCTCAATGATGATATTTTGAGCACTTTACCCTATACAATGATTTCAACACTAGCTACCTTTCCTCCATTTCTGCACAAGGATATTATAGAGTATCTCAGCACATCTTTTCTGCCTATGGCTATATGTAAGTAGAAATCATTCTAGTATTGTTATGTCTCAGAAAACATGGTGCACTGCTATAATAGTACCAGACTGTAGGAGTCAAAGTTCGATCTGTCATAGAATTGTAATGGGACATCAATCTACTGTATGTACATATGTAAAATAATTCTATGTGAGTGTTTTTCAAAGGGAAACAATTCTGTAATTTTTATTTATTTATTATGCTGTGTTACTGTGTGAATTCTTCAAGTTTAGCTTGTGGAAGAAATACACTGTTTTCAGACTCCTAGAACTTTCAGTGCCAGCCGTGGGAGTTTTGAATACAGAATCAATGGGCAAACTGCTCCTGAAACGATAGATGCAATAGCAACATGCGTAATTTTTGCATCTGGACTATATCTGGATGTGCAAGAATGACTCTTCTCAATGTAATGATGTTGTGATGTATTTCTGATTTTTCCCCCTCCCTCTCTTCTTGGCATTTTCTCTTTAAATTTTGTACTAAATAGCTGTGCCTGTAATGTCTCCTATCCATAAGTGTTAAGAGTGAATCTGACAGTGCCTGCCTTTTTTTCTCTTTTCTTCCCCTTCCCAAGGCTGTCACATGATTACATAATTTCATAATCCCTGCACAATGTGAATCCTGAGGTGTGTTCTGAATGCTCATCTATGTACCTGATAAAAAGCTTGATGGGATTTCAGTAGTAGCGAGAAATTTAACCATGGTCTGCAGGTGGAAGCATTAGGATCAATATTAAAAGTAATTTTTAACCAACAAGCCTTTTACTGTGTGGGTGATCAAACATTGGAACAGTTTGCCAGAGATGTTGCAGATTCTCCATCCTAGCAGATGCTCAAAACATAACTGGTCCTGAGTACCTGCTCTAGTTGACCTTTCTTTGAGCAGAGGCGTTGGCCAAGATGATCTCCAGAGGTCACTTCTAACATCAACCATCCCATGATTCTGTGAGAATGTATCTTCCTTATCTGTATGCCAGACCTTTATGGAAAAAGATGAACAACTTTTGTACAGAGATCAACAGTGATGTGATTTAAACATGTAGAAGATGCTATTAGAACATGGAAAGAAGCATGATCAAGTGTTTTGAGATTAAGATTTTATGGAAATTTATCATCTACATTTTCTGGCTCTGCCAGGCAGTGATCTTGGAGAAATCCCTTAACTCTTCTGTACCTCGGTTTCCCGTGTAAAATAGTCCCTTGTGAGACATTGCAATGATATTTTCTCTGTTACCTTTGAGAGGTCTAATAACAGTATGCAATTGAAAATTACTAAGATATATTTCATACATATGTGCAATAGATCCTCTTCAGGGTTAAGAACAGAATGTTGCATTAAACTACTTTTTCTTCCATTACTGTTACCTGTTAAAGAACAACTGATGTAGGTGACTTATCCTGTCCTGTCTATCTTCAGATCTGTAAAACTATTCTCCGAAACAACTGGTTGAGCCAAATCCTTGGTTTACTTAAATAGATACTATGCCCGAACTGTCCTTGGCAGAGGTTGCATCCATATAGAGCATGGAAACACCTTTGTCGTGCTGCCTTTTTCCTCAGTTTTGGTTAGATCTCTGTATGAAACCAGTCTGCTGTTCTTTAAATTTGGCTTCTAGTACTGTGTCCTACTTTTCTGCTGATGGCCACATTTTAATTGCCAGGTTAGAGCTGCTGAGTATTTTGCAATTTAAATCCATGCAAATAGACCTTGCTGTAATAATTTGGGGGCTCTTATGTGTGTGGATGAGATTCAAAAAGAATGAAGTGCAATGAAGAGAGCCATAGTAATGTTGGGTCATATGGAGTACCAGATAGAAGAGAGAAATTCTGCATTTCCCCTTCCCTCCTCCTTTTCCAGTCAAGTGGTCTTTTAATTCGCCACCAGGAATGACATGCCCCTTTACAAGGCAAGTGCAGAACCTTTCGTTCGCCTAGTGTTCAGCTCTGAATTAAATCGAAAGGGAGGATGCAAGAGATTGTGTAAGAAGCTGGAGATCCAGATGGGAGGGATGAAAGCATCTCACTGAACTGGTAGCTGCAGTTCTGTGCTTCTATCCCAAATGCTTGGTATTTGGGTGCTGGCAGCCAGGCTTGGGAAAGCGCTGTGAGTGAGGATGGGAAGATACGTGCCACATCTCTGTGTAGGAGGTTGCCTTCAAAGCCATATTGCCATGTTATAGTTCAGCAAATAAACACCTATGCTCTGCAGGGTTTTTCCAAGTATACCATTTAATAGTAACCACTTCATAGGAGACCAGAAGGAACTCTAGCCACTTTATGTGTGAGCTCAAAGTTACAACAGTTTAGCTACACTTCAGTGCTACTGTTTATCATTATCTTGGCACAGGTCACATAACAAGGGGGACTCATTTCTGTGGTATGTGGCTATAACTTGAACTCAAACCATGTGCTCCCTGAGAAGTAATCTGTGCCATGCACCAACAGCCAGCAGCCACCAACAGCCAGCAGCCACCACCAGCCCCAGCCCTTTATCAGTATACCTCAACAGAAGGCTTTCCATTTTTTCTTGTTTCTTCACTCTCCACTTCTTCTTTACCTTTCCTACAATCTAAGCCCTAGGTGCACTTGACTATACAAGTGATGCTGTTTTGACTAGTCTGTGGGTGCTGAAGGAGAGTGCCTGAGAAGATCACTGTCTTTGGTTAATGCAGCTCTGAGAATGAAATCTTACTGATCTGGAAAACCAGGTGTGCGGTCTGTGAAGCAGTTCCATATTCTTAGTGATCTTTCTCTTCCAACAGAAGAGGGGTTTCACACCCTCCCTATACAGAATGTCTCTAGTTTTTTAGGGTTTTATTTATTTATTTATTTATTTTTTTAAGGACATAGTACCTTAGGAATTTTATTTGCATCAGTTGGAATCAGTTATATGCTATTCTTTTCTAATTTTCCTTGTTATACAATAGAAAATGTTTTTTGTTTTTTTTTTCCTTTCTTTTAAGTGGGATCCTCAAAAAGAGAAGGTGTTCCAGCACATGTCAATCTATCTGCATCATCAATGCTAATGATTGCAATGCAGTACACATCAAACCCGGGTATGTGTAAACCTGCAGCATGGTATCATTCTCTCCAAAACTGTGAGTCATGCAGTACTGTCAAATGCAATCAGAAAAGTTCAGATAATGGGAAAAATCTGTCTCACCATCCAACACAGGATGAAAAATAAGTGATTTCAGTCAAAACTGGAATTTCTGAGCATCATGCTTGAAGTAATCAATGTGTAGATAAGAGATCTCATTGTGATGAAGAAATAGGATTTGGCCCAGGGTTGGAGACTCCAATCTGCTCTTGCTTGACATCAGAAAATAGCGTTGATATATAACATCAGTGTTGGAGAGAAATCACCACTAACTTTGACTATACAAATTCATAGTAACAGTTTGTCTTATACTATGATTCATATCCCACCAAGTTCACAACTGATACTATTTTTTAAAGACAACAGGTAATGCAGGCTGCAGGCTCAACAGAACTATAATGAATTTAAATGTAATTATAAGTATCTAAACACAAGGCCATTCTTTCTCACTGTGGTGCAGTGCCACTTAAATCAGAGGGATCACATACCCAAATTGAAACAAAATTTAACCTCAGGGAGCTGTTACATTGCAGGATAGTCAACTATCTCCCGCTTTATGTAGATGGGTAGGTGGTGTGTGTGGGGAGGAACCCCACGCTGCAGTATGTGCATGAGAAGTGCACATCATGCTAATGTAGTTCACAACAGTAAATAAAAGCAGCACACTATTTTTAAAAGCTACTCGCACAAGTTAGTTTTTTTCATGGAACATTCTACTTTTGTTTTTGAATTCCATGTTCCAGCTATCTGAAGAAAATGTTCCCCTGTGGTTTTGGGCAAGTCAAACACATAAAGTAGTTCATTTGGCTCTTATGTTTGTTTGATGCAGAGTGGCTCCTATAGCCTTTGGTATACATGGGAATAATGTATTGTTACATGTGACTTCTGTTACTGCCTCAAGATGAATGACAAGATACCTACCCATTTACAGCTTTACACTGTGCCAGAGGGACAAAGTTTAAGTGAATTAGCAGGTATTCTTAAACTAGATGTGTTTGAAAAAGATCTCCATTGATGTGCAAAAAGCTGTATACTCCTAATACTCAGTTTACTGCATTCCTTGGCAGAAACAAATTACTAATACTTAATTTCTAATCTTTTGTGATGACTCTCAGAGCAATGATTATTCAGCAAAACCTTTAAAATAAAAAGTAATTAAATGACGTACTGAATTTCGGACAGACAAAGCAAAACCAATCAGCTAATTACGTCACTTCTGTAACTTGAGTTTCCATTTCAATATTATGTCTATACTGTCTTTTCTCTCTCAGTGTATCACTGCCAATTATTGGAATGCCTCATGAAATATAAGCAAGAAGTATGGAAAGTAAGTTTATGATCATATATACTTTGTGGAAATGACTGTATTTGGATAGTAATGAAAACCAGATGGCTTGAAAATTGAACTGACTGTGTGCAAAAGAGTTATAAATGATCTTCTGTCCTGGTTTCGGCTGGGATAGACTTAATTTTCTTTATAAGTAGCTAGTATAGTGTTATGTTTTGGATTCAGTATGAGAAGAATGTTGATAAGAGACTGATGTTTTCAGTTGTTGCTAAGTAGTGTTTAGACTAAGTCAAAGATTTTTCAGCTTCTGATGCCCAGCCAGCAAGAAGGCTGGAGGGGCACAAGGAGTTGGGAGGGGACACAGCCAGGACAGCTGACCCGAACTAGCCAAAGGGATAATCCATACCAATGGACATCATGACTAGTATATAAACTGGGGGAAGTTGGCCTGGGGAGGGGGAGTGGATCTCTGCTCATGAGCTAACTGGGCATCAGTTGACAAGTGGTGAGCAATTGCATTGTGCATAATTTGTTTTGTGTATTCTAATTCTTTTATTAATATTATTGTCATTTTATTATTATTATTATTACTATCATTATTATTTTCTTCCTCTCTGTTCTATAAAACTGTCTTTATGTCAATCCATGAGTTTTACTTTTTTTCCCCGATTCTCTCCCCCATCCCACTGGTTGGGCGGGAAGTGAGTGAGCAGCTGTGTGGTGCATAGTTGCTGGCTGGGGTTAAACCATGACATCTTCATATCCAATCCTCCTTCTGGATTATGGAGAGGAAAGTCCCTCTGATTTTTAGGTTACAGGAGCAGCTTCATGTTTTGTAGAACACAGCTCCATTTCCTAAATACTATGTCGTTGTGGCTCCGGTTAGTAGAAATTTTAGTAATGACCAATCTTCTCAGTTCATGTGGGCCTGAACTTTTACAAGGACTATTTGTGAGTATTGTCTTAGCCTGAATCTGATCTGAATCCACTTATTTATCTATCATCTCACACCTCTTTGTTCCATGGCTAGACAGAGGCTTCATTTGCTATATGTTAGTACACTATGTGGGTGGGTGGTAGCTGTTGGATGCTCCGATCAAACTCAGAAGCCAATTGTGAACATGTTGTTGAAGGTAGTCATCTAATCTACTTGTAAGAGCATACAAAGGACATTTGGTAGGGCATGAAACATATACATTTTGTGTGTTCAAGTATCTTTGAACACAAGTAATATGTATTGAATTGTGTTTTGTTAACTTGCAAAATAAACATTTTATACGTGTCTTTCCTTAGGATTTGCTGTATGTGATAGCCTATGGACCATCTCAAGTTAAACCTCCAGCAGTACAAATGTTATTTCACTATTGGCCCAATTTAAAACCACCTGGTGCAATCAGTGAGTACAGAGGACTGCAGTACACAGGTCAGTGCAGCTGTTTTTGTGTAGGCCAAAATAAACATAAAGGAGATGATCAGAAGTGTGTTAATGTCACATGTTTACAGTTCTATGATGTATTTTGAAATCTTTTGTTTGATAAATTGGTACTTTCAGAAGTATATACAATATCTATTTCTCTGTATTTCCAAAAGATGTTACGAAAAATAAAAACTGTGATTGTGGCTACTAAATATATTGTGTAACTCCCAATACTAACTAAACCAGATCAGAAGAAATATATGTAGTGTTCCAAATGGTCTGTGAAACTGCCTTATTGGCCTCACAAGGGTTCTGGCTTATGTTCCTTTCAATTATTGCTTTGGTTGCTTTTGTTGTGCCAGCTGCTATCACTGCTGCTGTTGCTAAGACTCCTTATCTGGCTGTTACTGTCAAAAAAAGTCAGGTCTTGTCAGGTGCAGTCAGTATAATGGAAAAGTTCTTAAGGTTGACTATAGGGTGAAAATGAGAGACAAAGCCAGCAATGCAGCTGGAGCTGAGTAGGTGGATGGTACGAAGTCCTCTGTCCACCAAACTCCCCAATGGTACTGATGGGATTGTGCTTCTGTGGTGGGGAGTCTCCAGCAGCAATTCATGACTTGCTTTTCCTGCTTGCCTGTCTCAACCTGTTTCAAATAATCTCTGTCATATGGGATGTTTTTTGTTCACTTTTAAAATTTCTGGGCCAGAATGCCACATTTTAAATAATCAAAGTGAAGGGTTGGAAGAGACCTTAGAAGACCCCCTAGACCAAGTACATCCTGAATATTCCTGTTACGTGTTGTCTGATCTGTTCTGAAACCTTCCCTTGAAGGGTTGATAGGTTTTCTTGACTTTTTTAAAAAAACATTCTTCTTGTACTGCTCTGCATCACTTCACATGCAAGCAGGTCTGTAAACTAAGCATGATATTCCATTGAGCTGTTACTAGCACTGGGTGGACTGGAATAATTTTCCTCTATGTAAATGTTCTGTTAATGCATCCCAGAATGGGATGAGTATTATCTGCAGTTGCATGGCATTTTGACCTGGGGGCATCCCGTATAGCATCCAAGTGATGCCACTTGAACATACCGTTGTTGTTTACTTCTTGTTATTACAAAGCTAAGGCTCCTTCTGTGGCTGGACTAGTTTTCCTTTATCATAGCTGTGTTTTCATTTTGCCTAAGAATGTTACTGAATTTGGTCAGCTACTCCTACCATCTTGCTCCTGGAGTGGAAAGATAATTAATTAATTAATTAAAGGTGTTGGTGAGATCAGGAAGGGTCTACAGTGGGGATGTCTGCATCTCACTTTTTCCATTTCTTCGCTGAGTTCATGGTTCATTTCATAATTATATCCCAAACAAGTCAGTAGGCATGTATATTCTAGGTTGTTTATTGTAACTGTTAGGCTTCCTGACGAATGGCTAGGTCTTCTCTCATATTTGTATAGTACTTAGTACAAGAGGATCTTGTTCTCAATTGATACCACTAGACACAAAGAATATAAATATATTTTCTCCATTTATTAATCAGCTCTGTTTTGGTTTTGCAGCCTGGAATCCTATTCATTGCCAGCACATTGAATGCCATAATGCTATTAACAAACCAGCTGTGAAGGTACTGCTATTTCTTCAGGGGTCAAACCCAACTATCTGGGGGATAGGAGGTTGCACTTAGACCCCAGCCATATGGTCTGGTTGTGTGCAGGTGACCAAGAGCAGGAGCTAAGGGAACAGCAAAGCCTGTCGAGACCAGGGCGGGGCTTTGTGAATATGTTCCTTGGCTACCTAAAGCAAGATGGGATATTTCCTCCAACTACTGTGGGCCAAGTCTTCATATTAAACATGGGGACGGTTGCAGAGCACTTTATAAAATTCTAAGCTGGCTCCTGGCTTAACCATGTAAATATTTTCCTGAACACATATATGTGTGTAAATATGTGCACAAATATTGCTATAAACAGGAAACATTATGTCAGTTACATAGGTACATGTTCACCTTGGTATCTTGATTGAGGTCATACAACGCACCTACTCTGATTGTGATCCTTTGCTTGGAATGTGTCCTAAAGCAAATCGCAACAAAGCTTTACTTACCTCTTCTACAGCCCTTTTTGAGGGAGGTAGATGTCTTTCCTGTTTACGTGCTGGGTAACAAAGTAAAATGGCTTGACCACAATCATAGCACAATTTGATGGCAGAGGCAAGAACAGCATCCCAAGTCCAGAACATACTACAGTTAGGTGTACTAATTAATTAGATTTGTATCTAGTTAAATATGTAGATACAACCAGTTTTCCTGGCATCAATTTGTATACTAACGTAATCAAATTAGTCAAACAGTTCTTCAGTGAGCCTTTTCCACTGGCCATGATACTGATAGGGCATAATGGTGACACCTATCTCACAAGTCCTGCAAGGGACCACTTTTCTACCCACTCCAATCATTCTCCATGATCCCTTTTCATAGGAAAAAAAGCTGGAAGGTTTTGCTTCGTGTTGTAGTGATCACCAGATTCAGACTGATCACTGAGTAAAGCAAAATATCAGTGAAATCTACAGTTCCGAGTTATGCAGATGAAATACCTGAATATTTTTGAATGATCTCTTAGCTTAACTTTGACACAATCAGTCTTGATCAGTCATCACTCAGAAAAATGCAGCCTGTTGCCTCTTGGATAGATGAATGTAAATTTGATTAACAAAGAAGAAGAGAAACATTCAAAGAGGCATTTGTCTTTATAAATAAGATCTTGCGCTTGAATGGAGTAAGAAACATTTTAAGTGGTTAAGATATTGTGCATGTATACTACTGTTCAGCTCTTCCTTAAATAGTACAAAACAGACAAATGTGTATGTAACTGGCTGTTAACTGTTTTCTGTAACTGGCTAATGTAGTTTTCTGTAACTGGCTAAGGATAAAAGCTAATGCAAGACAAAGTTTGGACCTATGCTACCAAGGGAACTGTGGGTCCATAGTCTTTGTTCTGTCACTGGAATTGTGCTGTATAGTTAACAACTCTGATGACTGAAAATTAGCTTTTGCTAAGAGGTGTTACTGAGAGAGAAAAATCTAGACTTTTACATTACTTTGTCCTAAGCAATGGATCCTCTAAGTGACTATCTCTTTGGAAAAAAACAAAGAGTAAGTCTATCATGACTATGCAATGTAAATGCGTAACACAAAATATACTTGTCTTTCAGAGAGTGGTAATACTGATATTGAAATATGTCCTGTTCTCTTCCCATAGGCTCTCATTTTCAGTTACATCCCTCTCCTTTGTTAGAAATAATTTGAGATCCTGTACTGCCAGATGCTGAGTACCATCTTTTAGAATACTAAATGCTCTCAACACATATCAAAGCTGTGTTAGATTGTATGTCCTAGCATTAATGTGTTGAACTTTTTCAGTGAGCTTCAATGAACAGATGTGTTAGTTCTTTTCCTTCTTTGTGTTTCAGATGTGCATTGACCCATCCTTGTCTGTGGCTTTGGGTGATAAGCCACCTCCCCTATATCTTTGTGAAGAATGCAGCCAGAGAATTGCAGGGTAGGTAAACTAAGAGCTGGAAAATTATCAGATGTAGTCAGACTGCAGCATTCAGAACTCTGGAATTATGCTTTATTTCAGTATGATTAGCATATAATTTATATAGATAACCCTGTTGAAATATATGGAGCACACCGCCACTCAGTATGAATAAGGATTACAGAAATTTATCCCACATGATCAGCATTTGCATCTAGCTTGAACAGTAGTGAGTTTTAAAGTTAAGATCTCTGAATGAATAGATACTGTGGGATGCATTGACTGTGATAGGGGGACCTCATTAATGTACAAGCTTTTGCTTATGAAAAGTTTTTTTGTCCTCATCCTTTAGTTGCTGTTAAAAGCAGCACATTACAATGAAAGCTCTTTCACAGACACTTTATTACTTTTCTGTAACATGTATTTCAGATTGTTCTCTAGGGTATACTGTGAAGCAGCAGAGTAAAGGATTGAAATTGGTCCAGGCTTGTCCAGTACCTGGAAGAAATATAGCCTGAGATGAATTAAACTCACTTATTCTTTTTTTTAAAACTTTTTAAAATATTTTTTTTATATTACTTTTTGGTTTGTATTACTTTATAAGATCTATTAATACTTATGGAGAGTTCCAGTTATTAGTTCAAATGGACAAGGTTACAGGTAGTTCAGAAGCTACATGGGGTTTTTTGTCTCCAGTTTAAGACACCTTTATATCACAACAGCTGTAGGAAAAGCAGTTACATCTCACCTTAGATTTTTAAGTCATCATTGATTTAAAGCTGCAGGAAAAAGTAATTCAATTTGGTAGAAGCATACCTTCTAAGGAGGCTCACAGAAAAGAGTAGTGGTACATTTCATTTTTTTCCTATGTTCATCTGTTATTCTTCACTATCATTTCTTAGCTATCAGACTTTCAGAGCACACGCTATTTTAAGTTGATAAATTTATGCCTTAAAAGTAATTTTTTGAAAGCCTTGAACGTGGTGGACCAACATCAGCAAAGTAGTAATTTGCAATAAGACAGGCACAACAAAGAGAGGTAATGTAAAGCAGCCTGCAATTTATAAAACTACATTTGAAAAAAACAGCTTCAGAATAATGTCAGTCCTGCCACATTAATTTAGATAACTTCCTCTGTGCAAAAATAAATGCATATATATAAAAAATGGAAAGCTAATTAGACATACAATTTTTATAGGGATCACAGTGAATGGTTGATTGATGTTCTTCTACCACAAGGTAAGAGGTATTTTAATGGTAGGTACAAACTAATCATAATTGTACAACCTGATGCTTACTGATATTTCTGCATACTGTATTACTTGAAATGCTGTGTTCTGTTCTAAAGATATTTCCTAAAATTTTAGAGTAGCTTGCACTTAATACTGTTTGATGTCCTTAAAGTACTATAAAAAATTGACTAATCCTCTATCTGAAATAGTATGCAACTCTTTATGTGTGAGGAAACAGAGACAGCAAACAGATTTTCAAATCTTGAAGCATCCACAGCTGGGCCCAAGTTTTTTAAAAGTATTTGTGTCCCAGACTGGTGTCCAAAAAAAGGGGCTAGTTCTTCCAGTAACCCGGCTCTGACTCAAAAGCTCTTAAAGCTTCTGAGAATCTATGCTATGAACGGAAGGCTGTAAAGGATATCGGAAAAGAACATAAAATATTTTTCAGTGATCTAGTCATTGATCCAATCATTGTCCTTTGGCCAGTGAGAGAGCCTGACACCTTATTACGTACCAGAATGCAGACAAAGCTTGTTGACAGACTAATCAGAATTTCCTGGGTTTACAAGGGCAGTCACATATTCTCTAAAATAACCCTTTCAAGGACAGAACAAAGGCACTCCCTCTCTCTTTGTTCTGCAAACTGAAAATTCTTGAGCAGTGGTGATTTTTTTTCTGTCTCCTTTTAGTTGAAATCTACTCCAGATTAAGAATGTTTTATTTACTTAAGGGAGGTACTTCTCTTTACTCAGCCATCTATATTTACTGAATCAGATGTTGCCAGGGCAACAGACTGAATAGCTACTGCTTACAGGTTGAATCTGCAAACATTTTGCTATGGAGTTATGGGCCACAGACATAGTGGCTGCTTCTACATTTTTCAACCATATTCACTAATCTTTTATCCTGCAAGCTTTCACAGGCTGTGTAGGCACATCTGAGCCATGTCTCCTACAGCATGCCACAGTAGTGTGCCTACAGGTGTACTTCTACAAGTCTGTCCGTGAGGCAGAAGCATAGGCAGAAGGTGGAAGGGATGCAGAGCACACCACACTTAATGCACCAAGGCTGTTCTTTTATTTCAGTGTAGAAATAGCCAGTAGGCCTAAGTATACAGTGTCCTACCTCATGCAGTCCAACAGGCTTAGAGGTTTCAGTAATATCTGGAAACACAAGTTTAGCCTCAGAGACTTCTTGCAGCAAGTCCATTTTCCCATGGCTGCCATAGTAAAACAGAAGGATCGTCATTCTGTGTTGATGTTTTGTATGCCTTCCCCTTACAGCTGAAATATCTGCTATATGTCAGAAGAAGGTAAGATTTAGTCTTTTGTGTGATGGGGCATGATTTGATGTTGTGTGTAGTGTCATTCCATTACTATGTGATGTGTTCTTTTTTGTACCATTCCAAATTTTCACAATTTTTCCATGAATGCATTTGTTGGTGGATGGGAATGATTCAGCAGCAAGGTTTCTTTTTGTTAAAACTGCTCATGTTTGATGTTCTAGGTTTTTGTTGAAATGGCAATTAGTAAAGCAATTCAATTATGCAGTTGAGCTCAGTTTTTATTCTTTAACTCTGCTTATGAAGAGGATAGAGCAAGAGATTAATTTTAAATCTAAGTGTTTATATCTTCTCATCTCCTTGAAGTCTTGGATTAATCCTAAATTGGACAAAAATCCTACTGTAAACTGTATATTTTTAAAAATATATGGACTGAAAGTCTTCAGTGCTTGTCTCTAAAAAGATTGCTGACAAAAAGAATCTGCTTGCAATACATACCAGCTAGTGTGTTTTAATAACATTTTAATAATGAGGAATACAGTGTATAACATATTCTAGATCTTATGTGGTAAAGAAAGCTTTTATGTTGGGCTGGATTACCAGGTGGCAAAAATAAAGGTAGTGCATATTTTGGAGGTTTGGACAGTTACCTATGATAAGGCAGATCCTTAGATAGCATAAACTGATGTGGCACCATTGATTACACTCCTAAGGATCTGCCTGTTGCTACACGTAATTTAAAAAGACATTCTGAAGTATAAGCAGGGGTTAAAAGAGCTACTGTAAATTTTAGAGATTGCTCCAAGCCAGAAAGTTGAGGTTGATGAGTTATGTGTTGGTTTGGTCTGCTCCAAAAGAAGAGCAACTGTGACGTTTTAAGTCCAGGCTCAGCATTTAGGCCTGAGCTCATCTTTCTGGAAGTTCAGTGACACTTGGCATCAGGAGTTTGCACACAGTTGTGCTTATATATAGTGATTTTGGAAATGACTAACTCTAGAGCCAGTTCCCCAGTGCTGACTGTCATCCCTGTTTTCAGTTCCACTTTCTGATACTTGTGGCCTGATAAAATCTTTTTTATTTTCCAGAACTGTAGTTCACATGTCAGAAGAGCTGTTGTCACGTGCTTCTCAGCGGGCTGCTGTGGCCGCCATGGCAACAGGCCAGTGCGCTATTGCAAAAGATGCCATTCAAATCATCACAGCAGTGAAGTTGGGGCAGCCGCAGAAACCCATCTTTATCAGACCTCGCCACCCCCTATCAATACCCGGGAGTGTGGGGCGGAGGAACTTGTGTGTACTGTGGAAGCTGTGATCAGGTAATACGGCAGCTTATGTGGCATCAATATGTAAAGCATGATCAGGCTTTCATGAAAATATTGCCTGCAAATCTTGTGCAAGTTGATTTTGGTTTCACCAGGATAAATTCAGAGCAGGGGTGCTGAACTCCTGCAGCTGATCAGCTTGTCCTCATGGAAGAAGTCAGCCTTGAATCCTAGAATTTGATGTTATTTTATTACTTTTATCAGGAAAATGATAACATCAGATGCCTTAACCTTTAGTTATTCTTGATCAGATACCTGTATCCAGTGCAGGAAAGCTGCATTCACTGACCACAAGCTTGTTTTATAGCTTGCTGAAGGAAGCAGAGTTTCATGCTGAGCAGAGGGAGCATGAACTCAACCGCAGGAGACAGATGGGCCTTTCCTCTTCCCATCACTCCCTGGACAACACAGACTTTGATAATAAAGATGATGACAAGCATGACCAGCGCCTCCTGAGCCAATTCGGAATCTGGTTCTTGGTGAGAAATTCTTGTTCTCTTCTCTCACTCCTTTCACTTCCCTTTCCTTTTCTTTCTGAAGCCTCAATTATATCTCTTTTTTTTTCCACTTCTTGGCTTTAGTTGGATACTTTTCTGATTTGTAAGCAAAAAGAAGGAGTTCTGTGAAGCTGTCAGACTTGGAGATTTCAGAACTAGTTTGGGTGGAGCTGCTGACTGCCTCTGATTCCTGTATAGAGTGCATGACAGAATTATTCACTCAGTTTTTTTATTGGCTTTCTATGTGCCATCATCTTCTGTTCACAAGTGCCCCCTGCTGAGTTCCATTATTTTAACCTTAAAATGCAATCCCCTAAAGATCTACCTTTCACTTCGTCTTTCAACATCAGTCTCTGGAAGCTCAGCTTTCTCTCTTACCTGTGAACAGGCTGGAGGACATTTAGTGGGCTGCTTTTCCTTCCTGCCTTCAGGTTGGTCTAGCTGGATCAGTTCCAGTCATTGTACTCCAGCTAATTCACCTGGCGTGGGTTGACAGAATGAAGCCCTGTAGTAGCTAGCAGAGATTATTCCAAAATAACAGGGCTGCTGCTGGCTAGGTCATGAGCAGGCCAGGCTGGAACCTGGTAGATCCTCAGAAATTGGATCCTGCAGTTCTCCTTAAGGAGAATTCTCCTTCTCAGGCTCTTTCCCATTCACCTTGAGCTCTCAGGCTCCCTCCTCTTTGGTCACCTAGTGACAAGTGGGGAATAGCAGGACCCCTCATCCATCATCTAAACAGAGACAGGGACTGCAGGGTGGCAGGTCTAGAATCCCACAATGCCAACAAAGCTGCTGTGCTGTTTCAAGTGACTACCTGAGTAAACTATAGTCTGCTGATATCTTGTGGGTTTTGTTGTTTAATGTTGTTTTAGACTTAAAGCCTTTTTTTAAAAAATAATTTTTATTATGCCATATTCATGTATTCTGTTTCAAATGATGTTTTGTAAAGACTGAAGATCTACCTTTCCAGAAGTGGAATTGAAGTGAGAATAGAACAGGTTTTGTTACACTGTACTTGCCTCATCCTTGACATTGAGAGTCTACCTTTGTGGTAGGGAGGGGGAGCTCATGGACTTCATTCTATTCTTATAAAATCTCTTGATCTCTGTGTAGTAAGTATTGGCAGAGAAGACAGCAGATTGTGAGAAATAGTGGGTTGCTGTTTTCTTTCATAAAATGAGTACCTTTCATTTCAAGAGTTCCTAGTAAAAAGGCTGCCGGCCGATACTGCCTTTGAGTTAACACTCAACTGAGACAAGCACCAGGAAGCAAACACCTTAACTTCAACCTGCAATGAAGTAGAACAATAAAGACTGAACTTTGAATTGGCAAGGGTGTCGTTAGCTGCCTCATCCCAAGAAAAAACATGGAGGAAAAGCCACTTGTAAGATGGATTCTGGTCTTCTCTGGGAAGCAGTGCTGTCAGCTGTTTCCCCAGAAATGACATGAATGTTTCTCCTTTGTTCACTTGCTGCAAGGCAGCAGTCACTGGTTTCAGCTTGCCAAGTGCTGAGAGTAGAGCTTTCACTAGGAAGTGGCAACAAACAGCTGATAGATGGTTAAAGAAACTTCCTAAATCTCCTGTCATCTGTTATTTTCCATTCTTTGGATTCAGTGCAGCAACCTGACTTGAAACTTTGTCTCCTGTCCCCAGAAGATGCCAAGATGGCATCAAATAGCAGGTAATTAAGGGCTTAGCAGTGTCCCTGGTCTGTGAACTCGGGTACAGACTTGGTCTCAGATTTGGGACAGTTTTACAATGCAGACATTATTTTAGAGAGAGTTTGGAGAAGGGGAGAAGAATATTAATTATTATTTGAGAATTTTTGAGGACTTAAAACTCATATTCCTGCCTCAAATGAGGACAGAAAATAAAAATTGGAACCTTTTTGCAAAGCAAAGATCACTTAATATAATAAAGTAGACCTCTTCTTTCAGACTTTTTGAAACTTCATTTGGTTTGTCTTTTTATCTTGTACATTTTATATATATGTGTGTATATGTATCATATATTTTACCAGGCTTTACATTACCATTTGAAATGAAAGTCATTTTAAAGTTCAGACCAAAATGTTTCAGGTTGTCAAAGCATTCTGTATTAATGTTTTCAGTGTTGAAACTAAGAAACAAAAAATTCAGTGCTTGTTTTTTTCCCCTCTTATTGTTATTTTCTGGTTTGGAAATGTTTTGTCAATTGTCCTGTGCCAAACTCTGCTTGAAACTGATCAGCTCATTTGTCTTCTATGTAATCTGCATCCTCGTATGTCTGAGAATATGCAAAATACAGTAGACAAACAATTTCCCACCTTTAATTCTAGAAATGAAACTTCATTTGTGTTTCTGTCTTCCAGGTGAGCCTTTGCACTCCTAGTGAGAATACACCCACAGAGAGTTTAGCAAGGCTGGTTAGCATGGTATTCCAGTGGTTTCACTCTACAGCTTACATGATGGATGATGAAGTTGGTAGCCTGGTTGAAAAGCTCAAACCGCAGTTTGTTACTAAGTGGTTGAAGACTGTTTGTGATGTCCGGTTTGATGTCATGGTTATGTGCCTCCTTCCTAAACCAATGGAGTTTGCCAGGGTAAGAATAATTTATCTGAAGGTTCCTTTATTTGCCACAGAGATTAAAGTCTTAAGTATAAAGACCATTTCTCCCCCAGCTCTGTCAAGGCAAAAGAAATCTCAGTGGTTGAGGGAGCAGTGGAGTTCAGGAATTTTTCCTCTTTATAGCATTTTTAGTTTTACTGTGTTAGAGAGTGGGGATTATTTACAGTAATATGAAGACAGGTTGGAAGAATATTACAGGTATTTGAAAGATACTGTACATTTTTGATAGCTGCACATTTCCATTATGCTGCTGAAGCTCCTGAGCTTGTCTTTAGCAAAAGGTATCATTGGTCTGTTCCCAGATATAAACGTGTCCTTTACTAGTCTGCTTTACTAATGTTTCTCTGTTTGTTGCATACTTATCTCTGCAGCTGTGAATTAAGATTCATGAAATCACACAGTTGTAACTGAAAGGAACTTTGGGCATTCTGATCCCCTGTAGCTTCAGATACCTAATTTAAATGACTCAGTTAAGGACTAGTCTCCCATAGTTCGCCTTATTGCTGGTGGAGAGAAAGAGATTTATCTGGAAGGTCATTCAGGGTGCTTAAGTGAGACCATTGCTGGAATCACTTCTAGAAAGAATCTTTCTTTCTGTCCATTAATTATGAAGCAGAACTCACCACTTAACCTGGATAGTGAAGACAGGCAACAAAGTCAGGCATGTGAATATTCCTCTATAGAAAATGAAACATCAGCATGAAAATAGGAATTTTATATTTGAGAGGGATTTAAGACTTTTTCCTCATTTATCACTGCCAACTATATCACATGTGCTTTTCTAAGACTTTCATTTTGTGACCCTTTTATATAAAATGTCCAGAGGACATGTTGGTTTTGTTTCCTACAATTAAGTAGCTAGAATAGGAAGGGCCATAAAGACTTCATGTGAGATGTATTACCTCATCAGGGATGAAGTGTGCATCCATGTTTTTTTCATGACCTAATATATGGTCTGCATCCATAGGTATGCAGACCAGCACATGTCTTACTCTGAACCATTGCTCTGAAGATACACCTGGCTGTGGGTGGATTGGAGGACAGCTGAGGGAATTATAGAGGTGGATGGATGCATTGAATGTTAGAACTGAAGAAAAGAGATCAGGGCTTAGAGGCTAAAGGGGAAAGGAAGGACTGAACCTCATGCTGTAATCTGTTGCGGATCTTCTTCTTGTCTTGGATCCAGCCCTTTTTTTTGAGTTTTATTACCTCTGCTGCAATACTTAAGACTAGACTGGCAACTTGCCAAATTTGCAAGGGTTCACTAGAACATGAAGACAAACAGCCATGAAATTAGCTGTGATGAATGGAGAAAAAATAGTTTGTTGGCTGAGATTATCAGTAGTTGCTGCCAAAACAGCAGGCATCTCTAGAGCCATTAGTCAGGAACAGCAGATGTGATCCGAGGTCAGTTAGAATAATTAATCTCTGTAGGCCAGTTACTTATTTACTTAGAAGTATATTTTTTGGTTTCCATCACTTAGAACCTTCCCTCAAAAAAACCCAAAATAAACAACCACAGAAGAGCACCTGGTACAGACCAAGTTCTGTAACAAGTTGCCCAGAGCAAATAATTGAAGGTGCAAGTTTGACCAAACAAATCTGTCCCTTGTTGAGAACTGTAAACAATGAGAGGTTACTCTGTGTCATGGCCTGGAAGTGAGCAAACCATCTAAATCTTGGGCAGTGCTATTGTGTACTGTGGGTCAAATGAGAGAGGAAAAAAACAATGCAGTCTCCATGGCTGAGTTCTAAATTCAGGCTGGAAGGTACTGTTGATCACCCCCCACGATTTTCTGGCTGCAACACACTGAGCAAATTTATGGTGCTGGGCAAGTTACGGGGGCTAGAAGTATCATTCATCAGTATGATTCCTGGAAATACCCACAGGTTGGTGGATACTGGGACAAATCGTGTAGTGCTGTGACCCAATTAAAAGAAGGGCTGAATCGAATCCTTTGCTTGATTCCATACAATGTGATAAACCAGCCGGTGTGGGAATGTATTATGCCAGAGTGGTTGGAAGCTATAAGGACGGAAGTGCCTGATAATCAGCTGAAAGAGTTCCGGGAAGTGTTGAGGTATGTAGACATATGTAGGAACCATTCTATCATTGCATATGTTGATTGTTGAGGGTTTTAGCACAATTAGATGGTGACAACAAAAAAAATGCCTGCGTGCAATAGACAGTAGTGAGTGAATGCTTCTGAAATTTTTATAACTCATATTTAGACTAAAGCACTTAAGTTTTGGGAAAGTTTCCTTTTATTGCTCCTGATATTCTTGAATCTGTATCAAGAGCCAACTACATGGATGCTTCTTTGCTGTGAGCAAGGCACATTTTCACTGGCTTCCTGCAACTTGGTGGAAGAAGCATCTCTCTCCTCCTGGCCAGCTGTTGATGAGAAATGGTGGGGATTAGCAGAGTTGTCACTGAAAGAGTGATGACTTGTATTGATTTAGTGAATACCTTCCCCTGTTGAGCAAAGAAAACACCAGAATAAGAATCTTGGCTGTCTGAGTCATAATTTCATGTCTGATGTATGCTTTGACAATAAAATTTCACATTGGCTTTTAACTGATGAAGAGGCTCTGAAACTGACTGTGAGTTTTTATTTGTAGGTACTGATGTAAACTTTTTTAGTGTAAACATGGAATAGCGGAAGAGTGGTGAAATGAGAAATTTTCCAATTTTTAGACTAGATGTTGAAAAAGTTATTGCTATCAAATGAAACTGGGCACGATATGAGATGTGATGTAAATTCTTAAGGTGCATCATCTCATTCAAAGATGATCTTGTGCAGTCAGGACAGGTGGTATCGGCAACCTAGCTCAACTCCTGTGGAGGGTGAGGGTGCAAGTAAGATTTCAGAAGCATCATCAGTGCTGGTAGTGAGATTGCCTTTCTACCAGTTTTCTGTTATATGTCACACAGCGTATGCCATGGTAACTCATTGATGCTATATTTTTGTTCTACTTTTCAGCAAAATGTTTGACACTGAACTTTGCCCTCTCCCTTTCTCCATGGAGGAGATGTTTGGCTTCATTAGCTGTCGATTCACAGGGTATCCGTCCTCCGTGCAAGAGCAAGCATTGCTTTGGCTGCATGTAAGTGTCCTCTCTTGACGAGTCATGCTGAAGCAGCCTATGATTTTGGAGAAGAAAAAAAAAAGAGGGGTGGTGGTGGGAAAAGAACCCACTTTTCCAAGGATCATGGAACCTTTTTGCCTTTTGCTTAGCCCCAGTGTAATAGTGGTTGGTAGACAGATCCTGGGAAGCTTTATGTTGCTAGCCCATCATGGGCAATATAATGGCAGCCTGAAAATTCCTTTTACCTTTGAATGTCAGTTGTGTCTTTAGGGCCATTCAGCTGACTTCTTGCCGGCAGTAGTTTTTAGTCTCCACAGAGTTTGGTCTGTAGATTCCAAAATTAATTCCAGGGTCCAGAAGCAGCTGTAGATTTTCCTGCATATGAAGAACTGGATTAGACTAGCTCTGTACTCATCAAGTTTTCTGCTGCTCTGGCCCATTTATGCTGTATTTGCCCACAAAGCTGGCATTCACCCAATGTTCACGTTCAAAAGCTACAGGGACAATCATGTCAGCTGGGGGCAGTGAATTCAAAAGGGTATAAAATCTTCCACAGCACCTCAGAATAATACCTGTATTCTTCATTATCGCTTCTTTTCTGCTGAGGGGTTATTTTGGTCTAGCTTCTGCAGAGACCAGTTTACCTGATGACTGTAGCAATTTTCAGGTATGCAGAGTTTTTAAGTAAAGTATGATTTTTTTTATTTTTCTTGACATAATAGCAGTTAATGACAAGTACAAACAAGCTCATATTTGTCTGAGTGTTGGTGACAATAGGTGATGAATATTCTCTAAGTGATTCGCAGATAACCATCCTGTCACTATGTTGACACCTGTAGGCTACCATTCTGACTAGATCTTTAGAATAAATACAGGAATTCAGTTTTAAGTAATAATAAATACAGTAAATAGTTATTCATCCAAGTATTGGTAATACTTCTGGCTTACAGAAATATTTTTGTGGAACATCCTCATATCCCTGTGTGTTTGTGTATAAAACTGATCTCAAGGTGCACCAAGCGGATGCCAACAAATATTTTGAAAATACCCTTTTTTTGCCAGTTCTCTTTTGCCCTGATTCTAACAGAAATCTAAGCTTGCAGCTCACCTCATTGAATCCCAAAATTAAATGTGTGGAACTTGCTGAACTGAGGATTGTACGATAAAGGTTCTTACAAAGTAGCTGGCATTTTTGATCAAACTTGACACTCATGCTTTTTTATTTATTGTCTTTCCTCAGGTGTTATCTGAACTAGACATTGTTGTTCCTCTTCAGTTACTAATTAGCATGTTTTCTGATGGAGTTAATTCTGTAAAAGAGTTAGCAAATCAAAGAAAATCAAGAGTCAGTGAACTGGCGGGAAATCTTGCAGCTCGGAGGGTAACTTATTTATCCTGCTTATTTTTTTGCTTAGAACAGTTTTCTTAATAGAATGCATGTGAAGAATTAAGATGTCATCTTTCAATATGGCAGCATTTGATCAGAAGAGCTATAAATTTCGAAAATGGAAGAAAATTGGCATGACTTCTTAAATTAATACCACTCTATGACATGGGCAGTGTAAAGATAATGCAGACAGGAACTGCAGAAAAACTGCAGTTTTTCCTTAGTGAACTGGTTTGTTTGGGATACGTTTGGAGTGTTCTTGGTATCTTTTCTGACAATTTTCATTCTCTGCACCTTCTATTAATAACCGTCAACAACAAGTTGTTACGGACAATTGGTCACCCAGAGTGAGCTTCTGTATTCTAGTACAAATCTGGTGGGCCTAGGTATGTTTTGGAAGGGTGACAGAGCAGAATTTATTTCTGTTTCCCTGCATTTTTTTCCCCATCCAAGAGATGCAAAAATTGATCTAAAGTTGTCTGTCAAAGGCTTATGGTCTGGAAGAAAATATGTACAAATCTGTAGGCACTACACGTACTTGGACTGATGTGACTAACTTCCCAGTCTTGGACAAAGTGCTTCAAATACAGCAGGAACAAGAGTGCTTGAAAGGTCAGATCTTTAGGTTTAAGGAACTACAGCATCTAGGCAATTGTTGATTCCTTACACGTGGGCTGCCTTTCTTCTGATGTAGCTCTGCAGAGAGCACTCCCACACCTAGCCCATGACCATTTCTAAACTAAGGAGAAAAAATGGAGAAACTTACTGTCTGGTCTTTCAGACCACAGCTGGCCTAAAAGTAGACCTCACGTGTCATCTAACTGTGTATCTGCCTGCAACACTTAGAGGTTCTCAGGGTGGTTCAGGTGGCCTACTGTGGTGTGGACATAAATCAATGCAGACATGCACATCTTGTTCCTGTGGTGTCTAGTTCATTTCCAGCTACCTGTATCCTTGGTGTAGCCTTAGTTACATTGTTCTCTTGAGATAGCCTCCTACTATTGAAGTTCGTGTCCCTGGATCATGGAGCAGATAATTGTAACCTGATGGCTGCTTTACTGTCTGCACCAATTTTCTGTTTGGTTTATGATGTTAAAATTCATCTTTAGTAGGAATAAGATAATGGATGTCAGCCACTTAGCTTAAGAGAATGTATACATCTGTGCAGAATATGATTCCTGTACTTCTATCATATTTTATCATTTAATGGCATTAAGGGACACGTGTAGATTTTGCAAAAAAGCTACAGAAGGGAATAGTAAGGCTGTCGAAGTTCTTGCCATTTTCTGCAGTTTCGTATAGAATGAGTTTGCTTACATGCGTAACAGTCATTTGGACATGTTGATTCTTTATGTCTTCAGGTAAGCGTTGCTTCTGACCCTGGGCGCAGAGTTCAGCATAACATGCTGAGTCCTTTCCCAAGCCCCTTCCAGAGCCCATTTCGGAGTCCAATACGTAGTCCTTTTCACAGCCCTTTCAAGAACTTTGGACACCCCAGTGGAAAGACAATTGATTTTGACTGTGAAGATGATGAAATGAATCTTAATTGCTTCATTCTGATGTTTGATCTCATCTTGAAGCAGGTATTCGCAGCACAAAAGCATCCACATTGAGGGGACACTGAAGTTCTCTAGTCACTTTTGGCTCTCCCTTAATCCTGTATTGAGTCCCTTTCTGCTAAGGGGCTGGCGTGAAGTATAAAACATTTAAATCCCTCTACAGCTGTCATCTGCCTTTACCCATATAGGAGTTACAGGTGCATGTTCAATGAAGAGAATTTAGATACCTCCACATTCATGTTAGATAGCTCATATGAGTGAAAGGAACTTCTACTTGGAGATATGTTTATTTCTACAGACTAGAAGCAGAGGATTATTGATAGGCTTAGATTAGATGCATAATTTTTGGATAGCTAAATTTGTACATTGTGAAGCCAAGGCCAAGTGTTTTGGATAACTGTCTCCAGGTAAAATCCATGGATCCTGTGCTTGAAATTGTCTATTTCAAGCTGTTCGAGCTTGGGCCTCAACACCAGTGGCAGTTTAAAATTGTGAGTTCCAGTTTATCTCATACTCTTCCCAGTACTGTAATATAACACTAGCAGAAATGTAGGAAAAAGCAGAATAGTTAGTGCTCTGGCTTTCAAATAAATAATAAGTCCTTACTCTTTTCACTCTCTTTCAGATGGAACTCCAGGATGATGGTGTCACTTTGGGCTTAGAGAACAGCATTTCAAAAGATATAATATCCATCATAAACAATGTGTTCCAGGCACCCTGGGGTGGTTCTCACACCTGTCAGAAAGATGAAAAAGCAGTTGAATGTGGTCTGTGTCAATCCAGCATTCTGTGTTACCAGCTGGGTTTTGAGCTGCTGGAACAGCTTGCTCCGAAAGAAGAAATCAGGCTTGTGGTAAGTAGAGCAGGAAAGAGCCTATATTATTGGTGTACTGAAACTCCTCTTCATTGTTCTCATTACATTGTGCGCAAGGGAGCAAAGCTGCACTGACCTTTGGCATGGAGGATTTGGGAGGTTAAAGCAAAATGCCATTGAACTGTAAAATTTCTTAAGTTTTAAATTTCTTAACTGATTCAAAGAACCCAAGGAAGATGGCAATATTCATCCAGTATGAACTCTTCCCCCATCAACATTAAAGTGCTGTTTCACTTTGGAAGGGCACTCCTATGATACTCTGTCTTAAATAAAATGTGAAATGTTAATGCTTAGTGCTTTTCATCTTTTAAAAGCTAAGAGTGGATATTTTGACGTGATTAATGATTTTGAGCGATTCAGTTGTCAAGTGAGCAAGTTTTATTTGGTGCTTGATTGTTGAAAATGTTGAGCGCTGTTGAAAAACCGAATATACTTCAGATTGAGTATCAGACACAGATATGTACTCTCCAATTGCTAGTCATCATTAAAGTCCTTTGTAGCTTTGCAGAAGAATCAAAGCATTACCTGTGGTGTGATTAATTTATTTTAAGCTGTATGTCTATTATACATAACTGTTCCATCTCATAGTTCAGAAGACAGCATCGTTCCCCTTATTCTGAGTGCTCATTTGCTCTGGAATGGTAGTGACAGGATGTTTATTAGTAATTTTTTTTCAATGGTGGGCATAGTGATGCCTTTTGATGTGTAAAAGTTTCAGAATTCCATTTGGATGTGTATGCTAATAGTAGGTATTGTGCATGTGGTTTTTCAGTAACTTGTGCTAGAAAAATCATCTCATGCCATTTCAGTTTAAATTCTCACCTCAACCATAAAGTAGCAAGTGGTGAAGTTTTTTGAGTGCTGGGGCTTGGTACAATTTCTAGGATCCACCTTGCAATTTATAACGTAAATGTCACAATGGCAACTGTAATCCTGAGCTCCTTGCCACAGGCAGGAGTAACTCCAGCCTGGTCCTTTTTTCAATATAAAAGTGATTGAGGTAGCTCCTACCTCTAAGCCTGTAACTCTACAGTAGTGGAGGAAACATGCCCTGCTCCCATCTGCTACTCCTCTGAGGCATGGATGACAAGTTTGGTGAAACTACAGCCCTGTGACTGGATCCATCTCAGCTCCAATATGGATATACAATTTCTGTTAAGTAGTATCACTTAAATCCATGTTTGAAACATAGTCTTGTTGGTATGTGCTGATGCGGAATTTTAGATGCACAGGTGATTTGAATGCACAAGTGTACATGGAACTAGACAGTTTCTGCCTCATTTGAGCTCAGTTTATCACACCAAATGTAACTTAAATGGCAGGATATGGCCTCGTGTTTAGATAACATCAAGAAACAAATTTAACTTATTATATTCTTAAAGGAGCCCACAGATAACCTCGAGGATAGTCTTCTGTATACTAGACCTGAGTTTATTATAGGAACTGAAGGAGAAGAGGAAGACAAATTGGCACCAAAACATGGAGAAAACCCAGGAAATCACACGGAGACCACAGACAATGCTGGTAGGTGGAGGGTGAGAAAGTTGAGAATTTCATTAAGGCTTTAAATGAAACGCTTCTACTCATGTAGAATACAAGGTTCTGAAGCAGTCTTTCAAGTCCAGCAATGCACAGTCACTTTTTTCTCATGCATTTAATTCTTTAACAAATTAATTAAATAGGAAAGATGTGTTTATGTTGATAGCAAGTGTGATTGTCTCTCAAAAAAGTGTTAGAAGAAATCTTGGCTTTTTGAACGTATAAAGTAGCAAATACATTGCATACCAAATTCCATGCTGTTGTAACTTTACTGACTGCAGGGTTACTGTGGCTAGAATTAATTTATCTCTCATCACTTTGACATTCTTTAGTTTCATTCTGAATCCACAGATGAGAGAACTTTAACAACATTTTATGTAACTTACATTTTTAACAGCAATAAAGAATGACACAGAAAGAAAATTTTGTTATCAGCAACTTCCAGTTACCTTGAAGCTCATATACACTATATTGCAGGTAACATTGATTACTTGTTTGTTTAGTTTGAATTTTTGGTTAAGTGGTGTCATTGTGTTGAGAGTAGTACATCTGCTTACACAGGAAATGTCAAGATTTGAAGAACCAGACATTCTTTTTAACATGCTGAACTGTCTGAAGATCCTTTGTCTTCATGGGGAATGCTTGTATATAGCAAGAAAGGACCATCCACAATTTCTTGCCTATATTCAAGATCACATGCTGATTGCAAGGTATGTTTTCATCGCATATTTTGTCTTCACACTTAGCTGGTTCTCCAACTATACATTCGTTGTTGGCGCCAAAGAATTTGCAGGTTTAGTGTGCAAAATTAACAAAGGGTGATAGGGAAGTCCGGAAAGGTTAAGTAGCTGTATGAAGGCATGTTGCACAGGCTAATTAAGAAGTTGCAAATGAAAGTAAGGTACCTTGCATTGTCTGTCAGGGCTACTCTGTCATGCACCACTTGTTTTGCAGTGAGTCAGAGCTGCTCATATTGAATAATAGCATTGTCTGAGACTGAGGTATCTTCCCTGACTCTACAGAATAAAATAAAGGATGAGGTAGAGGGAGGCACACAGTTTATAGGGCTTTAGCATTAAAGCTGAGAGAACAATAGTATTGCACCTTATTTTTAAGAGGTAAAGGAAGTTTTTTCATTTAGAATCAGAGTGAATTGGATTGAAGTCTGTGCATTTTAAGATTCTCTTCAGAGTAACAGACTTTTGCAGAAAACTCACTAAATAAACATCAGCATATGATGTTCTGAAATAGAGTGTGTTCATCAGTGCTTACAGCTGCTCTCTATCAATTTCATTGAGCATCTCCTGAGACTGTAGGCTTTTAGCAGACTAGAGGATCCGTCCCGAATCTAAATACAAGCAAATTGTGAACACCCAATGTCTTAGTCATTTGTGGATGCGTGTGATTTGTGGTGCCAAGACAGTTCATGTGGCTTATGCGCTGAAGCTGGTCGCGCTGAAACTGCTAATTCATAGCATAGACTATATCCATGGCAGTTGTGCCTTGAATTAGCCAAACTCCTGTCAAATCTGAAGTGTTTCAATGTAAGGAATATTTGAACCTGGATTTTCAAGAAAAACTGCTGTATTTGAAGATTTGCAAGTAGCTCTCTCCTCCTGCCAGCAACTCTGTAGTATTCACGTAAATGCCCAGGATGGCTCATAGAGATTTTCATGAAAAGTGCATTCCCACCAACAATACAGTGTAGAGATTTAGAAGAAAGGATGTCAAGGGAGTGTTTTTATAAGCAGGCTTGCTCTTTTTGGTCTTTCCAGCTTATGGGGAGTTGTGAAGTCTGAGTTCTCTCAGCTTTCTTCCCTGGCAGTCCCACTTCTTCTTCATGCACTTTCGCTTCCCCATGGAGCTGACATTTTCTGGACAATCATAAACAGCAATTTCAACAGCAAAGATTGGAAGATGAGATTTGAAGCAGGTAGGCCTGAGAAATATACACTATTTACTCTTTGTTGCTTCACTGAAGAGGTAGAGCTTTCTCTGCTGTAACTGAGGAGACCTGTAATAGATTATTATCTTTTTGCTACTTTGGGGAGTTTTGGAGATAGTCTGGTGCAAAACCATGGCACAACAATGGTAAAATAGAGGAGAACATGAGACATTCTGGATAATCAAAATGAAATCAAAATTACAACACTTTCCAGCTATTTTTTGTTGTTACTTTCTCAGATGTGCATATTTCTAGGAGAGATATATTAATCAGGACATAAAGAAGCCATTGCCTAAATTAATATACATATTTTCTTTGTCTGGGGCATGGCTGCTACAGTGGAGAAGGTGGCTGTGTTGTGCAGATTTTTGGATATTCACTCTGTGACAAAAAACCACCTACTGAAGTACTCTTTGGCTCATGCATTCTGCTGTTTCCTGACTGCTGTGGAAGATGTCAACCCAGCAGTAGCTACAAGAGCGGGGCTATTACTTGACACCATAAAGAGACCAGCTTTACAGGTAGGTTCATTATATGGGAAAAAGTATATTCAAACAAGAATCTGGGTTTTCACCCAAAGTTCAAAGCAGTTCAGGCTTACAGCATCATGGTCACTGCTAATACCTTTTCTGGCAAGAGCCTTATGGGTCTTGGTAATTGACAAATGCACAAAATAGCCAAGGGAAATGATACTGCTCTAGCCCCAACTTAGAATCATAGAATCATTTAGGTTGGAAAAGACCTTTAAGATCATCGAGTCCAACCGTAAAAACTTTGATGACTGCAAAGGATTACTATTGTGTTTGAACTGCTATGGTAGAAAGCTGTAAATGATTTTTATTATTTTAAAATTTATTGACATTTTTCAATTAAAAAAAAAAAATTGTAAGTCTTATGACACCCTCCTGAGCTGACAGTGAGAAAATATTTTCAAGCAGAACCAAACATGCTCTTGATCTTTTCAAGATTTACTTAGGCATGTAATTTTCAGCATGTGAGAGACCCTGCCAATCAGAATTCTCATGATTAAAACTAAGCAGGTATGAAAGTGGATCAGAGCCTATGTAAAGAAGCAAGATAAAAAAAAAATTCTTAGTGCACAATTCATTTTAGTTCTCTGGAGAATAGAATGAATATGTATTTTAAAAAGTTCAGTGTTACTGCCTATAAAAAGCTGTTAATACTTGCTAGTTTTATTCCCTATAGTGTCTTTTCAAAATAGCTTCCAGAGAACTTGAATTCACTGAGTTCACTGCGACTGTTACCAGTATACTGCACTTTCATATTTAGTCTGTGGGTTTTCTTCGCAAACATAAGTCTTGATGCTACACCCAAAATTCTAGTGCAAATAAAATACAGAAGCATTTTGAGGCAAAGTGCTTCTGATACACTTCACTGCATAATCTTTCTTCCTATGTTTGGGCTTGGTGATTCATTCTTTTTGTAATTAGGGGCTTGATTCAGTTGCCTAAATATAAGCTTTTTCTCAGGGAGGGGTGTGTGAAGAGAATACTTTGATATTGTGTACCAAATGTGCAGTAGGATGGCACTTTGCTTATACCTTTGTATTCCTTAAAATCTTAGCAAATTCTACATTCTAAATATGATGTTCATTTATCTCCTTACTTACCTTACTTTTCCATTGATATCAGTAGCATTAGTTCTGACTTAAAGGACTTGGTAGGAAAAAGGAGCTAAACCTTTATCCTGTACTAATTAACAGGAGAAGTTACGAGCTTTGACCTCCCTTTGCTTTAAAAAATGCTTAAGGTTTTCACATCTCAGTTCTGTGTTGGTTTGTTTTTTTTTTTTTCCTTCTATAGGGTCTCTGCCTCTGCCTTGATTTCCAGTTTGACACAGTTGTCAAGGACAGGCCCACAATTCTTAGTAAGCTTTTGCTACTTCATTTTCTGAAAGCGGATATTCCAGCTTTGAGCTGGGAGTTCTTTGTGAATCGCTTTGAGACCCTGTCTCTGGAAGCACAGCTTCATCTGGACTGCAACAAAGAATTCCCTTTCCCAACAAGTAAGCAGAGTCCAAATCAATATCATCACCTTTTATCAGCTTCTGGAATTTCAGCTGCCTGCAAGGGTCTGAGAGAGATGTAGGTCTCAGCTGTATAAATTATCTGTAGTTAAGTAATCTTTCATGCCAAAAGAGCAGAATTCAAAGAGAACATTTTTTGACTGCCTGAATACAGATTAGGCTATATTCTGTTGCACCTTTGGGCGTCATGTTTTACTCTCACTAGGATGTGATTGCCAGCCTTGGTTGAAATGTGGTCTGGTTCTATGATTAGCTGCAGCCTGCATTAACCCACTTGTTCTTTTGTAGATGTTCTTATGCTATCAACGTTGCTATTCTCAAAGGCCTAGGTCATGCCTGACCCTGTTCTGTAGTGGTCTATACAAAGACAGCCCTAGGAGCTGTATAATGCTTGAAAAAGAAACAAATATATGGGGCATAGCACAAGAGGTACATGGACTCTTAGAGCTGGTTCTCAGTTAACTATTCCTGCAGTGACAAGTGTTTGTAAATGTTTGTCCTGTTCATACTTGGTTTCTTGATGAGATACCATGTCTCCTTCCATTCACTGTGGGAGGCTAAAAAATAGTTTGTGCATGATTGTTTAACATGCTGAGTAATTGAAAACTTGCTTAACCAAGTGGTGGCCCATGAAGCAGATCTATTTCCATGTGATTTGCTTGGAGGAGGTGGAGACAGCTGTTAGGACAGCGTGTTCTCCCTCAGCAGCCTAATGCCTCCTTCTACACTTGCATGGAGCCCAGAGCCTAAAAAAGGCCAGGTGTTGCTGCTGTATCTATACAGGAGATGAGTGGAACTGCAAACATATTTTCTTCTCCATATGTGAGTAGCTTGACCCAAAGCTGGGAACTGCTGCTGTGGCCTGAGGAGGGAATCTCAGCACTGGTTTCCAGCACCTCTGGCTGCAAATGTAGGGTCATATCTTTAAATATGAATATTTGGGAGTGATTTAAAAATTAAAATATGCAAAATATATTTTTCAGGTTTCTTTTCAGCCTTTTTCTTTGCCTTTTCAAAGATAAAAGTGGTGCAAAGGATGGGCTCACTGGCTTTAGTTGCTCACCTAAACTCAAAGGGTTCGAATGTACTATAGACATGAGTATAGAAAACTATTGGTGACCACATTAAGACATGTAGTGATACTGCTGGTAACACCACTGTAAACACATAATCACACTCACAGATTTTTGGAGGCGCTGTTCAAATCCAGGATGATAGGTGTAGGCAGGACAGGAGGTCAGTGAGGCAAAACTAGAGGCCACATGAGTGCACTAAAAGTGATCCATACTCATGAGATTTCTGCCACTTTAAACAGAGGACAGCTTATATCCCCTTAGCCTGAAATTCAGGTTTTAGTTTCAAGAATGTGTTTTTATCCAATCTCTAAAGAAAGAAGTAACATCATAATTTTTTTAACACAGTTACGCCATTTGGGGTTTTATGGATTTCAGAACAAGAGCATGCAAATGAGTACCTTGCAGATGGACCCCTCGAGCCCATATGAAGCTTTCTTGACTTGAGTGGGACCTGGGGCCCAGTTGCATTTGGCACTTGGCAGCATTAGGGCCTCACCATGCTGTGGAATGAATCCTAACTTGGTCAATTGCATTTGCAAAGCTATCACTGCTGTCCGGACAAATGTCGCCAACCTCAGTGATGCAGCAATGTGGAAGATCAAGAGGGCTCGTTTCGCACGTAATCGTCAGAAGAGTGTGCGTTCCCTGAGGGACAGTGTGAAGGGACCAGTGGAGTCAAAGAGAGCGCTCTCCCTTCCAGAAACCTTAACCACCAAAATTCGTTGAGTATCTATTTATATTTTTGTGACACACCTGTATCTTCTCCCTTAGGATCGTATCCTGTTGTTGGGTACACATCAGAATTCTCAACACTTACCCAATTGGGATAGCAAATTTAGGTTTCTGACTGATTTGGGCATTATTCAAATAATGACAAGTTAGTGAGTTTGACAAAGAACATAGACAAACATTATGTCTATGCTGTGTTTGTTTAAAATGCCAGAACAAAATGCTCCAAGACTAGTTTGTGGATAGATCTTTATTTTTATTTGTGGCTAATACGCAGTACTTTTGTCTAAAATAGATACAGTCTTTACAGAAAAATTCCTATGTTATTTATTTATTAACTGTAATTTTTAATCCGTGTATGCAGCATATCTTAGACATCTTAAAAGCAACTGTTAATGTCTCAAATGAGCTTTTGGATATCTTCAGAATTCCTTTGTTAAGAAAACAATGTCCATGCAACTCATCATTCCTGCCAGCTTCTATAGGAGGACCTAGGTGCTGGAAAATCATAGGCCTTTATGGAGCGCTGTACAGATATCTTTCCAAGCAGAAATAAAGCTTACCCATTCTCAATTAGAGAATTTTACAAACCCAGATTAGTCTTTATGTTCAAATTGGACCTCTCACATTGCTCCTACCCATATAATAGGAACTGATAAAATGTTCAAACTTGGGTGCTGGTGAACTATTAAGTTAAAAGGTAATTTCTTTTCTCCAAAACAACCACCACCATATTTTGGGACTCAGGTGATCCTTCTTGACCAATTTCTGATCCTGCACAGGGGCTCCTGTGTGGTGACTCTTGTATCAGCAAAACTGAACGATGGCAAACACTAGAGTTATAGAACATGGTACGCAAAATCTGTAAGGCACAGAAGTGACATGTTTCAAATGGTTACACTCACTGCGTGACAACAGTGCATGAGTAAATGAACATAAATATGCTAGCACTGAATATATGCTGAAGTATAAGATGTCAGTACTGCCTTTTTAAACAGAGTTGCTTTTTTTTTGTTGTTTTTTAAGCTGTGAGCTTGACCAGACACGAGCAGTCTGCTCCAGCACTTGGAGGAACACCAGAGCAAACACCAGGTGGGTTTGACAAGGCAGGGTGTTTTGATGGAACAGGAAAAGGAAGGCACTAGCACTGGCTTTCTTGTCGACTCATGAGATAAACTTATGCAAGATGGAAGTTGTCTAAAAGGCACAGTGAAATCACGTCTCCTCATGGTTCCAAAAGGTGCAAAGTGAAGTTTTGCTCTTGAGTTGTACTGAAAACTGCCCCCAGTTGTAAATAGTACTTTGGGGCTGGGGGGAGGTTATTCAGAGGCACTCAGCTATGCCGGCAGTGCCTCACCCTCCTGTGTTTCATTGCTTGCAGGAACAAGTAAATCTTTAATAGGCTGGCCCTATGGGTCACCTATGTTCAGCCTGATCTTTGGCCTTCAGGTTTTAGAGACAGCTGACAGAATGCCTTTGATTGTCAGTACTGTAAATTACACTTGTCTCCTCTGTATGCTTATAGGCATCTTAAGTAAGTCCCTTATTTTATATTTACTGACAATTTGTGAAGATGTCACCCTTCTGTCAGAACTCATTGAGTTCTGTTTGGAGAACCAGGATTTATTTAGAGCCCCACAATCATTTAGTCTCATTTCATCTTATCTTCTTCTTTGTTTTAGTGAAAATCTCACAACATGTAATAGAGATGAAAATAAGTAGAGCTGAAGAAAACAATCTAATATAATCTTTATGAAAATGGCATCTTTTTGATACAATTTCATGGAAAATTTTAACCTGGCTATAATATGTGGAAAGATTATTTCTCAGTTGATGTCCACAAAGCTAAAGTTATTTTCTATATACATTTTTACGGTGCTTCTGAAAATGGTACTTGCTGTATTTCTGATTCTAATTATTTCAGAATTTATTGGTTTCTTTTTGCATCTGCAAATCTTCGTCCAGCAACAGTTTGCATAGAGAATTTTCATTTTGAAGGAAGGTTTCTGTAAATAAAAAATCACAGTGAAAAGTGTATGGATAAAAAATGTAATATGAAGTTCATGGTTTCTTTTTACCAAAGTGAGACCAGTAAAGGAAAGTTATTCTTACTAGAAGTGATTCTGAAAATTCCCCTCCTAGTTTTCTTTTTCACCTATCATAGAAATAGCAACCTTCTCCTATGCTCAGCAAAACAGCCAATCAAACAAACCCCTTTGCTCACCCACCAATAAAATGTAAAATATTTAAAAATTATTTTAAAAAATCACAGACAGTGCAGTTTTGCTGGTGAAGAACCTAAGACAGATGCAGTTGTACCAGCAAAAGAGTCCCTGGTCAGAATAGCATATTACATTAAGAATATGGGTAAATTAGAATGTTAAAACAATTTTTAGCATTTGCTATAAATATATAGTTATGAATTTACATGAATCCTAAGGCATGTAAGTCTAACAGGCTAAGTGGATATTAGTTGCTGGCTAGTAACCCTAACACAGGCATGCAGGAGCAATTTCAAGAGTATACTTTGAGCTAATCTTGTTTGTAGGATCTGTCCTGTAAACTTCGACTTAAACTGTTCTTGCAAAAGTAAGGACTGTGTCCAATAGTTGAAAGGATTTATCCTTGAAAGAAAAACAAGTAGATAAAGCAAGCTGCTTCATACCAGCTTGCTTTATCTCAATTATTCCCTGTTAGATAGCTTTTTAACCACGGATCACAAAATACATCAGAATACATTTTAGTAACAATTAATTTTAATTGTTAACAGTTAGAGTGTTTAATGAACAAACTAAAATTAATGGTGTAATAAAAACTTAATTTCCAACTATTGCCGTGTTTTGATCTGTCAAAATAATATTTTCTGTTCTCTTTGATTATCTTAGTGGAAATAATTTTTACTTATTATTGCATATAATGCATATATAATGCATTTTATTTATATTAATTTAAATTACTGTTTTAAAATAGAGCATGTTGGAATAATATACTGTGCTTTAGCTATGCATTTATTCAGAATTATTTAATAAAAACAATCTGATATACTGATGTGTGAAATATGTTTTGCTTTTCATGAATTCAGTTCCTAGTGTTAGTATAACATAGATCATAGGAACTGCTAAGCACTAAAAAAAGGCCTTACACATAGGGTGAAATGGAAGAGGGTAGCTCCAAAGGCAGTTACTAGAGAATTCTACTAATGATATATGGTCTTAAAAGCAACTGGAAATATTGTATTTAAAAAAAAAATTGAAGTATGAAAATGAAAATACTTGCCCAGTTGACAACTGTTATTTGCAGCATGTCTGTTTTACTTGGATAGTGATAGCCAGCACCCAAGCTTCCTTGTGCTTTGTAAGTAGTCTCTTGTCTTTCACACAATCATATTCCTATGCAAAGTATTACTGATTGATTCAGTGTTTATAAACCAAGTCTTAGGCTTCTTCTCTGGGAAAAAGCCAACAAAGTTTTGATGTACTACATTGTGTCATAAAACCTAATAAATTATAGTGCCTACATTTTGGCCGAAGTTATTTGAGAGAAATATGGACACATTTTTAAAAGGGGTGGTCTTCATTCTGTGTTTGATCATTATTTGGTAGAATTTTTTCATCTCTTGCCGTTTTGTACATCCTCTGCTGGCAAAGACTAATGTCCACGAACATTTGCTGAGGAAAGACTGAAAACTATGCCAGATAAGAATCTGGTGGCAGTGGGATTTGATTCTCCTTTACTGCATAGATGCCAAGGAATAATAGCACTCAATTTGACAGAAATGCACTGGGGTGGGAAGATAAGCAGCTCTGTTAAACATGGGAAAGCTGAGAAACGGAGTTCAGTGTACACAGTAGGTGTTACTGTGCTGTTGAGCCTGATGCAACAGGGGAGCAATGCCCTCAGAAATGCATGCCTATCTCCTGTGACTTCACCATGTGCATTTGGGCAGAAATGGAGCAATGAACTCTGGAAAAAAATTCTGGTGTATTTTGTACCCTGTTGACAGTCTTATCTAGTGTCTGATACCAATGTCTCTCCTGTGCTGATAGGACAACCCTCCCCAGAGAATGATAACACAATAAAAGACCTGCTGCCAGAGGATGCTGGGATTGATCACCAGACTGTCCACCAGCTCATTACTGTGCTAATGAAGTTCATGGCAAAGGATGAGAGCAGCGCTGAGTCGGACATCAGCAGCGCTAAAGCTTTCAACACAGTCAAGCGCCATCTGTACGTCCTGCTTGGTTATGATCAGCAGGAAGGATGTTTCATGATTGCACCACAAAAAATGCGTGTTTCGACTTGCTTTAATGCCTTTATTGCTGGAATAGCACAAGTAGGTGAAGGCACTTACTACTTTTTGCAGCTCTTTCTCATTGCCTGTTGTTGAAATGGTGGTAGCACAGCCTTCTTTGTACCAAAATAATGGCTGAGTGCAGTAATCCTACTTAAATCTCCTTAATGCCTCTTCAGTTGGTGAAAGTATTTGGGAATAAGGATGGCTGCTTTTTCTTTACTCTCAGAAGGCTCCATGTAGCCTAATCAAGTGCTTTTTGTAGGTTTCTACTTTGCAGTTAAAAAGTAGGTAGTTAAATAGAAGTATGCTAATTTCTTACTAGTACTCTAAACTTGCTGCATCATTGGCATAGAGATAACAGTTTTGTGTGTGTGTAGGCATGCAAATACTACCACTGTATGAAAAATCAGAGACTGCTCCAAACCTCTTTGCCCTCTTTCCATAGCCTTTGAATGCCTTGTTTTCCTTATATGTCATTTCCTCCTTTCCCATTCAGGAAGACCTGGGACCCATGTGCCCTTGCTTGTTTCCCAGCGTGAATGGTCTGTAAACTCTTCCACATTCTTCACTTTGCAGGAGACTGATTCTCCTTCTTCCTTAGAGTGCACAAGGACTTTGTTTTCCCTTTCCTAGGGAGTAGTGCCACCATGATGAACTTCTGCCTATATTGCTGTGATAAATGACTGAGCACATCCTTGCCTTGTGCCTTCTTTCTCCATCTTGTAAGGACGACTGTCATTTCCTACCTCACAAGGCTCTTCTAAGGCTCAATTAATTCTTACTGATAGAGTAGTTGGTGATGCTAGGCTGAAAAACATTTCACATTTGCATAGTATTCTTATTATTTGCAGTGAACCATCATTATTACTTCCGCGCTTTTTCCTTATCACAGTCTCTCATAAAGGATTACCTTAGGGGAGAGAGAGGGCTGTGATTTCAGATTTCCCCCTGCCCCAGCTCTTAAAATGCCCACTGTAACCTTCAAACATTGTTCAAAGCTATCCTGGCCTCTTCTGTATCTGCAATTCTTCTCAGGATTTTCTGGTTCATACACTGGAATCAGTGATTTTTTCAGAGTCAATTGTAATGTAGATACTTGGATAAACTTTCACAGTTATGGAGAAATCAGGTATCCATATTTCAGCAGGCAAAATAGAAGGTGTTAATGCAAACTGGGTAGCTGCAAATGCATCCTGATCCATTGTCTCAGAGCACTGTTGCTATGTGTTGTCAGTCATCTTTCATCTGTACAGTTTTAAGCTGAAGCATGTAAAAGGAGATTCAGGCCTGTTATTGAGAGTCTGGAAGTGGCAGTTTAGTCACAGGGCAGTATCTTCCATGTTTTTCTACATGTTTTCCAAGTTTGGATCGCCAAACTTCAGGGATCATAATTGACATGATTTTCAGAAGTACTACTTACTGCAACTCTAAATATCAGCCCCTGCCTTTCCTCTTTCACCTTTAAAATGTCTCATGATAGCCAAATTCACCATTTCTGTTTGAAAAGCTTCGTAGTTGAATCCTGGCTCCCCTGATGTCAAATGGAGTTTGAGAACTTCAGTAGGCGAGGATTTTTCTCCATGTAGCAGACATCAAAACTTTAATTTATATTTTAGGGGGATTTTTTTCATAGCTGTAGGGCTGCTTTGTGTTAGGAATCACCTTTGCTGCAAGAGAAATGCTGTTTGCAATCTGAAGATGCATTTACAGAGTGAAAACTCAGTACAGAGTTTTCTTTTATAAGAGATATTTCAGTTACACTCCCTCCCCTAGGCATAAATATTTGCTTTCCCCAGTCAGCTCCACAAAGGTTGGGATTGGGCTGACTTGCTGGTTCGTTGATTTTGATTACAAGCTTGCTTGGAATGGTCAGTTCAAAAAAAAAAGAAAAATCAATGTCTCTTAGTATTTTGCATCATAAAATTTTATATATTTGGAATTCTTGAAAGCACAAAATGCCTTTTTCACTCCCTAGCAGCAGAAGTGGCCAAGTTTTGGTGTTAGCAGTCACCGCAGCATTGCCCCGCATGGTGGCAATGTTGTACAAGCCTGTCAGAGTGAGGAAGCCAGCGGTGCTGGGCACTGCTCAGCATCCCAGGCTGAGCTCTGCTCAGCATTTGCAACATCATTTATTCTAGATCTACCCGTGACAACTTAAAAAATGTGTCTGTTCAGCTTAAGACATGTCTGCATTACAGTATGTGCTGTGTTAAGGAAGGGCTCTGTCTTCCTTGTATGGATGAGTTTTCCTAACCATGCTGTATAACTGTATCACACCCTGAGGGGACAAGGCATTACACAGTAAGACCATATTTGGTGATTATATATCATCTGTTCGACAGGCTAACCCTGCATGGATAGACATGGGATTCATCTATTTAGCTCTATGCATGCAGCACAAAAATTTGAGACAGCTGCACATTGAACTAGAGGATTTTACGGGAAAAAACTTCTAGTCAGCTTGTTCAGGAGGGAACTTGAGAGATGAGTTCTCTGTTTGTAAATTAGGCTCATCCCCTTGTTCTAATAAAAACAAAACCAAAAAAAGAAATACAGACCTGAAGGAAATGGATCATGTGGATGAAACTGATGTTTGTGTCTGTTTAGATGTACAGGGCTCCTGGTAAAGTGCACTAAGTCCACTGAAACTGCAGGGATGTGTTAGATCTTGGGGGCTGTGCTGGAGTTTGCTTGGCCTGCTGTTACACCTTCCTGGGTGTCAACCAGTATAGGTCAGCGTCAGAGACAAGGTCTTTGTGGATCCTTGTTATGATCTAGTTTAGTTGCTGATTTCAGGACATATGGCTTTAAATAAAAATAGCTAATGTTGCAAGACTGATGGAAAGATAATGAAAAATAGCAATGCAGTTTCAATTGAAAACACAGTTGTGTCAGGGTAGTGGGAATATATGGCCACACTGCACCTAACAATCAGGATTCAAACCTTAAGGATAAGCACCAAATGGCAGGATGCTCTTCAAAGGTCATGATGGAAGCAAGGCTTATGACTAGCAGTAATAACAGTAACCTGTCTACAGCAACACTATCACTTAAAATTGATGAGCATTTTATTTGGAGCAAGATTTTTTTCATTAGCTTTATTTTTGGATCCTTTAGAATTTGCATGCTTTGATTTTCTGCATAACATCGCAGACAATTTCTTACCTTTGCCATAGTGAAGAGTGGGATTCTTGTCTCATTACCAGATTCCAGAACATGGGGCTTAATAACACCCAACAGCTAATGTTACAAGCCTGATGAAAAAATAATGAAAACCGGCAATGCAGTGTTAATACAAACCCAAATAACCAAAATACACACACACCCTCCTCCCAAAACCCACAATTGCATCCTGTCTGTTAAACATGGAATATACCTAATATGATTTTGTCTGTTGAAGCATGATCAACTTGGGCTATAATACAAGGCTATCCCAGCATGATATATTTTATGACTTGCCGATGTATGCATGCTAAAATTTAGACTGTACAGGATGAAACATTTTCAGAACACATCTTTTTGTTTCATTTTACCTATGTAGCTAAATTTATGAGAATGTGGCAAGCTGGCAGAAAGTTTCTAACTGATAGTGAGACTTCCTTAAAAACATCTGTTTCTTTTCACTTAACTGATACCTCAACTGTATTAGTTATTTTGCTTTTCAACGTCAGTGGATTTGATTTTGGTGAGCTAACTCCTGTGCTACTATTCTTTTCAGGTGATGGACTATAACATCAACCTGGGTAAACACCTTCTTCCCTTGGTGGTGCAGGTGTTGAAATATTGCACTTGTCCTCAGCTACGGCATTACTTTCAGCAGCCTCCTCGCTGCTCCCTCTGGTCCCTCAAACCTCACATTCGGCAGATGTGGTTAAAGGCTTTGCTTGTCATTCTCTATAAGGTAAGTGGTCTTAAAAAGACGCCGTCCACATTCAAATTTACACTTCAATTTGAAATTTATTACAGGGAACATCTAACTGTACTGCAAGTGAAAGGAATTGTAAAGAACACTCTGATTTGATTTGGTTGCTTACTGCATTTAATTTCAGTGTCTGAGGTAGTTAGGCTTTCATCTGTGCTACTGACCTCTTACTTCTGCTGTCTATATTTTTCACATGGTTACCTGAGAAAGAAAAATATAGATTTGAAAATACGAAAATGCTTTATAAAGTTCCAGTGAAGAGTATTTTGAGTAACTTAGAATTAGTTTTTAAAAAATATTAGTAACTTTAAATGGGTGGGGTGTCAGCTTAACAGCTTGTATTCTTTAGTTGAGTGATGCTTTTTAGGAAGTGTTGTTAAAATGTAGTGTGTTTATGCACTAAAATGGAGCTGTGAATACTTTTGATATGCTTAACAAATTTCTATCAGGTCTATACGGCATATGAGGAAGTGGAGATACTAGAAATGAATGATAATGTGCTGATTGAAATAGAGTATTTGGAGAACAGTTCTGATGAGAGACCTTTTGCATTATTATTAATAGCTGGTTTTGTCATATAGAAGTCAAGAAAACAATGTGTTAGATGTTGCTAATAGGGATTTTTAAAACTTTAAAATAATTCTGTGTACAAAGATGAAAACACTTCTGCTTCTCATGATGTATTTAGAAATGTATGATCAAAGAAAGGCATAGGACATCCAGCTGACAATATTCTTGTCATTTTTCTTTTTTACTGCCTAAATGTTTATCCAAGGAGAAAAGTTAGTTTTTAAGCTGAAGTTTTTCTCTTTCACTGAACAGTACCCCTACAGAGACTGTGAAATCAGCAAGATTGTACTTCACCTAATCCACATCACAGTCAATACCCTCAACGCTCAATATCACAGCTGCAAGCCCCATGCAACTGCTGGTCCTTTGTATAGTGACAACAGTAACATAAGCCGATACAGTGAAAAGGAAAAAGGTACTTTTAACACTCTCATTTATATGATAGTCATTGATTGAATTCATCAAGTCTTGCAGATATTGTAGAAATGGGTAAATATGGTCTGAACTTTAGAACATAATACTCAGAATTAAGTCTAAGGTGTGTTGTATCTGACCAGCTATAGCCATCTATAGTAAAAGAAATTGACAATTTCTCTGTAGGCTACCATAGCACAGCAGTCTAACAGTCTCTTGGAGGGAATGTACCTTAGACTTAGTAGTTCAGTCACTATGCCTGGATAGTCCTTGGCCTTTTCTATGACGATAATAACTGATCTTGCCCACACACAAAGTGTGCAACCAGTCTGACACAGCATTCTGATTATACTTTATAATAACATGGCATAGTAGCAAATACTTGATGTTGAAAAGAGAAAATGATGAATTCAGTCTATAGTTTGGTTTTCTCTGTAAAAGGAGCTGAAGTTGACTAGCTTACATGCAGACGTATATGATGTGGATGTCTAAAGGCAGAAGAGAATGATTCAACCCTTAGAGTCTGCATCCAGTTGTTAACTCTGTATGTGCTTGCTAGCTGTAGCAGAGGTACTGTGATGGTGTGAACTGGTGTAAGGTGGGGGCTTGAAATAATGTGGTGTCACTGAGTGTAGGTCCTTACAATTGTGAAGTTTATTATGTGATAAGTATTTATGATCAAAGTTTAACAGGTTCTTTTGATGTTAATCTTTAGCTGCCTTTCAGCTGTTTTGCCTTTTAGCCGCTTATTGCTATTTACATCCTCCCTCTCAAACAGTCTTCCTAGTGTGCAGCAAGCACTTCTTCCAAAGAATACAAGAAGGACTCTTCATGCACGTCAGTACCTTTTCCTCTTTTGCTGCTTGTTGCTCATAAAAAGATATCTAGCAGAACAAGGACACAAAATTTTGTTTACCTGAACACCCTGTTACTTAGCTTTAGCCAATTAAAGCAACCTTAAAATGGATGTAAATGATGTATTGCATATTCTCACCCAGTTGGACATTTTGTATTGCTAGAGGAGGGCTAAGATAACTGTTCAGATAACTGTGGACTTACTATGAATTTTTCTTTATTTTGAGCTGAGTTAATGACTTAATTCATAAAGACTTAATAACGCTGAGGGTAGTAATAATACATTTATAATATGCATTCTGTTTCTGGATTGATTCTGAGACATTTCTAAGACAAAGCAAGGTGCCTAAGTACCCAGCTTGTGGTTCACAGTAAGTGCCAAGTTAGGTTTAGTAAACTCGGTGTTCCGATTCCATGTCCAGCATTGATTCCTTGGGTGGCCTTGTGTCTCACTTCATCGTTGTTTGCCTATGTTTAAAGTAAGGAGAATAATATTTACTTGCTTTCCAAAGCTGTTTTGAAGGGCTTTGGGCTGCTTAGAGGGAAAGGACCGTAAATGGGCAAATTTTGCTCTGTAAATGCTGACTTAATCGTAGGGCTGATTCTCCTCCTTTGCTGAAGTGCTACAGAAAAAAGAGGATGCAGAAAAGTTTTCTTCTACCTGCAAGAAGCAGCCAATATAATTCCATAGGGACTTAGAAAGTTGAAGCCTTTCCCACCTTTTCTAAGGAGGCTTGTTTAGTCTCTGGTCAGGTAGTGTGTGTGCTGCTGTCATCATCCAAGGTGGTGTTTAGATGATCAACAGATGAGGATTTCATTGTCAGGCAGCAAGAATCCCTATGCTAGAGATGGATTTTTGCACTATTGAACCTTTTTCCTAATTTTTCTGCCAAACTTTGTTAAGGGGATCATGGCAAGTGTACAGACTGTTGTAGAGCTGATGATGAATCTTGTGAGAAGAAGCATTTGTTGCCCAGGGGAAGGAGTTAGACACATAGGACATGACGTTAAAAGTGATCTCCTAACTTATTAAACCCAGTCCCTGTAGAAATTCTTATTATCAACTTCGATTGATTTTTCTGGATTCATCATATCAGTTAGTTATCTTATCCTTTATGCTATTAGGTGGCAGCTCCATAGCTTCACATGTAGCAGAAACTTTCCAGCTATTTCAAAGCTAAAGATATTAATGTCCAGTTTAAGTCTTCAGTTTTTGGTCATTCTAACTCTTTGGCTTACTTGCCTCTTCACTCCTAGACACCAAATGCATTTCCTCTTCATGTTTGTTTCCTAGAATAAACAAGGCAAACTTTTTTGTTTCTTCTCTCGAGCGCTCTGTTTTCTTTATCGTCTCAGTAGTGTTTCCTATTTCCTTGGAGACGAATCACTAGACACAATAGATATGGATTTTTTTCTTTTTTTATTTCTTTTTTTATAGCCATTTCATACAGGCGATGTGGATATTTTTTGATGGATAACTTTCTTTCTCTCTGCCATTTTCAACCAGCAGGTCTCAAATTAGAGTATAATGTTTCACTATTACTACTTAGAGCAATAATTTCATAATTCATACTCTTAGGTCTTATTCTATTACTATTACCAACTTTCCAAGATTATCCATTTCTTCCTTTTTCACTTTCCTATTTTGCTGTTTTTTTCCTGACCTTGCAGTTCTTGTACTAATTTTGATCTTCTTCCATTTACCATTTCTCACTGAGCACTATAGAAGTTATTTACTCAAGTCAGTGTTCAGATCTATTGTATTTCTTCCATCTACAGAATCTATATTATTATCAGTAGAAAAGATCAGCTTAGAATGGTAAAAGCTTTGGTATACTTTTGTTGCATTGTAACCCATTTTTCATTTATCTCTGTCCTTTCTGACCTTAATTCAAGATGTAACAAGAATGGCAAAGTTATACCTGGGATATAAATTTTCTTGCAAACTTCAGATGATTCTTCATTTTCCAATTCAAGTTTAATTGAAACTAGCTGAGGTTTTGTTACATATACAGCTTTTCATTCAAGGAATTGCACTCTCTTAAGAGTAATAAAGTTTTTTCTTTCTCCAGCAGAGGAAGACAGTGTTTTTGATGAATCTGATATTCATGATACACCAACTGGACCTTGCAATAAAGAATCTCAAACTTTCTTTGCAAGACTGAAAAGAATTGGTGGCAGCAAAATGGTGAAATATCAACCAGTTGAGATGAATGCTCAGAGAAGTATGAATTGTTTTGTCGGTATAAACTCATGCAGAAATACAATTTCCTACTCTTAGTCTCAAGCTACCACCTTTCTTTGTAGAGTTTGTTGCATTGCCTGATTTGAATACAAGTACTCTGTCTGACTTTTGAGAGCAAGTACTCCTCATTTCCCTGAATGAATTCTCGTACAGGAATCTCAAAGTAGGCACTCCAAAATAAAAATACCTAAATTCAGCAGTTGTTTTCTGAACCTTTAAGGTCTTTTGAATGTAAAAATTTTTAAGAGGATTTGTTGCAATTTTTTTCCACCATTGGGCTGAAAATTTTTGCTCAAATTTATTTTTTCCCAGAAATTGATATTTGATGAGGTGGGACTCTATGGTAAGCAAATTTTTGTTGCTGCTGCAAATATTATGGTTTTCTATTGGTAAAAAGGGTCATTTGGTGGTTTCAAAAAATAGGAAGGATTTTGTTTTCAAATTTAGCTTTCTGAAATGAATATTATAAAAAAATTGAGATTTCCACCACCACCCGCCTGCCTTTTTTTCTTTCGGGTGTTTGCATGGCGGGGGGAAAAATTCTGACTACAGTGAACATCTACCTCAACTTTTCTCACTGCTTTTTTTTGCATGGTGATTCATATGTGGAGCATTTTGAAATATGGGGATAATAATGATCAGGAATATTCTGGTTTATGTGAAAATATGTAATTCAAAATAACAACAGTGATGACCTTTTAAAATATTCTCAATGAATGTGTTCACACAGCAAAATACCAATGCAGTGGTAGTACCAGCAAGTATAACTGTGCTCACTTTACTCCTCCCTAGGATGAGGAGGTATGACTATGTGGTGTGATAGTTGCTAGACTCTGATGGGGTCTAGGATCACTGGGGGAAAAATTCCCTGAAAATCTGTCTGATCTCAGGCTTGTGCTGTGACATCCTCACTGCTATTGCTACCCTTGCCTCTTGAATTAGAGGCATCCATTTTAAGCCCACTTTGCTGCAGTAAATAACATGTAGGTGTACTCTAATATATGCTGATGGTCAAATGATGTCCACAATGCTGTTGTCCAAAATTATTTTGAAACCTCTTCAGAGTGTTCTGTGTAGCTCATTTCGTCTTTCATCTCTCATGCCTAATGCAGCCATCCCAAGTGTCTGTAGAAATTACTTGCCTGTGCCATCTTCTTTTCAATGCATAAGGTTAAACTCTCTGTCTTCAGGGTACATCTGTCCAGGATGAGTGGAATTTGGACAGAATTTAGGTAAACCCTATTATCCAAATAGTAGGTTTTTTTGTTGTTGTTTGTTGTAAAAATCTACCTAATGTGGCTCTGAGGTTAAACCAAAATCTAGACAATTTTGACTAATACTGGGTTTGTATTTGAAATGCCAGTCATGTTGAATTGTGAGATAAAGATGAAGATATCTGCCAGAAGTCTCCAACTGAGGTAGTATTAGCTCTTTCTGTTTTAATCAGGTGAAATAGAGCTGGCTGAATATAGAGAGACGGGGGCCTTACAAGACAGTATTCTACGCTGTGTGAGAGAAGAAAGCATTCAGAAAAAAAAACTGCGCTCTCTAAAACAAAAATCTCTTGATATAGGGAATGCAGACTCCCTGTTGTTTTCATTAGATGAACATCGCAGGAAGTCCTGCATAGACCGGTGTGACTTAGAAAAACCACCTGTCCCTGCTGCTTACGCCATACACAGGCAGAGTGATTATGGACGCTGTCGGCAGAATTCTTCTACTAAAGCTGAAAATATAGAAACACAAGAAAATCTTCCTTGTACAGAGAGTTTCCAGGAAGCAAGAAGACCTGTCATACCAGAAGTTAGGCTAAATTGCATGGAAACCTATGAAGTGAAAGTGGACTCTCCGGTTAAACCTACTGATCCCAAGGAAGATTTGGATCTGATAGATTTGTCCTCTGACTCAACATCAGGTCCTGAAAAGCATTCAGTACTCTCCGCTTCAGACAGTGACTCTTTAGTCTTTGAACCACTTCCTCCCCTTAGAATAGTGGAGAGTGATGAAGAAGAAGAAACAACAAACCAGCTGAATGATGAGGTCTCTGGCAAAACTGCTGTGTCGTCTCCCTCAACTCCTATCAATGTCTCTGCACTCAGCCTCAGCACAACTCCACTGGTCCAGTTCAGCATTGAAGATTGCTCCAAAGACTTTAGTTCTAAGGATACAAGCAACAATGCTTCATCAGGAATAGAGGAGATACTTTCCACTTCTCCCAAAGATCAGAAGGACTCTTCAGAGTTAGTTAAGTCAGAAGAACTTCAGGACATGTCCTGTGGGAACCCACTAACACTGAAACAGAAAAGGGACCTGCTGCAGAAGTCATTTGCCCTTCCAGAAATGTCCCTTGATGATAACTCTGAGCTCAGTGTGGAGGAAATTAGACCTAGTGGAGCAATTCCAAGCCCAAATGTGAAGACAGTCCTTATTAAAGTCCCCGAAGATTCTGAAAACCAAACGGAAAGTGATAAACTTGATACCAACACAGAGTCTGACACTGAACAAAACACAGAGCAGAAACAAGAAGAGGAGACTGAAGAGTCAGAATTTAAGATTCAGATTGTTCCTCGCCAGAGGAAGCAGAGGAAGATTGCTGTGAGTGCTATTCAGAGAGAATACCTGGACATTTCCTTTAACATCCTTGACAAGCTGGGAGAGCAGAAGGAGGCAGGTGAGCTCAATCACTGACCCAATCAAAAGGCTTATTACTGTATGAAGGTTTTAGTAACAGGACAGGACAGTGTAAGAAGAGATGTGTATATATAGCATCTGATGTGCTCTGAGCGAGCTGAATGCTTTCAGCTATTTGTTTCTCACAAGGAATGTACTAACCATACAGGTATCATGCATGTATGAGGGCCCATTTGGAAAGGAAGTGGAGCTCAGTGACAAAAACACTGGTTCTGCTCTCCAAGTTAGGAAGTGAAACTCCATGGCCTCTTTATGCGGGGAGTCAGAAAAATTGTCATACTTCTGTGCCTTTTATCCTGCTAATCTAGTCCATGCTACACTGATTTTCTTTTGTGTGTAGTGATTTTTGGCCTTTATTTCTTCTGCAAGCATAAGGCAGTGGAAAGCAGACTGGATCACAAAGTGTAAATCTGAACAGGCTGTAGACTTCAGAACTTGGAATTAACTGCAGTTTTCATTTAGGATCAGACATACATACATACTCTGTTTTTATAAACTAAAGACTTTTTGTAGCCTTCTCTGTATTGGCACAATATATATCCACAAAGTTTACATGGCTGGTGTTTGTTAAAGATTTAAAGTTCAAGCATGGGGAAAGCCATACAGTATTTCTGTGTATCCCAAGTTTTTTCAGGTCACTTCAGTACAGGGTTTTGTTACTAAACTTTTCAGGTGGAGAGAAAGTGTGTTTTAGCTGTTTCCTCAGTTTCCAATTGGATGTGTCAAACAGTTTTAAACATTGTATGCTGCTGCCTGTTTACTTCTGGGGCTGGTTTTTTTTCAGGATTTTTCAGTTATTAGAATTTTACTGGTCTTTTTTTAACATATTAATTAAAAAAGGCACGAATCCTTCAGGCTGTAGTTCTTTGTTGCTGGTGAAGTGAGGGGGAATATTTATGCATTCCTGACCTCACTTCTTTCTTAATTGCTTCAGAGGGAACCATAAAATAACTTCCTATTACGTTATTCCACTTTTACAAGGAGAAATCATTCAGTGTGATGATAGTTATGCTGTTCCCTTTATGTTTCAGGCCTGTTGTCCCATTTATAGTTCCAGTAAGCTGAAGAACCGCTGGAGCTTTGTAAAAACAAAAGGGAGTTGAGTACTTGTGAACCTTTCACATAGGTTCTTGGAGAAGAATCATCATGAAAGAATTGTGCAGTTAGACTCAAATGGTTTTTTGACCATTAGTAAGGGCCAGTTTTCATGCAGTAACTAACACTATTATCCTTGAAACTGTTTGGAAGGGCTGTCCCAGTTCTGAAACACCACATGGAACCTAGGATTATAGCATATATGATGGTCATTTGGCTGCATGCATCTAAGTATGTCATCCAAGGGGAGCATAAAACGTTCACAATGACTCATTAAGTGCTCATTTACTTCACAGGTTGATGCAGGCAATTCAGATAACTAGGTAATTTAGTGACTTGGGTAGTTTAATGTATCTCATGTTCTGTTTTGTTTATCCTTATTGATTAGTTTATTTGAGAACATATGTCTTGTAATTCATTTAAGTAGGCTTAATATTGCCATCATAATGGGCTGATTATCATTTCAAAGTCTTACTCAAGCTTTTTCAGCCTATTATACTTCCATATGTTTTAGACGGGCTTCTGATATAACTGATCTCTGAATTAAATACCCAAATGGGCTGTTTCTTCAAGTGCACAATACTGGATTACAGGATTTCCTGCCTGAAACTTTTTACAGCAGAGATATGTAGGCATTTTTATAGGATATGCTGAAACCAGCCATCAACACTTGAAAATTGCTTTATTCTTCCCATGTTGACAGTATCAGTTATCATAAAATAAAAACAGTTTTAATGGCTTATTTTTCTTTTTAATGATAGAATCTTAAACTTTTTGAATCTTTAGGATCAACTGCCAGATCAGCAGCCTTCTGAATGAAAACTGATAACATGTTGGAGATAAGGCTTTTAAAAGATGCTAAGCTGTCACTTAAACTAGCTTTACATCAGTGATACCTTTCTTATTTCCCTATTGGTGGTTCTGATAATCACTCTGTGAGTGGGATCAAAATCAAACTCTATGTGCATTTATTAGTTCTGAGCTCTAAAGAGCAGAGGTAGGAATCTCCTTTAAAAAGGGATTTTAAGCCGTAGATCCCTGTGCCTCTATAAAAATTCTTACGTTGCACACATTGAATCCTTTTAAAACTGCTGGGAATGCCAGATGGTGAATGGATGACTGAAAAGATGTGAAAAATGCATCCAGGGAGAAAGCGGATGGAAAATGTTTATTGATTCTAAATACTGAGAGTTAAGCACAATTTTCACATGCAGATCCTGCTGCCAAAGGACTTTCAACACTGGAAATGCCAAGAGAGTCATCATCTGCACCGACCCTTGAAGCAGGTGTCCCAGAGACAAGTAGTCACTCTTCCATATCAAGTAAGTTTACCTCTGGTTTGAGAATTAAATCTAAGTTGCTGTATTTGTGCACCAGATGCATATCATCTATGGTAAATGCTTTCCCCTGAGTTTCATTGATTCTTGGAAGTACAGCTGTGTTGGATATCATTAGATCTGTTAAATCTGTGATGGTCAGCAAGGTTTTAGCAGTTAGTGGCTGCAAGATTTTCTGTTGTGACATGGCAAATTTGACAAATGTGGTTTTCTTGAATTAGAGTAGGTAGCAGCTAAAAGCAGTATTTCACTAAAGCTGAATGTTTATTTTCCAGTGAGAGAAAGCATTGTCAACTGTCAGTGCACAGAAGCAGAGGATGATTGCTCCACAGGGCTGTTACTATGGTCTTCAGTACATTTCTTCCTGTACCTTAGGAAAAAAAATCTCTTGCAATTTTTGTAAAATACCTTGAAATGCCACTTCCTCAGCTACTTGCTGAAATGTGGTAATTATTTATCTGAGACTCCCATACCCATTTCAATGGAAAGTGAACTGTGTTGGTTTAAGTAGACATTAACACATGGCTTAACAGAGCAGATGTAGATAATATTGCAAGGTGGAGGCATCTTAGAACACTAACAAAATCCAGAATGGCATGTCCATCTAGGTAATGTTAAGTAACACATCCGAAGGTTGATGGGGCAGGACTCTGACTAGTAGAAAAGGGAGGGGAAATGATGACCTGCTTTGATACCAGTGAGCTGCTAGATCAGCTCAACCATCTTGCTGAACTGCAATTTCAGATTGCTGTAGAAAAGTTAAATTTTAATTTCTGAAATTCAGCATCTGCTGATTTGATTGGAAGGGATGTCTGCCCTATTAAAGAAAGATGTTATTTTAGACATGCTAGATGAGTACTCCAAATTAGAGGTTTCCTCTCCAGTTTTCATAGAATTATAGAATCATTTAGGTTGATCATTGAGTCCAACCATCAACCGTGCCCACTAAACCATGTTCTGAACATGGTTTTACCACAAGTGTCTTGTGTGCATCTCATAGTCAGAGTACATTTGTTGGCCACCTAATGATAAAGATGTCAGTTACTAAAGCAGCTAAAGAGATGCCAGTTAAGATCAATCTCTCTCTGGTTTAACCGAGTGCTATGTGTTCCTGTAAATTCCAATATATGAAATAGGGAATAGTATCTATATAATATTGAGCCTACATTCCTTTGTAAATATACCTTTCCTCTTTCTGTGTGCCTCAGTTTCCAACTGCAAAAAGGGACATGACTGCTTCTATTGTGTCTCTTGTCCATTTAGACTGAAATATTTTTGACCTTCTACTATGCGTCTTTGCAGTGCTTTGCGTAATCAGCCCTGATCAGGACTGCGAGCACAAGGCACTACTGTAACGCAAATAGATAACATTACTTGTGCAGCCAGTCCTTGGCCACAGAAAGCATACATCATTAACTGTGACAGGAAGATTTTGCCTTTGGACTTCTCTTCTTGAGTAGAGAATTCCATAGCAGTGGGGGGATGATTGACCAGATCACTAGCTAGCATATGAAAGGCTCACCAGCTACTGTATGAACATTACCGATCTTCTCATGATTGTTAGGTTTCTTGTAGAAAACCTGATGAAAACTTTCCTTCCTATGCCACTAGTCAGTCATTGGCATGAAAAGTCACGTGCTGGTCCACAGCAATCAGTCTGGCTCCAAGACTGTTCAAAGGCTGGAAGCCTTCTGGGTTTTTTGGTTTTTTAGATTTTTTTCTTAACTTATCAATATTTGAAATCATGGCTGTCCTTGAGAAATCAGGTAAATAACCCCGGAAGTCCAAACCTGCTCAACAATAGCCTGCTTACGTGAAATATGAATGGATTTTTTAAAATTTCAATCGCAAAAGCTGTTAAGAAAATTCAAAGAGATAAATTTCTATATTTTGACAGTCATCTGCACTCCAAGCAGTCTTGTCAGTTCTACGTTAACTGCTGTTCTTTCATCAGGAAATTCTATGCTTGATAAAGTGATAAAGCATCTATTTAAAATCCTTGCCCTGGAAACGATGGAGATTCTATTTTTCTCCTAATTTGCTGTGAAAGGCAGCTGCAATATAACTTTTAAAAGTGAAACATGGAATGGTCTCTTGGTCTGGTTCAGTTCCAGAAGTTCAGATATACAAGGACTGCTTTGCAGCAATTCTGAAGAAATTTGTACTTGGACCAAAAATATAGTTTAAATGCACTCTGATACGTTGAAAGGATATAATGAGGGAAAACTTAAAATAGTTCACCTAACAAAATAATTTCAGTGTGCAGATTCCCACTGAAGTTACAATAGTGCTTATTATTATTCAGGGCCTGTATTTGTTTTGTTAGGGAGTACTCTGCTTTCTCTGAATTTGAAACTCTTAGATAGAAACTGAGTAGAACAAGTTTAGGAGAAGGCACTCAACCCCTCTGAGTTTTCGGAAAGCTGTAGTTTATCCCTTGTCTGTATTTCTTCATCACAGTTAATAGTGTGAAATGCTGGGCTTATTTTCAGAGCCTAGCTGGGTACTGTTTGGAATTTTAGAACAGAACTACCTGATGTTATGTTAATACTCTTTTTGATGATGTTGAATGTAGTTGCAGATGAAAATAATCATTAGGAGATTTTGTTTTGTTGCCCTTGCTTTAAGGCCCTGTTGAGGCAAGCACTTAAACATATACTTAAGGCAACATTTTAAAAGCTTTCCTGCATGGAGATGGAGCAGTCTCACATGTGTTGTTCAAGCAGGGCCTTAAAACTCTCTCTTCATACTGTGAACAATGATTTTGGTTTCAGTGGTGGAAGTATATTGCTCAGACTCAACTGTCAAAGCGAATGTATTATGCTTATTCAATTTGAATTTTCTTATGAATGGAGAAAAAAGTAAGAAAGTCAGGAGTTGTATATGATCTATTTCTTCCTCCATTTAAGCACTGAGAAAATACATGATCACAAAAGTCTTAAATTTTAAATCCACTATTTTTTTTTAATGTATGTGTGAGCATTATTCATTGAGACACGTCTCTTAAAGCAAACGGTAATATCCATTTAAAGAAGTATTGTAAATAGTCAGATGAGGAAAAATCAAATGCTTGTTACTTGATAGCTCCATGTAACAAAAATGACAGTGAAGTTACAAAAGGGACACATCTTCAAAGGTACGCTGGCTTCACACTTCAGAAGAATGTGCAGGTGTTATGCCTGAGTGGCGGGTATTTAGGAGACCTGTTTAGATTGTCACCCATGAAGTGTGCTGGTGGTACACAGTCAGTGAATTTGTTTTCCTATGGTGAGCATGGACAGAGCAGGCCTCCCTAACTTTGCTGGGAGAAGACCAAGTTTCCTTGCTTGGTACACTGTATGTGAGTGAGATTGAAGTATAATCTATCACCTGTCAGTGTGGGAATTTTGGGGTAGTATCTTACACTTCACAGATACCAAGTGTTCTGAAGAGCTTTCATGATATTTGGAGACAAAAAGGCACTGACAGTTGACACAGTGGATGAGATCCTGCATCCAAGTCACTGATGACTGATGTCATTGGGGCCAGAAACGCACCCTGTGTAGTTGTGTGAAAAGTGCATATTGACTTGAGCAAGATCCTTATAGCAAGCAGTCATTGTCCTTTCAGTATTTATCTCAAGCTGGCTTGTAAGATCAGGAAATAAGTTGTTTTACATGTTGTCTGAGCCCCTGAAATCCTTTTGCATTTCTGACTTGCAGCTCAGTTCAGACAAATGAAAAGAGGCTCTTTGGGAGCTCTGACAATGAACCAGCTAATGAAGAGGCAGCTGGAACACCAGTCTAGTGCTCCCCACAATATCAGCACTTGGGATACTGGTGAGCTGCATTTATTGTTCCTTATTCTGTTTCCTAAACCAATTACTTTCTGTATCAATCCATTAAAAAAGTGAGTATTTCTGTTCTACCACTGCAGATATGTAATCAATCTCAAGTCTAAAGTGAAACTTTGTAGCGAGTACCAGATTCTCACCTGGTATGAATTGGAATAGTTACATATTTCGGAGGTAGTCCCTCTGGTACAGTGGTGTTCCTACAATTTCGCATATTAGTTGGGTTATTTCCTGGCCTCATTGAATGAAATGGAAGTATCGCTGTTGATTTCATTAGGTATAGGATTTCATCCCTGGTGCATGGAATCATTTATTTGCATACATGTATGTTTACAATGGTGTAGGTACATCAAGGAGTTGTGCCTTAAACCAGCCAGTTTGATTACTCTTTAGAGGAGTTTCTGCCAGCTCATGCTGAACACCTGAAGTTTCTGTTCATTCACTGACCTGTTTTTTCTCCATTTAAGATGAAAGTACAGCAGTGAAAACTGAATTATGCACATAATTTACTCATTTCTCAAGTGTTTTGTTTTTTTTCTTTTATAAAAGATTTTCTGTTATGACCAAATTCATAGCAGATGTCACTAAACAATGAATTCATTCCAGTTTATCATAAATGGTAGATATTTTATTGCCTGTCTTGATGTTAGTGACATTACGGAATTGTGTGTCTTGGGAATTTATCAGCAGATCCAGACACATCCACAGAAAGGAGTGCTTAAAATGTTATATGGAAATTAGCATGCTGAATTAATGTCTCACCACCAGTTCTGGAAAGCTGAGTTAAAATTTTTGCTTAATTCAGTCTTCAATGTTAAGTGCCATCAAACTAAATCTTGTAGCTGAAGGATGGCTAAAGGTATGGTATGTAGTTCAGGATTATCCTTTCTACTCCAGTCTGCTGAGTAGCATGCACAGCATGAGATCCTTAAATCACAAGGGTCAGAATTTGTCAATGATAACAATGGTTTTTTTGTCCTATGAGCAGATAAGTTTATTTATTGAAGAGACTTAGCTGGTATCACTGAGTTTCTCAGGCAAGGGTTTAGAGGTGAAAAAGCTACTGGTTTCATTCTGCAAGAAGTAGTTAACCTATTTTCAAGAAGAACAAGTCAATACTCAAAACCACTTAGGAACCATGTCTTGTTAATCTTGTTCCAAGTCCACTAGCTTTCTTCAGAATATCTATGACTTTTCCTTCTAACATTCATTCCAGCTAAAGTCCTCAAAGTGTGGAGATACAAAGTAAAATGTTCTTTTCCGGAAAGCTTTGCATCTCTCAGTCTCTTCTTCAACCACTGGCTTCAAAGTAAAATTATTATTTGGGCAGAAAACAGTTGGGATTTTTTTTAGGACAAATGCTCAGTGTGCATAACTTATCCCACATAAGTATATGATGCGTGCTTGGTTCATGCATGTTTGGGGGGTTTTTTTGTTTACACTGGTAGTTAGCATGTGTCTCTTTCATTTCTTATTTCAAACCCCTCTTTTCCTAAGCTTGCTATCTTTAAAATAAAATCATTTTCTGTCTAGCTCCTGTCAGCACAAACTATACCTGACTTCTAGTCTCTTGGTATTTCTAAACGCTGTCTTTCTCTTTTAGTGACTCATATATTCCGTATCTTGTTGAATCTTTATGGCTAGCACTTGCTTTCTTGTTTAATAACACTTACTTACTAAAATGCCTTCTTTGGTATTAGGTTATCCGTGTCCTTTTTCCTTTGTGGACTTCTTTCATCTTACCCCCTCCCTCCCTGCTCTTTTCTATGCTTAAAAATTTAACTGTTTTCTTTGCTTTTCCAATAGCTGTTGTATTGTCCTTCTCTTCTTTTAACTGTGTAAGACTTGTGGTGTTGTTGACAGATGCTGGATTCATAGTTCTGGAGACTGAAGTTCTGTATTTATTCACAGAGCAGATGCAGCATGGAAAGCGGCTGTGCAATGTCCCTGTTTGCCTAAACCCTGACTTGGAGGGACCACCACTAAGAATCAGAGGTTGGTTCAGTGTTCATTTGACCTGATCTTTCTGCTAAGACTGCCAGGAAGGTTTTTTGGTTAGTAGCAAATGGTGCTGAATTTTGTGTTCCATTCAGCTGTATTAAAGCTCTCAACTGTCCTGCAGAATGTAGGTTATTGAACAATTATTAGACAAGATGTTTCATTCAAGATAGGGACAACTGATAAGAAGTACTGGCTTTCTGCTAGTACTTGTTTTGGCTGTCAACCTGGAAATAAATGACTCTGTATGCAGAGTGTGGTTGAATCTCATTTCTTTATGAACTCTCCTTCCTCACAGCCGAAATACATCCAGACTTTCTTACAGCCTTGCAGTGGGGCAGTGACCTAGCTTCTTTGTCTAAATCATGTTTTTTTCCTACTATTCAGTGCACGAGAGAGGATGTTTTTGTTTTTGAGTAGTTAAGTCTTATTCCAACATTGTAACCTGCATTATGACAGCTTTTAACATTTGTGTGCTGCAATGGGACTTACATCTAGAGAACATGACAGTGAAACTTCCAAAGTCATGGCAGAGGGATCTTTATTGATTTGGGGGGGGGGGGGGTGGGGAAACCTGGCTAGAAATATGTGAAAATCTACTCCTATTCCTTGCATTCTGGATGGTGTCCTACATTACTGAAGAATATTCTGGACTTCCTGGAGTGTCTGCTCATAGCCAACAAAATCTCGGGAGACAATTATGAAGTACTAAACTCTATGCAAAAGAAGTGCTTCCTTTCATACTTAGTAAAATGATTGTTTAAAACCTGTCTTATTCTTGGGAAACAAGCCCTCATCAATCCACATATTTTGAGTTCAGAAATTGTGGGAGCTTCTTAGATTATTTTGCCTGAGACCTGATATTAAATTTGCATTTCCTGCAGTTACTGGGATTATTTCATCAGAAAGGCCATCTGAACCTAGCTTAGGTGGAGAAGCTTCCTCCTTTTCCATAGTTAAATATTACTAGAACAGGCTAATGTTAACATTAAATCTGAATCTGCAGATTGAAGCAACCAGCAAGAAAATCAATAATGGATTACTTAATCTGTGGTTGAATTGGCACCATAAGGGCATTGGTACTTTTCTAAATATTGGTTCACAAAATGAGCTTTTCATAGATTGGTCTTTAGAATGAGATGCCTTTGGGGACAGTTTATATACATAATGATGGTGTCTACCAGCTGAGCTCCCTGGATGCATTATTGGAGCTGAACTGTATGGGAACAAGAGTAATACTGTCTCTATCATGTCAGCTACATGTGGCAACCAAAAGAGATATTTTCTTTTTTAAGAACTGAATCTCTCTTTCTGTCTTAGTGACCTGGAGAACAAAGCTGCTAACAATATTTAAATTATCATCACAAGGCATCTCAGATGAATGAAATAGCTCATATGTCACAGTTGCTTTGATTCAAGTTTCTGATGGCTCGTGAATGAGTCTGATTATTCTTCTTAAGGTTTTCTTAGCAACCAGACTAGCTGGAGAGTTGCCTTTTCTGTATGTTTTTTTCTGCAATTGCTGTTGTCTGCTTAATGAAAACAAAGGGACCAAGGGAGGAAAACCACCATACTGGAGAGATGTTAGACTGTCAGACTACTCTATATTGCTGTAATTCTGGAAAGCAGAACTCAGAGAAGTCAAGAGTTTGAATCTTCCATTGTACATAACTTTTCCTATTAAAACAAGCGTCTATCAGAAATTAGGTGCACAAAAAATGCCAAAGGCAAAGGGAACCCCATATGTTTGCATGATCGCAGTGGCTATGCCCCCAGCTGAACAACTCAGCTTTGGAGAATAAAGATGCTTGTGAAGACTTTCAATGGAAAGCATTTCCAATCATCAGCCCTCCAATGTTCTCAGTCTTTCTCAACTCCTTATGAATTATTTCTTCTAGCTGTCCTTTCCTGATTTCTCTCCTATGCCTCTGTTAGGGATGGTATGAATAGATTGATGACCTGCTCTTGAGACATATGAACTTATTTCTTTCTTCATGTCACTGAGAACTGTGGGAATGTAATTTCCAAGAAGTATGGGGGAAGACTGCAAATCTTCTGGTGTCCAGTCTCATAGCAACTGTAGAATCATTCTCTCTTCCTAAAAAATTAGTAGATACAATTACATCCATCTTCCTGGAATTTTTGTTCTTTATCTTTTTTCCAAGGATTTTTTTTTTTAAGTTTTTGGGTTTTTTTAATTGATAGTTCTAGGCAATTAGAATAATCTGGCAGAAGCAAGGGATGTGATATATATCCCTTTGTAGACACACTTTGTTTCTTATTTCTATGCACAGTAAAACCATTATGGCTCTTCCTTAGAAGTCTACTCTTCAAGCAGTATGGATTTCTGTTTAGTGATTTTCTTTCCTTTTTTTTTTTAATTTTTTTCTGCCAATTGCCTTAAAGGTGCCACAAAATCTAGCTTGCTATCAGCACCCAGCATAGTCAGTATGTTTGTACCTGCACCAGAAGAATTTGCTGATGACCAGCCCATTGTGATGACTGACAAGTAAGTTCTTTTTCTATTCCTTTCAAAGAACTAGCTGAATTTCAAATAGGTCAAATAAAGTATAGATAAACTTTATGGAAATATCAAGTCCATTCTATCATTTATCTCTATGCTAAGTTTTTAATTAATTTTTTTGCGCCAAGGTAAACATTTTCTAAACACTGCCAGCAAGATGTGCTTTTAGTTCAGTAGGACCTGTGAGTTTGCAGAGGTGAAATGATGACTCAGACTATTGCATGTGCACGGAGGGCAGTGGAAGCACTTCCCATCCTATTTTAAATCAAGGGTTCCTTGTGAGCCGTCAGAAACCACTTTCACCGTGGGGAAAAAAAAAGCTCTTTTTTAAAATTCCTTTGGGTTTCTGTTGAAATAGGTAACTGCTGATGTGTAATCATGTGTAATCAACATAGCATTTTTAATGCTGACACTCACTGATCCCAAAAGTTTTTGCAAACCTTAATTGGTTGGTTAAAATGCCTCTAAAGGAAGGATTAAACGTAAGTGTACTCATTTAATGGAGAGGTAAAGCAGTCAGCAGGGAGCCATGCATTAATTTTGTCAAAAATTGGGAAGAGAAACTGGAAGTTCTTGCTTGTGCTCCTGTGCTCAGTCCAGTAGACAGACATGCCAGGATGATCACTGGAGAAAGACAGGGCCATTGTGCAGGCTGTGACGAAGTGGACCTTATTGTGTGACAAGTGAAGCATCCCAGAAGTTAGGCTTATCTTTGGCACTTCCTTTGGCCATTTCACCAAAGCTCTAGCACCACCTATTAACATACAGAGCTTGACTTTCATGACTTTGTTGGCATATTTTCTTTCTGTTCAGTAACAAAGGCAAGAAAATTGCCTGTACAATTCCATTAAGTTACAATATCACAATCTGTTGAAGTCATTAGCAACTGATTGATCAAATTAAGCAAACGTTCCTACTGGGCTGAGATAAGCCAGTGTCCCCACATTGGTTTGCCTTTTTCGTAAGTTGTGAAAGCCTGTCTCATCTGCCCTAAATCTGACATCCCCTTTATAATTAGACATTACAGAGCCTTTTCAGAACTTCATCAGTTGTCTTTGAGCATTTCAGGAAGGATAAGTGACTCAGCAGCAAATCTGCCCTGGGAAAGGAGACTTCTCTGAAATCTAAGGTTCTCTTCCCCTGAGAGGTCCTTTCATTTCTTTCTTAATAGCTATAACTGCTGTGGGAACCAATCAGGTCATTGTTTCCTAATTGTATAATTTGTTATTCATAATTAATGACTGACAGGAAGGACAATGTGAAATTGTTCCATCTCTTTAAGAACATCTGTGAGTGTCATTGTTTGTGTCTGCGCTGCTAAATAGAAGAGTGCCAGGGACTTGAGCCCTCGCCTGAGCCCAAGTTGCACAAACTGGCTTGTGTTCACATTGCTGAGGGCTAGTCTTCATTGCTGCAGATTTCTCTTGGAGAGTGCAAACTGAAGCAGTCCAATACAGTGAAGGAATTGGCTAACAATTACCAATGAAGGACCCAAACCAAGGCCTGCCCTGTGGCCCTCTTTCATTTATCAGTGAAGAAACAGCCAGTGCAGCAAGTGAGAAGCTTTATTAATGTTTGAAAGCCATGGACTGTTATTAATTGTAGAAAGATCACAATTACACTATCTTTCTAAATAAATTTTGAATAGAATGTACTAAATAATAGTACTTTAAAAGACAAAAGTATACACGTGTATATATAGTAATACTTTGTTTTAAAGTTGTTAATGTCAGTTTTTTAAACTGTTCTTTGCAGGTGCCATGACTGTGGGGCTATTCTTGAAGAATATGATGAAGAAACACTAGGCCTGGCCATAGTTGTGCTCTCAACCTTCATTCACCTTAGTCCAGACTTGGCTGCTCCTCTGCTGTTGGACATCATGCAGTCTGTAGGAAGGTAAATTCACGACTTTCCTCTCTCCCATATGATTGAAAGAATTTTCTGCCTGGAATTGTGTTTACATAAACTTCACTATATGAAGTTATATATTTTAGAACTCTGAAGCGAAAAACATCTGGTTCTGTCTGCTTCTTTGTTACTCATAATTTTATTAATTTCTTATGTAACTTCTTCCACTGTCACTTCAATTTTGGGCAGCTCCTTTGATGTCCTCCCCTTTTACTGTCCAAAGGGAGGTTCCAGTTTGGGAATCTCCCTTGCTTGTCCCACTGTAAGCAGTGATGTAAAGAATTAATTCAGTTTTTCTGCAGTACCCTTATCTTCCTTGAGTGCCCTGTTTATTACCTGAACAGCAATTGATGCAGCAATTGGTGTGCTTCTTGATCCCCTTTTATTTGAAGTAAAATTTACTCTTAGTTTTTATTGCTTCTGCTAGTTGCTCCTTGAACCATTTTTTGGCCTGCCTTCTTGTGGTTTTTACATTGGATTTGTCAGACTTTATGCTCTTTTCTGCTTTCATTTGAGACATGACTTCAGCTTTTTGAAAGAAGCCTTCTTTTTTCTAATAATCTCCCTCACGTTTCCTTTCTTTTTCTCTTTTGATGTCTTTCTTGACAAGTGGGGTACCTTGGCCCTGTGCTTCCAATGTAATGTTCTGAAACAACTTTTGTGCTTCTTGTAAAGACTGAATTCTCTTGGCTACCCCTTTTTGCTGCTTTGACAGAATTTTTCACTTTTATGTAGTTCCTGCTTTAGAAGTTATCCACGAATGTGGTTAGCTTTTCTGAATTTTATTGCTCCTAGAGGACTGTTGACTCCTAGGTATGATCATTCATTAGCATACTTGAAGCTCTTCAGGCTTTTCAGCCATATTTTGTATGCTAATTAAGACTAAGTAAAGAGTTGCATCTCCTTATGAGGGCTGCCTAACCAGCTGCTGCATGAGATTGTCTCTGGTAAGGTCTTAAACATGTGGTGTCTATTATTTTTCTTTTGTGACTTTTAACTGGTGTGCATGGGATAACTGAAGTGCACCATTACTATTGTATTACTTGTCATTGCTGCCTTGGCCACTTCCACAACTTCCTAGCTAAGAGCTGGGTGGGATGTGTTGAGGGTGTTTCAGAATAAACTTCTGAGCAGCACTAGAAGTGCAGAAATGATGCACAGCTCTCCTTTTCCATCTTCTTTTCAGTGACTGAAGTTAAAATTGCTTGACTGTGACTTCTGCAGGGGCATGGCTCTTCACAGCCCTGCCTCTCCACTACCTCCCAATTCCATTTAAACACAGCAGCTATTCAAGTCCTCCATTTCCATTAATTGCAAGGCTGCAGTTCCCTGCTGTCACTGCTAATGAACTGTGATGGAGGCAAAGTTTCTAATCTAGACAGATGCTATCCATTCTGTGTGATTCTCGTAAATACAAGCAGTGCTACAGCCACAGAGAGTAAATCATTTGGAAGATAAATTATCAAGAGATGAGGGCTGAGTAGGCTACCTTTTTCTGTCCTTTAGGAAGAAATGCTGCATCTTTGGAGTGAGACACCTGATTGTTTTAGAGCAGCAGATGGCATGCAACATGGGGTATTCCTGGTAAATGTCCTGTGTTGTTCCTACTGGCTGTCATTTCTGACGAGTCCAGTAAGAGGCTCCTCACAAAGACATTATTTTGAGTACATGCAAAATAAGTAGCATATACAAGCAGAGAGGCATTCAGGTGCCTCAGGTATATAACCTAAGTTGCTGTCTTTCATCAAGCAGTGCCATATCATTACCTCCAAATACCTATCTGACAGCAGAGGTGAGAATGAATTAGACTTGCATTTTTATTCTTAGAAAAAGAGCTACTACTTTCATGCTTAGAAGACGAAACAAGGAGTTAGGAAATCCAAGGTCTTTCAGAATACCTAAACAATACACAGAAAGATTTTCAAAAGTTATTTGGTTACCTGCAGGTACAGGCAGGCATGTAATGGGATTTTCAGAAGAGAAAAAGTTCTGGGTTCAAGTTACTGACAATTAGAGATTGACATAAGACTCTGGCATGCACTTAACTTTATGCTTTAGTTCCTGAAACAAATTTTTTGACTTACTGATTCTTATTTCATTGATTTCCAGTGAGATTTAGCTTTCCAAGCATCAAAGCCCTCTTTGAAAATGGCATTTAGGCTCTTGTGTTAGTGAGGAGCTTTGAAAAGCTTAACTTCTGTTCTTAACATGTACAAATTTGAATACATTCATTTACTGTCTACTGTCCATTTACTGTTCTGCTTTGTGGTCTGCAAAGATAATGATGGGGGTTCATGGTCTTTGTGCAACAAAAATTTAGAGTAGTAATGATAAATATATACAAGCACTAAATTTCAAAAATTTCAGATATGTCTTATGAAGTTTTTCCAAAGTTAGAAACCAAATGTTTTGTTTATCATAAAAACCATACTTGCATTATTGCATTTGAAAGGAGAGAAAAACTTTGCATAGGACTTTAATTTCTTTCAGAAGAAATGTTTTATGCTGTTGTATTTGTATGCTTTAGTAGATTTTTGAAAATAAGTGTCATGTTCATTGGGCGTGTGATTAGTCTTATTGCATTCTGCAGAAGTCGTCATGTGCTTTAATGTAAGCAGATGCTACAGTTATTCCAGAATCAAGGTCTGTATTGCTTGAAGGTAGCTTCAGACCTGTTTTACCCAGAGTTAGCTTTGCATACCAGACTTAATATGTTGTATTTTAGTGGGGACTCCACAACAGTGGAGTCAGGGATTCTAATGAATTTTTCTGATTTATGCTGGGACAATTGAGGAGAATATAATCTTCAATCCCCTGCACCATCAGGCCTGAGATTATTGCACTGTTGAAAGTATGCTGTGTCCCCAGCTTGTCAAGCATCATTAATGAAAATCACCATCCATTTTGGTTTACAATGATGCATTTGATTGAGCTGCCTTAGGGTCCTTTTTGGATTTTGCAGTGGTGATTAAAGAGGAAACTGTCTTCAGAACAGAGGCCGACAGAGGATTGAGCAACAGCAAAATCCAGCCTAGAAGGATCGTGCATCAAAGATAAACATTGAAGGCCAGATCATGAGCAGATGTAAATTAGCATAGCTCTATGAACTTTCTGTTTAGACATATCAGCTTACACCAGCTGAAATACTGATGCACAGCAGATGACAGTAAAAATTGCATGGTATTTTATATGTAAGATGTGCTTCCAGTGTACATCTTTATAATTGCTTTTTAGTGACTTTTAGTATAAAGGTGTGTTGCTTTGATATTATAAGCCCTGATTTTATTTATTTACATGTCCTGGATATTGAAGTGCATGATTTTGCTTTAAGATTGTGTTCAGTATTTTCATCACTGAATGCCTATATTTGGCTTTAAAGTTTACATTTAGGTACTAAAATAAATGACCTGATTTTTGAGAACCCAGTGTTTCTCATCTGACTTTGTGAGAGCTTGTAGGTACTTAGTGTTTCTGAAATTAGGCCAGTTATTTAGGTGCCAAAATCTGGAACTAGAAGCCTCACTTCAGACTGCCAAGCAGAGAATTTTGGCTTAGTCTATGTTACTGTGTTAATCAGAAACAATTCAGTCAGTAGGCAGCTTCTGGCAAACTTTTTTTTCTCCAAGTCCCTCTTAAGTTAGTAATTATCCGTGATGTGCATGTAAGGCAATAGCTTTACTTCATTATCTTCATGCTAGTACAGGGAGGCAAGTAGATTTGTCTTTAGAGCTGTTAAGTATTTGTGAGACTGCAAGACTGAATAGAGTTTATATGTTGTGCAAACATGAGTTGACTGAATTTATGTGCTCTTCAGAAGACCTTTCTGGTGACATTTTAAATGTTCTCTAAAATTCATGTTTATTATTTAAAAAAAATGGTACTTTATTGGCTTACTTAAAAATGAAACACAAAAGCATATAAGCTTCACTTATTTTTTTATTTTTATTCCAGGTTGGCATCAAGTACCAGTTTTTCTAATCAAGCAGAAAGGTATGGTAGCAAAGCATGCCTTGACCAAAATGAAACAATTAAAGCATCATCCTCCCTGGCCCTGAAAGAAACTAAATTTAACTTTTAAAAAATTTATTTAAGGTTTGTGAGTAAGAGGAAAAACCTGTCCTTTCCCACTTGCTTCAAATATCTCACGTGTTCTGAAGATGAACAGGAGCCCATATACATATGTATTGAACTTGAAAAAACTCAGATTCAGACATAATTTAAAGATGCCTTCTGGTTTCTGCAATTTCAGTGCAGCTTTTTCTAGCTTGTTCTGTGTTCAGTATTTGTCTTGATAAACTGTCTCCATACATTCAATCAAGTGAATCATCGTTGGCCATGTAGAACCCCTGGTAGCGATGTCTCATTATGTAAATCAGATGCTGAATAGGATAAGTTAATTTTGAGAAGCTGTAAAACATGTTAAGATGTGCAGTTTATGAGTAAATAGATAATACTTTAGCTTTTTAAATGAAACCATTAATTGTATGACTGATTAGGAAGTACTTAATCTCTTGAATGAAACCGCCAGAGGCAAATTAATATTATAATGTGTGTGTTTACCTGTTGTTCATGTGTTTTATGAACATCATCCTGTATCACCGAAATACACAAGGTGAGAGCAGGATTATAGTTCAAACTCAGATGACTCACAAATAAAAGTATGTGGAGAATCAGGAAAAATGCAACTATTTATTAAGACTTAAATACTTTAGGTATGTGTTCATAACTTTTTCAGCTCTACATAGTTGAGCTGAAGTCATAAAAAATAAATATGCTGAATTGTATTTTGGGGTCAGGATAGTTCTGCTTTTGGCTGTCTCACTCACGACTGAACGCTTACGTAATTAAAAAGAATAGGATCATCTTTATTTTCTCCATGTAGTCAGCTTTGAGAAGCGTTTCATCTGCAATGCAGTTTTTTTCTTCCTTTTCCTTCCCTTCATTTCAGCATGATGATCCCTGGAAATGCTGCAGGTGTGGCCAAGCAGTTCCTCCGTTGTGTGTTCCATCAGCTGGCTCCCAATGGCATCTTCCCCCAGCTCTTCCAGAGCAATATTAAAGGTAATGTGTGGTACCTGAGTGCATTTCTGACCCTTTTAGTTACCTCTGTGTGGACAGTCAGTGCAAAAATGTCATTCGAATTTCAGATGGAAGTTTTTTAAGGACCTTGGCCACATCTCTTATGGACTTCAGTGAGCTGAGTTCCATTGCTGCTCTGAGCCAGCTGTTAGAGGTATGTTGGCAGTCGGCTCTGTTAATGGTGCTAGTTTTATTAGCATTATCAGGCATATTGAATCATTTCTCATTCATTAAGGGTTCAGACTTGCATCACCAAAAACAATGTGAATTTTTGTTTTGTCCTCCCTGGAAGCAGGATTAGGCTGTCCTCGCCATTATCTTTCTGGGTTTTGCTCTCACTGAGTTTTTTGGGGTTGGGTTTTGTTGTTGTTGTTGTTTGGTTGGGTTTTTTTTCCCTTAGACTAGCTCCTGGAGCTGTCCTACACATTGGTAGTGTGGGCCATCCCTTCCCCCAGCACTATTTCTGGTTTTCAGGAATATTTCTGCCCATACATCTGAGTTCTACTTCTCCCTTGTATCTGATGGCAGTTTCTCTAAGTAGTATAAAGATTTATATATAGATATATAGATATAAAGATATGCCTTTCCCTGACTGCCTTCTGTGCACTTGGCTTGGTTCTACTGTAACTTTTATCCTCCCACTAGCACTAGTCACTTGCATGTATCTTGCTCTTCCAAGAACATGGCGGTTGCTTCATACAAAGATTTTGACCTCACTTCAAAGCTGTTCATGTCTTTCCAGGCCTGAACCTAGTATACAAGCCAAAAAAGCATACATGGTCTACTGAACATTAATGAACATATCTTGTTTAAAACTGTCCGAAGGAAGACATGGGTGATCCACTGGTGAATACTTTTAGTTCTGCCTTTTTTTGCTGCCATGTCAGTCTAAGCAGGTTATGAGTTAGGACCCTGCTTATAACATTTTGGCTCAAAATCTTTTGGCCTGTACTTTAGGAACTGAACTAGACTTAACTGTCACATACACAGTTCAAATTCCCTACACAACATTTTATCATTACCATTATAGAAGAGGTAAGTAGTATTTGATCTGAACAAATTAACCTCAGCATTTCCAAATACTGTTTAAGGGACCATTTCTGCATGTGTACATTTGTTACTGTTCTTGTTTTGTTTCCCAGGGTTTAAACAACAAAAAGAATTTACCAGCAGGAGGTGCAATGCTACGCTGTTTGGAAAATATTGCTACCTTTATGGAAGCCTTGCCGATGGATTCACCCAGCAACCTCTGGACCACAATTAGTAATCAGTTTCAGACCTTCCTTACTAAACTCCCTTGTGTTTTGCCACTAAAGGTATGATGTATGGACCTCTGAAATGACCTATACTGCCATTGGTCAGGATGTACCGAAACAATGGGAAAGCTGTGGATGAGAAATCAGAGCGCGTTGTTGTGAATATTTTCTAATGATTCAACTAAAGTTTCCAGAGGACTGGACTTATTACATGTCTGATCTGTCCCTTTAATTATATTTTCTGTGGGTAACAATAACAACTCCGACCAGAGTACTCTTCACCTCTTTGTTGGCTTTTTTCCTTTACGCTTTCCATGCCCTGTCTTTGTCAGATTAAAATACTGCATTTGAGAGAATCAGCATTTTCGCAATAAAAATCCATCTGTTTTTAACTGTTAAAACAAAACAAAACTCTAAAGAAGAGCACCACCACCTAATTAATTTGCTAAAAGTACACAACAGTCAGACAGGCAGAGAGAACTGAGACTACTGGGAATTGAGCCTAGTGTGTTTGGCTGACCAGGTTGTAGTTCTGGCTGTAATCAGAATATAGTTGCAGAAACTGAATCTGGAAGCTTTGGGCTCTGATTTCTGAGTGCTCAGAGCACATACAGATGGATCTTATCTCCTAGTGTGTATATTTCCAGATGTCTTTTCAGTAAACACAGCAAAAACTTTTCTGAGTCTTTCCAGTAAGCATGGCATTCTGATGCCCGTACGCTATTTCCTATGGTGTGAATGAGCCCAGTGGTAATTTCTTCTGTGCAAAGCAGCATTGCTCAATATGAGCTGAGGGATCCAAAATCTAACTTTGTGACATAACATTGTCTTTTAAATTGGGTGTCGCCACCAAATTACATGAATGATATTAAATTCCTTGGCATTATTATGCAATATTCAGATATTGAAACCTCTTCAGGTTTTGGTAAATTGAGGCACTATCTTGCAGCACTTACTAAGCCAAACAGGCAATAACCATTCTCTTTGCATACTAGCCACCCTAATCTGTTGCATCTTGTCTAATTGAAATAAATAAAAAGAAATTAATTGCATCTTAATGGTTCCAACTGCATAGCTGCCATTCACAGAACATTTAGATGGAGTGTTTACTCTGATTTCCCTTTTATTCATAGGAGGTATCATTAGTTATACAAGTAAAAAAATTGCTTGCTCCTGAGCTTTCCATCTCCTGTTCCTTCCTCCAGGGTCATAAATGACTCTGCTGTTCTAGATGCTTGTAGCAGGGATGAGGCAGGACCTGAGAAGTCCCATTCACTGCTGCAACATCTGTAATTTACTCAGAAGAAAAATCAATTACACCATGAGGAACAACTTCAGAGGGGCATCTGGAGCAGCTATTGCCAGGGTGCATTCTGATGTTATGGGGTGTCACTTGCAGCCCTGTCTTGGGGTGTGGGGGAAAATGTCATAGTCCAGGGCAACCACAGAAATATAAAATGAGGTAGATGGTGCATACCTCCTGCTAATCCACTCTTTTTTTTTCCCCCAATCCATTTTTATTACAGTGGAAATATATTTCTAGAAATTTTTGTCATAAAAGAGTTAAAGTTAACTTTTCTAAACTAGCCCTGTAGTGAAATTTTCTCATCTCAAGGCCCATGCTGTGGTATGTTACCACTGAAGGGGTATGATTGTGTGTTCAGGAATAAGCCATTTTAGGCAAAGTAAGTAAAGATCATTAGGGATCATTTTTTAGACTTCACCTATAACTTATTCATAGCTGCTACCACTAAAAGCAAGACATGTGCACAGAAAGGTACTAACTCTGGGGTTTTTTTTCTTTTCTTTTTCTTTTTTTCTTTCCTGCCTTCAAATATGTTCACAGTGTTCTTTAGATTCTAGTTTAAGAATCATGATTTGCTTGTTGAAGATACCTACCACTAGTGCCACCAGGGTAAGTTCCAAGAAGACAAAACTCTGTTGCCTCAGATTTAGCCAGCCTGTGCTATTCTATGACCGTGTTCTTATCCCCTAGCTAAGAAAGTATTATATATAAGCATAAAATTGTGCAGTCCAATACTCTTTGGAGAATGGTAAGAGCTTTGGAATCTAGGTTACAGTAAAGTGTGGGTGGGATTACATTCCTGTGTGGGTGTGAATGTATATCTTCTTAAGGATTTGATGTTCTCTTTTTTTCCCCCTCCTCTTTTTTTTTTTTTTTTTTTTTTTGTAAAAAAAGATAGTAATGAACTTCCTTAGAAGTTCTGCAGTACAATTCCACTGAGGTCAAGGAGGTTTTCCTGCATAAACACTACAGAATCTCTTATATCTCATAAGGACTGTGTCAGAAGTGAAACTATTTTCTAATTTTTTGCTTCTAATTTCTCATACAAGCATGAAAGCAAATGCTAAATAGAATAGCCATTTGACTGAAACAGTGTAAACCCCAGCAAGATAGCCTCTGAGCTAAAAATAATGCTGTTCCATTCAGGCACTTCAGATTTGGCATGCTTTTTGTTTTGCTGAGCAACCAAGTATTGATTTCTCTAAATCATGTCATTGCAGAGTCTTCTGGAGCCTTTTTCAAAATTGCTAAGCTTTGTAATTCAGAATGCTGTCTTCACTCTGGCCTACCTGGTGGAACTGTGTGGTTTGTGCTACCGAGCCTTCACTAAGGTAACAATGACACTATATCTTCCTTTAGGGACAACTGAAAATAGGACAAAGTCCTACTTCCCTCAAGTAGTATGTTTGTAAGTAAAGATGAAATTAGTGTCAAGTTTCAGACATGTCAACAGTTTTAATGTAGTTTGGCTGATCAAGTAGTGATCACAATTTAGTGCCTTTTAATAACACCGAGTTTCACATTCACAGTATACACACAGATAAAGGGAACCTGCCGAAAAAGTTGCTTGGAAAAGTATTTTGGTGTGATTTCATGACCTGAAATTTTTTTTCTCTTGTAGAGATGATATCTGATATTCATGCATGACTTAATGTCTGTACAGTCATATCTTTCCTAGTGCACAAGTTTAGCCACATACTTTGTGCAGTAAAAACTTAACTATTCCTGGTAGTGCCTTTTGAGAGCACAGCTGTGAGGGGAGACAACAGATAGCTAAATAAAGTGGAAGACTCCAAGTTAGGAGCTTCCCAGCTTGGATCCTGTTTCATTCTGTGTTAGGTATCTCACTTTGGCATGCATGGTTGTAAGCTACATAGAAAAGAGAATGGTATGTGTGCACCTTTAAAAAGTTTTTAAGATTCCTGGATGAAAGCTATGGTGTACAAATAACACTGAGTTATTACTCAAGTTCGTTTTCGTAGCTACTGGTGAGAAGTTGAACATCAACAAAATCCACAGAAACCAATCAAACCTTTTACTAAGGCCCCATATGCTCCATTATGTAGATTGTTAAGGTACTGAGCAAAAATGTTGCTTCAGCCACTAAGTGCACAGTTTTCCATCGTTGATAGGTTTGTCAAAACAGTAATTAATCCTCAGGAAACATTCTCTCATAAGTAGCTACATGATTTTCTGTATTGATAATGTGCAGCTGGAACACACATTGCTTCGGTCTTGATAAGGCTTAAAATATCACTAGACAAACAATGGAGAAGAAATGATAAAAGCAATGACACTCTCACAGAAAAACTGCACCACAAGAAAATAAGAAAAAGTTTTATCAGATGTAATGGTTTGAAGCATTAAATAGAAACAAACAGTATGTTTAATTACAGCAAGCAAGTACTACCTTTTTTGTCTCATTTGAAAGAGAAGAGTTTATGAAAGAAAAAAATCCTGAATACAGAAAGAACCGTCCAGCTTTTGGAAGTAATTTGAGTTAGATCTATGGTTAAGGCTTTGGGCAAGGCAAAGTGAGAAAAATGTTAACTTAAAGTCCACAGTGGGTTTTTTTCATTGAAACAAAAAACGCCACCACATTTAAAACTGCAGCAAAGAAGTTCCTCTTGCATTTGTGGCCTGATAGGACTATTTCACATCTGCCTGCTAAAGCAAATTTTGAAATACAGGAAACGTTTCACTCCCATCATGCTCCGCAGTTTCAGTTATTTCACAAAAATTTTATTAAAACCATGGTATTAAAAACCCCCATGTGTTTCTTGCATGCTTCCTGGTTCAATGTTTTATTAATATACTGAGTACATACTTGCACAAAGGAAGCTTGAATTATAGTGCTCGGTAAAATCTCCTTCTTGATTTAGTTTAATGCAACCTGGTGACCCAGAAATGGAATCATTAGTGAATGGTCTCCTGCAATTTACAGCCACAAAATGCTTAATTTAGTGGAACTCCACAGTACATTATCTTTGTTATTTCTGAAAGCTTACCATGGTTTTGCATTAGAAATATCAAATTAATGACTGCTGTTAGAAAAAAACAAATCAGTTGTGATGTCTGTGTTTCTCTACAGTGTAAATCACTGTAGCCAAGTAAACAACAAGTGTTGTTTGTGGTAGAATACCATGTAGAAGTGAATTCCAGAAGGGGTATAATTTGTGAACATTTAAACTATTCAGATTTAATTAGTTGTTTTACTACTTTGAATGTGCTGGGTGGAACAAAACACCAACTTTCAGCTAAGCTGTGGAGGATTCTTGTCTTTTCAAAGACCAAGCCACTCTGACATGCACTTTGTAGAGGTCAGTGCTGTACAACAACTCCAAATCTTTTTTATCTCCAACATTTTCCTAATACCCTGTGGCAGGAATATCTTGGTTTCTCTTGTCTTGGAGCCTGAAGACTCACATCAGTCTGGTATTTCCTTGTCTGAGTGCCTGTTCCAGGTCAGCAATATGATTTTTTCAGTGCCTGTGGAACTCTCACATGAAAGTAGCATCTCTTCTGTGGATTGTAATCTTCTTATCTTTAGTTTTTCTTTCAAGTATCTTAAGGTCCAAAATGGACAATTTCTGCCTTTCTTATCCCTTACAGCTGCAGAAGCTTGAACCTAAACTTAGCCTTTTGCTAGCATTCTGTTGACCCTTGTTAAGTAAATGCAGAATGCCACTGACTTGGACACAACATGATATCGCTATTGAATTTTTTTAAAGAATATTGAAGTGGCCAATCTTCAGTATTTGTAATTACTGTAGTAGCAACAGAGATAAAATAAAGAATTTTGCTTTATACTGGCTTACTTGGAGGATAGCATACCACTCCATTAAAGAACCAAATTTACTATTCTTATTACCAAGTTTGGGCCCTGAGATACTGCTAGAAACAAACTTCAGTAGTTTCACGTTCTACACATAGACCTCTGGCAAGTCACAGTTTGAAGATTGCAAGGCATTTTTTTTATAGGGATGCATAGACATTAAAGAGGGTTAATTTGGTTTAACAGAGGCTAAAGGGATTGTATTCTTGACTCTTTGGTACCAGGTTTACACATGTGACTCCCCTGGGCATTGTTCTCATGGAGCTAATACCCATTTACAGCTCCATGGCAGAATATAAAGTTCTTAAAGTATGTATAAACTATGTTTAAACATATTTATCACCAGCAGAATGATAGGAATAAGTAGGCTTCGATAGGAAGGGTACTCAGTGTCATCATTCGTGATTTACAGTGCAGGAAGCAAGAGGTCAGATATCAAAAACATTTTGCTTGATTTTGCTTCATGTCTCTGCACTGCATGTCCTTAACAAACATTAAGAGTTTAGGCTGTGAGATAGGAGACTTCTTTGAGAAAGAGGTAGCTCACTGTTATGTTATCCTTAGAGCCAAGGAAAGCTGGGATTCATGAAGCCTATGCTTCCTTGCCAGTGTTCTGACAAAACAATTTATGATAACCCAGTTGTATCCTGTGTACTGTAGGTGTTAGTCTGTAAAATAGCTGAATGCTTTTGAAAGAATTTTACTTCTCTTCTTTTCCAGTATATGTAGGCTACTGTACTGGGTTACTGATACAAACTCCTGTCCAGTGTTCTGGGGGATGTAATTGTCAACTGTCTAAGCATGGCACTGCATTCTGTATGTGTCTCAGGACTGTGAAGGCATATGATGGTGGGAAGGGTCACAGTTGCTGGTGAATTCTAGCAAGTAATCAGGGTCTATTTGCACCTTGAGTATTGTGCACCACTCTGGATCCCCATTCCCAGTCAGAATATAGTAGAATTGGAGGAAGTTCAGGTAACGGTAACAACAATGATCAAACAGTGGGATGAGTTCCACGTACAGAGGAACTAAGTTAGGGCTCTTCAATCTGAAAAAGCAACAACTGATAGGAATATGAGAGAGGTCTGTAAGGTCATGTCCTGGTTTCAGCTGGGATAGAGTTAACTGTCTTCCCAGTAGCTGGTACAGTGCTATGTTTTGAGTTCAGTATGTGAAGAATGTTGATAACACTGATGTTTTCAGTTGTTGCTCAGTAGTGTTTAGACTATAGTCAAGGATTTTTCAGCTTCTCATTCCCAGCCAGGGCACAAGAAGTTGGCACAGGACACAGCCAGGGCACCTGACCCAAACTGGCTAACAGTGTATTCCATACCATGGGACGTCCCATCTAGTTTAGGAACTGGGAAGTGGGGGCAGGGAATCGCCGCTCGGGGACTGGCTGGGTGTCGGTCGGCGGGTGGTGAGCAATTGCCCTGCGCATCATTTGTACATTTCAGTCCTTTTCTTACTACTGTTGTCATTTTATTAGTGTTATCATTATCATTATTAGTTTCTTCTTTTCTGTTCTATTAAACTGTTCTTATCTCAACCCATGAGTTTTACTTCTTTTCCCAATTTTCTCCCCCATCCCACTGGATGGGGGGGAGTGAGTGAGCGGCTGCTTGGTGCTTAGTTGCTGGCTGGGGTTAAACCACGACAGGTCACAAGTGACCCAGACAGGGATGGGTAATTTCATGCCTTTCCAGTACAAGAACAAGAACATACTAAGTTTGCAGGAACCAGTGTCAAAGCAAGTAAAGGGAAGTGGTTCTTCAACAGTGTGTGACTCCTTGCCAAGTACTGTGGGTGCTAAAAGTTGACATGGGTCCAAGACGTGAATGGACACATACGTGGAAGAGAAGTCCACTGAGAGTTATGAATTATACAGAAACTACACTCAGCTCAGAAGCTCCCTGACCTGAAAATAGTTGGTAGCTAGGAGAGTAGTAGTGGGAATTATACATGCTTGCCTTATTTTTATTCTTCCTTTTGCATCTGTTTGTGGCCTTGTTGGAGATGAGTTACTGAGGACATTTGTTCTGGTCTGACCTCTCCTGCATGTTCTTATATTGTATTATTCTTATCAGAGAACTGCTCAAGCATGTGTGATGTGTGACTTTTGAGTACTTGTCCCCTCAAGTAATGGTTTCATAATACAGCTGAACTGATCCAGTCTTTGCTGCTCCCATAAGGGAATGAATTTTTTTTTTTCTCTTTAGAGTGTTAGCTTCTCGTGAGTTTAGCTGCCTAGACTGCAGCAATGTAGGTAGACAAGGACCACTGCAGTTTGGGGCCCATTCCATCAGCTAAATGTGTTATCTGTCTGCACGCTCCATGTAATTGAAGATCAAACTAGGAACTTGAAGTTAGGTCTCTTGATTCACAGTTTGGCCTCATAGCGTTCATGAAAGACATACCATTCTGTTGTTTTGGCACCTTCTCCCAAATCAGGGGTTGATGTTTAAAATCTGTTTTCATTAAAAGGTATGTGGGTACTGGGGGAGATACACACTGTTGTTGTAAGCTTTGGCAGTATGCTACGCAGATACAATGTGGTGACATCAGCTCTCCGAAGAGGAACACTGGTGACTGGCTTCTTGGTCTGCTGCAACCAAAGCTCACTCTCACTTCCAGCTATTCATCTCTTCCAACTCCTTCCCTTTTAGCTGCACTTGCTACTGTGTGCAGCTGGAGGTGGCCTTCAAACTGACCCTAACTAACTAAACCTCACAAGAGTTCTCTGAGGAAGAGGCAAACATTGTTATCCCATTTTACAGATGTCACAGAGGAAATGAGGCCCTGACTGAGTAAAAAGTTCCACCCATTTAACTTAAGTGAGCAGGCAAGTGCATGTGATTTACAAGATGGAAGATACTAGGCTTTAAATCTTAAGCACACTTTGGATATGCTCTCTTTATTAGACAACATTATTTCATCTCTGATGGTCATTTGAAAGAGAGCATAGTGTAGGTCTTCCTGCTGATCAAAATTCTTGAGTTGCTCTGGTCAGTAGCAGGTTATAAATTTGTTCCACATTTTTATCTTATCATCTAAAGTCAGAGAATGTCAAAGTAAGATGTGTAACAAGCTCATCTTATCTCTTGTACCTCCTTGCTGTCTCAGCTCTTCAACTCTATTCTTAGGCTTCTGTGTTCTAATCTCCATTGGCTGATTTTCCGCTATGTTTTAAAATGTTTCTGTTGTAGCAGCCATGGCCAAGACAGTTTTTATTGTGTAAGTGGAAAAGTACTGCTGGTCTAATGAATGAAAATAGATGTCCAAGCTGCCTTAGTGCAGGCACCCTTATTTTAAGGGGAATGACAACAGGAAAAAAGTATGGTAAAATGCAGACCATTTCTGGCAGGTTTAATGAAAGAATAGTGCTAAATACTGTTGCCAGTTTTGTTCTCCTGTGTCAATCCTTACTGCTTTTCCCTTTATATGGAACTACTTAGTGAAAGCTACACTGCATGCCTGGGCTTTATAACTGTTTTATAAAATCTATCTATATTTCACATGTGAAATATTAAAATCTTGGATATAGTGCCTGATACAACATCAAATGAGAATCACCCTCACTGATGTCTGTTCAATCAAGTCTGTAGAATTACATAAATGATGAATGTCTGCTCTTTTGTAAGACAGGAGAAACCAGTACACTTTTGTAACTTTTTTAGTCTCAAACATAGATGAAAAGTATCTTTGTGGTTTATTGGTGTGTGTCAGTGAATCTCAGGACATTCATAATTCTGTGTTTTTCTGTTGTAGGAAAGGGACAAATTCTACTTGACGCGCAGTGTCATATTGGAATTACTGCAGGCACTCAAGTTAAAGTCACCCTTACCAGACATGAATCTGCTGCTGTTGGTGCAGGTACAGGAGATTCCCATGTAATTCTCATACTGATCCCGTCTTGGCCCAGGGGAGGAGGGGAGGGGAAAAAAAAAAAACAAGCCCATCATGGTTGCATAAAGTACCAGCAATGTCAGGGGAAGCAAGAATTTTTTGAATCAAAATCCAGTTACATTTGTAACTGTAGGTGCATACATTTAGACTGGCACACTAAAATTTAAGAAACTAAATTGGAAATCCACATTTCCCGGGATGATAATGACCTGTGCATCATTGCTGACGTATTGAGGATCATAGAATATATCTTGAGTTGGAAGGGACCCATAAAGATGGAGTCCATTGAGCTTCATACCATCTCCCAGTGGGGCAGCTGCCCCAGCTGCTGCCTTGTCTTCATACCATAGCCCCAAAACCAGTTAGCAGTTTGTGTGGGAAGAGATGCTAGTTGGTCATGCGCCAGAACTCAGTTTCTGTCTATTCAGGCAGGCAGTCAGCTGTCTCCAGTCCCTGAAGGCTGTTCTCTTTTAACGTGGAATTTTCCAGCAAAGAATACATAGACAATATTTCTATTCATTTCATTCCGTGGATTGCTGAGGTAGGAGTTAAGCTAGCTTTTTCATAGGAAAATCTGATGAAGTAAGATACAAACTCGTGAAAAATCTTTCTGCCTCCAAAATGCCAAGTGTGGCACTGTTTGGCACCACAAGCCTGTCCCTCAAAAACAATTTACTGAAGTCCATCAATTTTAATCACAGCTAGTGGGCTCTCATTGTATACAATGAGCTAACCATTGTATCTGTTTAGTAACTTTAAATGATAGGGGACCAGCATAACAGCACTCCATAAGGTTCAAGCAAGATGTTCGTTATGTGGATCATTTGTAATGCTCCCAGCCTCACAGCTCCATTCACTCTTTCCCCTCCCGTTACAGGGCCAAAGCTTCATATAGCTTACTATGGGCTCGTTTTCTTTTGAGTACTGGCACATTACTCATAGTAAATAAGTGGTTGCAAGTTGACAGAGAAATAATACTGACAGGTGAAATTATATAGCAGTTAGGATAACTCTGAAAACAATTATTATGCCATCAGTATTAGGGGAAGAAGTTGGTGTGGGGAAGAATAACACTTGGTTTTTTTCCTTTCGATGGTAAAAGGTCATTTTTTAAAATCCATTTTAATTTCAAAAGCAGAAATTTGCTTTTTTTTTTTATTTATTTTTTTAAGCCCAGACTTCTTTTTTCAGTCCCAGGCAAGACCATCAAATCACTTAACAACGACCAACCTCTTTCTGTCTTATGGGTGCAGTGATGCAGCTTGATACCATGTGCATCAGTGTTTGCTGACTTGAACTGACTGTTTCCTGTATTACAGAATAAAGCAATTTTTCTGCACTGCTCTGTTGTATAGCTCAGTCCTATGGCTACCCCAAAGGGTGACAATCCCACAGTCTAGTCAATCCTGAATTCCTCATTTGAGAATGCAAAACATGCCACGTCAGTTTTGGCAGTGAGATTTAACTGGTGAACACTTGTCCTTCACATTGAGTCAATCACCTGATAGGCACAGTAAGAAAAACTCTCTCTTACATTATCTTTATGAGAGAAGATAAAATGATAATTGCCTGGGTTTTCCTCCTAGTACTGTCCCATATGCTGTATTCACTTTGCAGTGTATTCATACCTTACACAACAGCACCTAATGTGGATATAAATGTCTTTTATGATGTCTGTCTTTCAGAGGCTGATGAAGTGATTCATATTTCCTGCTATCCAAAGCAGCCAGCTTCTGTTTTTATGCAGTCAATGGTAAAGAATAGGGGTTGTATTCAGACCATCTGCCATAGATGCCTACTGGAGGCATGATGACTACTTCTCCCATTGACTGTGCAAATTGGCAGCCCTTGGTAGTATGTGGTCTGAATCATTCAACAGCTTCTTGAATTTAAATACCATGGTAACCACTAAGCCCATCTTAAGCACCGTAGTAATTTAAGAAACCTATTAGTAAAAATGTATATGTATCTGATTATTTTAATTTTCTTTGGTGTCATTAATAGAATGAAGGGATTGATTCACCTCTTTACCACACAAAATTTTAGTTCAAGTTGTATGGTTTTGAATCCATAAAGCTATAGCAGGGTTAACACAGCACCAAATGGAAATGGTTTTAATTTCCAAGACAGTCATGTCCCTATTGACATGTTAGCCTGTGTACAAGATTCTATACAGACAGTGCGCACAGAATACAGAGATTAGTCAAAATGTTCGAGATAACAAAGGAGACAGAGCACTTTAATGATAGATCAGTTGTGGGCTGACTAACAAAGGAATTCCTAGGAATGTACATTTGACATCCCCATTCATCCAGATTATGTGGTGCAATCAGTGTCACTGGTGACATCAGTGCTAAGATGAGAGTTAACTTTATCCCACTTTACAAAGAATGAGAATTTTAACCAGATCACCCCTATCATTGCATAGGTGTCCTGGATGATAAAGGGTACAGAAAGTCTGTCTCCTTGATTTGTCCTAGCAAATGAAAGCCATCATGTACATGCTGCTGTTCCGTGGGTTTCCATAGGAACTGCTTCTTCACCCAGCATTTTGTTTCCCAGTACTTTTCTCCTGCTCACATTCCATCAGCACACATCTTCAGGATTTCCATTGACTTCAAATTATATTAGTGTCTCATTAGGATTTGCTTGTTCAGTCAGGCTTTAAGGTTCAGTGTATCATCTGATCTGTTTCATTTAGGTGGCTCTTATTTTGGGCTGAACCTTCAGCTAATTTAAATCTGTGTGTATCTCTAGTGGTTCCGCTTTATGTTTCTGTGAAGTTCTGATCTACTAATTACTGAATGGAAGGATTTAAAATTACATATACATTTATTAGAATATATATTTTAAAAACTGTGATTATGTATGGAGCTATAGTATAGATAGATTATGGTATATAGATAATTCACTACAGTCAGCAGACATTCCCATTTAGACATTATTCTGCAGCTGTATCTTAGCAGACAATGCTAGTAAGAGGCAAGGCAATTATTTGCCCATTTCTCATCTTTTTGCATTGTGGGGGTAATTTTCTTTCCTTTTTTCGTTACATATGGCTGGCATTAAATCTCTTGCTAGTGATGTCTTAATGTATTATAGTATTTGTAGAGGGAGATAACATAAATGACAGTGAGTTGGACTGGAAATGTAAGAAACTTGTCATTTTAAGTTTGGTTTCCCCATCCTCTTTTGACTGCATTGCAACTTTAGGAAGCATCCTTGGAACTGGCAGTCTGATGATAAGAAAGATAAGCTAAAGAAGGCCTAATTATTAATTAGAAACGGAATGGAGTTTGTCAGTTGTTTTTCACATATAAATTAGTATCTGTTATTTAACACAAACTCCTCTGTGCAAAAGATGTAGAAAGCTTACAGGAGGCCAGTAGAGTTTGCTTTGCTTGCTGCTTCTTATTATTGTTCTTAAAAGAAAATGTCTGAAATAAATGACATTTGTCTTTGGCAAGGGTTTTTTGTTGACTTATATGGTGAGTGCTGTACAATATCTGTAGCAGTGCACTGAACTCACTGTTGGTTGCTAAATATACTCAGCCAGATTCTTAAAGGAATTATGGTGCTTTTTTGCAGCTAATGTAGTACAAGGGAACCCTAATCTACACACAAATGGTTGACTGAGAAATTCTTCACACAGGAAAACAACATATCTGTTGTCCAGTGGTCTCAGTGTCGTCATTGCTTTTTCTGAGATAGGGTGCATTAGGAGAAAATCTGTCATCTATTTGCCTAAGTCCATTAATGGTCCTTCTTTTAAAAGAGAAGTGGAGAGTCATGGTTGCTGTTTGAACTAAGACTCAACTGTCTTTACTGGATTGATACAGCCGATAACCCTAGGGCTTTCTTCTGCTTCCCATGTAATTATTAGAGCTGTGGTACAGAAGAGCACCAGGCCATCTCTCAACTGAAATATGAGTTAGATTCCCATTTTATTTCCACTTGGCTTATTCTGGTGTAAAATAAATTCTAACTAGAAGAGTCAGCTGGAGCCAGGCCTATGTCTGAGGATACCTAAATAGATTATTAATCTAAACTCAGGTATGTCTTTCTGGCATTTATCCCAAAGAACAGACTCTTCATGAAGACATAGGTTGAGTAGTTTCCAAGTCTTGGTAGGCAGTCTGAGTTCAGATTAAATCTGTTATTGAAAGGTAAAGCTCGTGGAAGTGTAAGAGTAAATTCTAGGTCTGTAAGGAATATTTAGAAATATTTTCAAGAAGAGCAGTCAGTCATTGAGAGTACTGCTAACACATATGCATCAGACAACTGTAAAATATATTGTGTAGTCAATATCTGTCTCAGCTTGTGAAGGTACCATGGTATTAATTTTCAAGAAAGAAAATTAAGGTTTAGGCCTTAGTCTGACAGTGCTTTTCTGTCTGCTCTTTCTTAGAAAGTTACATTGCATCACTATGGAGAGAAATTGCTCAAGTGCAACTACGCTATTAGGACAAGTTTTAGGAACAGGCAAATCATCTGCAGGGTGTCCAATGCATTATTGAAGCTTATAATGATTAAATAACAGTATTAGCAGGTCTAATGTATGAATGAAGTGGACATCAGAGATTTTGGGTCAAGGGATTTGGAAATAAAAAGAAGCAAAAAAAAAAAAGGAAAATAAAAGCATAAGAAAAGCAATTAGAGATATTCTACTGTAACAGAATGATACTGACCTTCTCTCAGAAACAGCTTGTATTTTTGTAGCATTGTGGCCTGTATCATGTAGAAGTTATACCACACCATACCAGTGTGTTCTCAACTTCAAAATTGTTCATATAATTCATCATTGTAGAACTTCAGTGAAAGTGTAATATCACAGTGAAGAACATGGCATGCTGCCTTATCATCCTCTATCGTGATTTGCATTATGAAAGAGGAACGTTTGATATATGCAAGGAATAGCAAAGTTATATATTTTTGCTCATAAAAAAGGTCTGATTTATTATATAATATTCTTCAAATTGCTCCTGCACAGCATATATGTGTTAATTAAACACATTAAAGTCAGATTTTTTTTTCATTAAAATTACCTCATTTATAATGGTGAATTAACTAGGTTGTTTATAAAGGAAGAGAGCTCTAAAGGCAAACTACTGTGAATAAAAGCAAGAAGAGTTCTGAACTGATTTTAAGAAAGTAATTAATAACTTACTAATGTCTTCAGGTTCCTCCAAAAATAATTAAAAAATAACTTGTCTTTAATTTCTTCTTAGTTTGTTTGTGCAGATGCTGGAACAAAACTAGCTGAGTCAACAATCTTGCATAAACAGATGATTGCCTCTATGCCTGGAGTGAGTACTGAATCAAACTCCATCTCTTAGTTTTGGTTTTTAAAAAATGTATCTTATTCAGCTCATTTTGCTTCATTTTAGTGTTCTTTCCTGTTCTTTTCTTTGCTGGTTGGCAAGGTGTATTGCAGGCAGAGGTTGAGATGCTTCTTCCTTTTTATTAAGGTTGGAAAAGTTCAGAACTTGATGGTGCTTCCCTTACTTTCACTGATATTCTTCAGTCATGTAACAGACTAGCTGGAGCCTACGCTCAAGAAGACAACATGTGGGGAACAGAACAGCTGAATACCTCAAAACGTGGTAGCAGGGAAGAAAGCTACAAGCCATTGCCTCCACGCTCACAAAAGATTAGGTGGTTAAGGAATGGAGTTAATGGTATTTTCGTGGTAATGTGTAAGGCATTCATCTATATCCTGCTGATGAGTGTAGCTAAATTACCAGTACTGATAATTGCCTAGGCGCTGAAAATGCACCTGGTGAATATGCGAGGAAGTAGCACAATTGGAGGTCTTGACTTGTTCCATGACACATGTGACTGAGTACCCAAACAGATGGATGAGGGTTAGCCCAGATCTGCTTCACAAGCTGGGGAAAACTCATTTCCCTTTTTGTGTGTCTCTCTCAGCTTTAGGGGTGACCTAACAGGATCTTTCCCGTACATCTTCTGAAATGTGTGATTTTTTTTAATGCAAATCTTTAATAATACCTTTCCTCCCAACAGAATATTTTAATTTATACTTGCTTTAAATAGGTAGACTAACATTGGTGTTAGAAGGTATGACAGGAAACTGATCATTTCAGAAGAAATCATAAAGAATCAGGCTGCCTGCTGCTTAAATGAAACAGAATAGATGGTTGGAGAGAAGTCTTTTGCAACTGAGCATTATTTTCAGAGATCTGAGTATAGTATCTTTTATAATTCTATTATTCAATATATCGGAACCCATGTGGAATCCTTAGTCCGCATAAACTGGATGGAGGATATGCTGACAGGGCTGCCAGTGACCTTGTTTTACTGTTTGTTATTCTGTCAAGGGAACTGACAGGCATAGCATTTGAAAAGCCAGAAGGTGGCATAGTTCAACACTGTGTAGATTGATATTAACATACAAAAATGAGAAGTGCCCAGGTCAGTTGCTTAAAAATAGAATGCTAGCAGTTTTTCAAATTTCAGCCACTAAAACTCAATTATGGCTTAATAATTTTGTGATCAAAACTAAATCTGGTTAATTTGTATATTCAGATAGGGTAATCAGCTTCTGTGCTTCAAAGTGTAGGTAATTAAATAGAGGTCAAAGAAGAGTAGTTTTCCCCTGTAAACTTTACTGCAATGTTTTGCCCTGAGCCTATGATTTTGGATACAGTAGTTTTTGGTGACTTAAAGATACCTAATTTGATAATGTCATCATCTGGCCTCAAAAGTTAAGCATTGCTTTTACTTGGCCCCTAAGAATGAGGCATTCATAGTTCCCCTTGAATTCAGCTAGCATTATCTTCACCTCAGACTATTAACATGTAAACAGAAGTTTATATGATACCTAGTGGGTCAGTCATATCACCTTCTGAAAGCTTTTCTCGAGGGTTCTCTGGTCTGTTCAAAGCCCTTATTTAATCTGACAGCTTTGTTCTCTTGACTGCTTGGCACACCTTGGGCTTGTCTTGTACTAGCCAAAGGCCAGATTCATGTTTCTCATTGTGTCCTAGGAAAAGGATCAAGAAAATTTGTACTGTGGCAATACAACAAGCACCACATTGAGTCATCTTGTTTTCCCTTTAAGGTTGTTCTTGCTCTGGCACAGTTTGCTTCTCAATTCTTACACTTTTATGGTCAAACTGGAGCACTTCATGAAGGATTTCATTTATCTCTTATAGTCCTTGCCTCCCCTTTTGAAAATTGGAACTAGCTTAAGTGCCATTAGAATGCTGTATTTTGAATGATTTTGCTTCAGGAATAGCCCAGAAACATTTGTTAGTTTAAAAAAAAAAGAAAAAAAAAAAGTAATTCTTAAATTTCAGTGGTGTTCATTTTAGTGATGTTTACACATAAAATACCTGAAGCCAGTCATTTAAACTGTTTTTCCATCATGAGTAATGTGAACATAAGGGCATCTGTGCCTGTGACTGAATTTTGTTTTCTGGGATTGTAGCTGGTTGGTTCCACTTGCAGAAATGCTCAGCTGCTTGAAGAACTGAGTTGTTAAACTCTCTGACTTTTTAAGACTTTGATTCTGGACCACTGTAAATTTCAGGATGACATAACAAGGATATTCTTGAAAGTTTCATCGGTTAATCTTTTATTGCTGTCACAGATAAGGGTATTTTATGATGCGTGAAGAAGCTACAGTGACTGGGCTATCTTTTTATACTATCATCAGATAAGAGGGCATATTACAGTGAGAAGAAAAACATCAAAGAATAGCCATTCCTAATTAAAGTAATCTAAATAAAATTAAAATAAAGAATTTGAGACAGACAAATTGTGTTCTGGTGAACAAGAAACAAAGACAAAAACATGAACATATTCAAAACCTGGTACTTAAACTTGTTTCTTTTGTGTTCTAGTGTGGAACAGCAGCAATGGAATGCATGAGGCAGTATGTTGGGGAAGTGCTGGATTTCATTGCAGATATGCATACCTTAACCAAATTAAAGGTTGGTTCTGGGCATACATTGATCTAAAGTGTATGTGCTTTTTTAACAAAAAAATGTTTTCTGTAATGAACCTACCTGGGAGAAACAGTTGGAAGTCTTTGAGGATGACTGACAGGTTTTTTTCTTTCTTTTTAAAAAAATGTTAGTACTGTTATAGATTAGACACTTCTGGGGGATCAGTAAAAAGTAGCTTATGCAGTGTTGAAATGGAGGCTGATTCAAATGTAGTGAGCACAATAAAAATGCAGGCTTGATTTTTCTGAAATGATGATAAGCTAATGGTAAGTTTTTCTGAAATGTTGATGATAAGCTAATGTCATACCAAAATCACTGTGAGACGTAGTCATGTTTAATATAACCCTTGGAAACATAAAACTCCTTGCCTGTACAAGTAATTACACTCTTCTGGATGAATCCTGCGTCTCATATACACAAACAGATGCTTAATTTAATTGGAAATTCAGAGGTTATTAAAATGCAGTAATTGACCTAAAAAAAAAAAAAGGGCGGGGGGGTCCTTTTTCTTATGGATACTGTTGTTTTCATTGTCAGGTTATATTCTGTTGAGGTGGGGAAGACTGAGTAGTTCTTATCTCTGTAGTCCAAACTGCTTTTTGGTTTCTGTATGTTAGTTTGATGCCAAATTCTAACAGGAGTGATAGGAAAATACTTCTGTCAGCATAAAATATTTTATTTAGGAATTTATTTATTTATTTCATGAAAACATCCTAGTAATAACTAGCTGGTCAAAATCTGGAATTTCTGTTTCATGGGAGAAGCCAGTATCTATTAAATTTGCTGCTGTATAACAGGAAATAATAGAAGTGTAGCTGTTTCAATTGCTAGCAAAGTAGCATCTATTGTTAATAGCTTAAATAAAGAATTAATATAATATTTCAGCTAATATATCACTAATAGTTGTAATGCTGTGGAGGGGGCAATATTTATTCTATTTAGTATAACACTATCCCATTAGGCAGTTTTATTGTATCATCTGAAGCTAAGTACTAAGTGAGCATTGAGCTGGAAGTGAAATTTTGGTTGTTAAAATCCTCCTTTTTGTAGAGGGCAAACACCTGTCTTATAGTGGAACCATCTGTCACTTCTCAATGCCAGGCAAAGTTAGAGCATAGCCTTTTGAGCTACATACTGGTACCCTGCACAAGGGTAGATTTCCTTCAGCACATAAAATGGAGGCAGAGGTGTGACTGGGCCTTGATGCTTCTAACTCCTGCAAAGCTGGCAAGACAAATGAATGGTGTGGGAGCGCAGCAGAGGGACCATTACAGATATGGAAGAGAGTCTATGCTGTCAAAGATGCAGCCAATCTGAAATCTGGCAGTAGAGATTTAGTCCTCATACACCAGCAACTTGATGATCCAAGGGGAAGTACGTCAACTGAAATAGGGCATTTCATTACTGGGCACAGTCAAGTAGCTGCCAAGCTGCTTTTATGTGATCTAAAGCTCAGTTGACAGATACAGGAAAAAGTGCTGTCCTGTTCTAGCTAGTTTGAATCATATTGCCATTGCTTACACGCCTGGGCTTTGGCACGTGATCTTCTAGGCAAGTTCTTTCACCAAGCTCTTGCATTTGTTTCTAACCTCAAGAGCCACTGTGCTTCTTATTAGCAGAGTGCATCTGCTAATAAAGGGTGTTGATGATCTGTTTTCCTGATAAATCAGTATAGTCTTTCCCTGAAAGGGCCCTTCTACTACTGCACCAGTCCTCTGCTGAAGGCTACTGGAAATGCGCTGGAGTGTCTTATGCCACAAGTTCATGCAAGCATTGTGTAGCAGGCAAGACAGAGTAAATGATAACCTGTAGTGGATTTAGATACTGGAGTTTATTTATGAAGCAGTGAGATGAGAACTTTTACCCTACTAGTTTCTCGCACACTTGCTCACTGTCCCCCTGCCCCCTCCATCCTACCTCATGCCCCAGAGGGGACACCTTATTGCAAGTTAATAATACTTACCACAAAGGAGGAAGAATCCCAACTAAACTGAAGCTCATGTCTCTTGAAACTTGCAGTGACCTTGTTTTACTGGACAAAATATCACTTTTGTTAAGTTCTTACCCTGTTGGCCATATGCCTTGAATCCCTTTGAGTTTTAAAAAAATACTCTAATAAGGGAAGCAGCCTTTTGTGCTGGAGTAGAAATTTACTTCAAAGCACAGACTAATTAATCATTTTCAGCTGAATTGGATTGTCTTCCCACTCTGTCCTTTAAAGTTATTCACCTATTTCTCTTACAGTTCAGAACTGGTTTCAGAATAAGTAGGCAAATGAATCATAAATGAGGGAGACGGACATCTGGTTTGCCAGTTCCACAGAAAAACATGAGCTTACCTGAAACCAGGAATGGGGAAAATTTATTTGTAAATACTTGCAGGTATCCTCTCTCCTCTGTAAAATGTTTCTGTAGAAAGAAAGCTCTCTGCCATTTGTATTTTTTCCTTCTGCCCCTTCTCCCTTGAACTGTAGTCTGATTTTTAGAAATGCTCTTATAATGCTTCAGTCTGATAAGATGATAATTTCTTATGCTTAGTAGGGCTATTTATTTTTAAATTTTTATACACGGATATAGGTAGGACATGAACTAAAACTTTACCCAGTTCTTCACTTTTATGTTTTGAAATTAGACAAGAAGCTTCCCAAATGTGTAGTCTGGCCATTTAAAACTAAATCAGAACCAAATATTCTAAAATTTCATGTTGTTTTGATTTAGCCATGTGATACAGGAATCTGAAAACAAGACTAATGTAATAGGAGAGTCAAATAACTACCATAATTTTATGTATTGTAAAGAATAAGCTTTGGCTGTCTTTGGAAAATGAAAAGGCAGTTTTTATTTAACCAGACCAGATAAACTTATTCTGTGGTTCCAACATGGTTGGGAAAATATTTGTAAGCATTTCTAAGTTTACAAATAGTCAGAACTTTAAAAAAATTCACAACATCTAGATTCAAATTCTTGTAAGCTCATTTAATATATTTACTTATGTTGCTTGGGTTTTATTAATAGATGTGTTTCTAGGAAGTGAGTCCTAAGATTATCCAGTTGTAAAATTTGTTAGTACGAGTGTTTATTATCAACAGCATCTGGACTACCAAACTAACACAAAGAATACTATATGAATTATATGACCAGTAACAATCCCAACAGCAAAATTTTAATCTTGGTTTTCAAATTTTGAAATTTCTACTCTCTGTAGAAGTTCAGTGAACAGAAATAGTTAAAGTTGTTTATTAATTTCCAATGTCTTATTTTGCATGTCTGAGAATAGTTTCTTTGAAAGAGGTTAATTATTTTCAGTCCTGCATATTAGCAACTAATGCATTATAAAAAAAGTATAAATGTTAATTCTCAAGATAATCACGTTCCAGTTTATTGTTTCTGTTCAGTTTATCATCTTTTTTCCCTTTGGAATGATATTTTAATTGGTAAACCTCAGTAAGGTTTTATGTAGAAAATTCCACCATTTTGGAAGAAGTTTAATGTATCTGCCTGCATACCTGCCTATCCTTTTTACCTGGCTCTGTAACAAAGTAATTAGATACTCGTGCTGGTACATTATTATTTTTCTCTCGAAAGAGACTTCAAGTAAGTGATTTCTGAGAGTGTAAGTTGCTGGGGTCAGATATTTATCTGTTATAAAATATCATTGGTCCACTGATTTTTATACTGTTATAATAATTTAATAACTGATGACCTGGATTTTCTTGTGCAAAGCATATGGCTCTGCTTTAAGTAAGCAAATGCACTCAGCATGTGTTCTGTTAGTCTACTAACAGAAGGTAATGCAAAGTTACCTTAATTAGAAATATTGAAGTATCTCAAGAAGCACCAATGAAACATTCCCTAGAGCTGACAAAGCAAGATAATAAATTCATAGAATCATAGAATCAATTAGGTTGGAAAAGACCTTAAAGATCATCGAGTCCAACCATCAACCATGCCCACTAAACCATGTCCTGAAGTGCCTTGTCTACGTGCTTTTTGAATACCTCCAGGGATGGTGACTCAACCACTTCCCTGGGCAGCCTATTCCAATGTCTGCAACCCTCTCAGTAAAGAAATTTTTCCTAATATCCAACCTAAATCTCCCTTGCTGCAAGTTGAGGCCACTTCCTCTTGTCCTATCACCAGCCACCTGACAGAAAAGACCAGTACCCACCTCACTACAACCTCCTTTAAGGTAGTTGTAGAGAGCAATAAGGTCTCCCCTCAGCCTCCTTTTCTCCAGGCTAAACAACCCCAGTTTCCTCAGCCGCTCCTCATAAGACTTGTGCTCCAGGCCCCTCACCAACTTGGTTGCCCTTCTCTGGACACTTTTCAGCACCGCAATGTCTTTCCTGTAGTGACGGAATTATCTTTCCAGGCATAAATATTGGCGTGTTTCTTGGTAAAAGGTTTAGCCCTTTTATTTCCAGGGCTTAAAGGCATTTGTAGCAGCTGAATAGTGCAACATAGTCTATTGCCGGTGAATGAGTGGCAGCTTATTTCTGTACGTGTAAATAGAATATTGCACAGGGAAGGCATTTCCTGCCCAGATGGTATCTTGTTAAATGGTTAGATTCCTTCACCTTCACTTAAGCTGTCTGGATGTGCAACCATTAGTTTGTATTCATCAGCTGTTGAGTTTGCTGATACAAAAGGTGCCTATACATTTTGCACAATTCATATTTTGTGTGGGCTCTTGAAAATGTGGTCCTCTGTGGAAAGATCTGCATCATAAAGCTGTTACTAATATAAGGACTGGAGAATTTTTAAAAATCTATTTCTGAGGTTTTTTCTGCAGTTTTGTAGACATAGTTAGAGACCCTGAGAAAGGAATTGAAAGGAAATTAATTAGTATGCGCTGTTGCTTGGAAGAACTTAGTTCAAGTGAAATAATCTTTTTGGGTAGGAAATCAGATCTTTGCCTTGCAGAGTCACATGAAGACTTGTTCTCAGCCCCTGCATGAAGACACGTTTGGTGGACATCTGAAAGTTGGTTTAGCTCAGATTGCTGCTATGGAAATCACACGGGGAAACCACAGAGACAACAAAGCTGTGATCCGATATTTGCCTTGGCTTTACCATCCTCCTTCTGCGATGCAGCAAGGGTGAGAATGCTTTTCCACAAAAAAGAATACTAAAATGAGTTAGAAATCTTCACAAAATTCTGTGTTTATTGCCAGATTCCATAGATAAGACCCGCAGTAGGGAATGGTGGCCGTGGGAAATTGAAACAATTGGTCAGGAGCTCCCTGATCCTTAACTGAGGAGTTCATCAATCCAATATTTAGAGTACATGCCAAAGGGACAGTGGAGGTAACTCCATTGGCTTTACTGACATTGCCCTGGAAATTAACTTGATTCTCGATCTAGATACAGACAGTGAAAAGCACACAGGTACTTGATGAGTCCTAGAATTACAGAAAATATGTTGGGAATTACAGAGAATACAATGGGAAATGTCCTTTGAAATTATGGAGTACAAATGAGCAAGAACTGCAAGTGTAAGCCTATTGATATGTTGATAAAACTACTAACTTCATCTGATTAAAGTTAGATGAGAGAAATCTTGTTCTTTAAGACATGGTTTTTATCCCTTTTCACTGTGAGAAATCCTAATGTGCAGTGGTTTACCTTCAAAAAGAAGGGAGATACTGTCCCTGGTCTTACAGTGACAACAAATGAGGTGTTCTGAGTGTAGATCATTGGACTGTGTTTCAACAAACCTGTATTCTTGTCCCAGCTTTGTCCCCGTCTACCTGCCCCAGGATTCTGGGGACTCAGCTGCTTAGGCTCCAGTCCTGTAGATATGTCTGCATGTACTTTCATGTAGAGCATATGGAAATATGGAGTTATCATCTCCTCGCACTTTAGTTTCTTACATGTAAAAAAAGGAGTATGTGTCCTGAGTTGAAGGTAGTGAATTCCTTTAAGAAGAGCATCGTATCAGAGTCTATTAAAAAAAATAAATTAATGGAATACCTCTTTGGTTCTATGAGTCCTTGACAATGACATCAAAGTAGAAATTAAAAACAGTAGTGAGAGTGGCCTAGTAAGTAGTGATTTATTGATCAAAAAACAATTATTTTTTTCCTGTGCCTGTGAATTCAAATGAGTATGTGATCTGAACTTTGTAGCAGCAAGGCAGCAGACAAGATGACACCAGAAAAGTGCTATTCCCTTTTAGATTATAGAAGCACATTGCTTTACAGTTAGACATTGCACTAGATGGTAGATGAATACTTAATTGTCACAAAAAAGCATAGTCCCTGCCCTCAAAAGCATGCAGTCCAAATGTCCAAGGAGAGGCTAAGAAAAAGAGAAATTAACTCTACTTTACCAATGGAGAAGTGGAACACTGGAAGTAAGGCATGGTGCCTGCCTTGGAGCTCACTGTGGCATGAAGAAGTTCCTGCCATTGCCCTGTCAGCTGTGTGCTGTCTAGGGGAGCTGAGAGGAGCATTTCCACTTGGGCAACCCTTCCCATCTGATGATTTCTGTGTAAAAAGTCACTGTGTATGAAAGCAGTGAATCTGTGAATGTTTCAGCCTTTTATAGACATGGTTTCTTAGACCCACCAAATATGTTCCGTTGGACTTGTTGATGGTACGTCAAGTCCACTAAGTTCTGTGTGGTTCTCGTCTTCCCATAAGCTGTACCAATGATCTGTGCCTCCAGCACACTGAGACTGCATCTGCCTAGTGTGCATAAGGAGACTCCGTATTTTGGGGAAAACCAGAAAACTTAGCATCATTGTAAAATCTGCTTTTTCTTGACAGGCCCAAAGAGTTCATAGAATGTGTCTCACACATTCGTTTGCTGTCCTGGCTACTCCTGGGGTCTCTGACACACAATGTTGTCTGTCCAAATTCTCCATCATCTTGCATGCCTATTCCACTGGATGCAGGTTCACAAATTGCTGACCACCTTATTGTTATTCTGATTGGGTTTCCAGAGCAATCAAAGGTAAGGGTTCTGTGTTTTAAGTGGAGAATGTGTTATATATTGGCCTTATTATTGCAAACAGGTATTTATTTCTTCATAAGAAGAAAGGAGGGGTAAAACCTTATTAAAACCTTGCATCTAGGGAAAGAAATCTCTGTAGTTTTTCTTGCATAGCTGCCTCTTCATGCATAGAAAACTGGTGATGAAATCACTACAATTAAGTTTGAGATTCAACTATTTCAAAATATCTCAGCACAGGAGTGAGGAAGGAGAAACTGAATTCCAAATTGAAGCTTTAGCAATGACCATCTCTGTAGCAAATCTCTCAGTTATTTATTATAGTTGTATAGTAGAATTGGATAACCTATAAATAATGTTATGATCAAAAGTTAATTACAAACAGTGATGGTTCAAGCACAACTTTTTTTCTCAAGCTGCTCTGGACAAGAAGAGTTATTGCAAATCGTAAGCCATTTGTGACAGTAGTTTAACACAGATATAGCAGCACTCGTTGACACCAATCAGGTTTTTATTAGCAACAGAAGCAGAATGATCACACATTTATCTCATACGTAAAATCCCCCTTTCTTTCCCCTCACCCAGCCAAGACACTGGTGCTTCCCATTCATTTCTTTGGCCTTTTTTTTCTCTTTCAAATACCTCTTTCCAGTTACCAAGCAACCATTGCAATGTTTGGTGCAGTCATACTACCACAGAGCATGAATCACTGTTGCACTTGCAAGCTGAGAAAACATCTCTACCAGAAGCATCTTTCTTGTAATGAAGTAGTTAATGTCCAGCACTCCTGGAGGCTCAGACACTGTGATATATAACACATATAAGCAAAGAGCCATGCTTGAGTATGCAAAATGAATTCTCTGTTAGCTTTTTAAAACTTACTTTCCTTGACTGTGAGAAGTTCTGTCCCAGCAAGCTAGAAATGGATGACAGATTAACAGAACAGATGTAAGATGGTGTATTTGGTATGATAGCGTTCCTTTCACATGATCAGAATCTGAATGATTTACTGCAGCAGCATTTTTGAAATGCAGTCATACATGCCAGAGCCTCCAGGCCTTCCACAGTCCTGAGTTGCTGTTCTGCAAAACTAACCTTCTCTATAAAGGGACTGACCTTAATGCCATACAGTAAGACTGCATGGGAGTGTGTGTTTGCAAATGCAGTTTTTAGTCTGTAAATATAAAACCAGTTTTTAAACATGGAGAAGATGTTATCAAGGGTACTTGACTTACTAGTTTCTCATGGGAGGGAAACATGTGGGAAAGGGAGGGGCAAGACTGCACAGTGGGGTGCAAGACAGAGGATGGTGAAAGCATCTGCACTGTATCCCAATACACTTACTTAAATAAACATTTTCCTCTATTTTCTGTTTCTACAGACATCTGTTCTGCACATGTGTTCCCTCTTCCATGCATTTATATTTGCTCAGCTCTGGACGGTGTATTGTGAACAAACAGCAGTAGCTCCAACAGTCCAGAATCAGAACGAATTTAGCTTTACAGCAATCCTTACAGCCCTGGAGTTCTGGAGCCGAGTGACACCTAGCATCCTACAGCTAATGGCACATAACAAAGTGGTGAGTCAGGTGCTGTGTACAGATTTAGTACAGATTAAACTCTGAGGGTTTGGCTTTGTTTCAGTGGAATACATCAAGACTATGAATAACGTCATAAAGCAGCTTTGATGCTTTTGAGAAATTAAAGGGAAGGCCAATTGGTAGTGATTTAACCTTGCAGTGGGCCTGAAAGGATCTAGCCAGGATCTGCCCGAAACAGAATCAAGAGCTAGAGTCACTGCTTATTGGATTAAGGGCTCCCTGCATCAGGTCTCATTTCATGTATCTTCCTGCTCTTCACAGTGGTCCTATTGTTTCATCTGACTCGGCCTTACAGGAGCAACCAAGTGTTTTAGGATAATTCTGTGGATATCCATTTGAATATTTTTTACCACATGATGGTGAAAAAATACACAAATGCTGACACTTGACTACTCATAACCCATTGGTTACTCATCAAAAATAAGCTACACAAATATCTCTGGAAACGTTTTTGAGTAATGAATGACTTGAAGGAGGTATCTCTAGAGATAAGGTTTGAAAGGGAAATGTTCACTCCATCCAGAAATTGTCCAGACCATTTTTTGGAAATAAGTTTTAAGCATTTATTTATCCCAACCACTCACTGCTGTTGGAGGAGCTTTGTACAATAAGAACCCAGAGGGATTCCAGCAGCCTTTTCATAGGTGCTACCTTTGCTTCCCGTTGACTAATGATTCTCTGTGCCTGCAGGCTTAGGGTTGAGAGCTTGTTTCTAATGAGCAAGATGTGTTGTGTTTCCTGCTTCCCAGAAAGTCATGACAGGTCTGTCATGACTTGTCAAAACTTTTTAACTTTAACTGAGATGGTAACTAGTAGCTCTGGCTCTGGAGAACTTGATATTAGCTTTGAGAGAGAAAGATTCTTTATATGTGGCCCAGTCCTCTAAGTCAGGTGCTCCTAAGGTTTGGGATTTTCCTTTTTTCTTTGTTTTTTTTTTTCTTTTTTAAATGGAGACCTGCTATCTATATGGAAATTATTTTATGTAAATCCCCTTTCCCCATGTGAAACATCTTCCACTCCAGGCAGGTATGGACCTTTGCCCTTTCAATTGTAATTGCATGGGCTGCACTTGAATGTCTTTGAACCAGTTACTATTCCCTTGTCTTGTCCATAACAGGCAAGGACCACCTAAAGCTGTCTTTAAATTATATTTTAGCCTCTGACATCTAGTGAGGTCTCTGTGGTTGATAAGCCACTGTTGGCAACAGTAGTTCATGAAGCTCCATTTGAATGAATGGGAAATTTGCATAATGCTTCTAACTAGCCAGTTGTTTAGTCAGACACAAAGGCTTCTTGTCAAGCCTTAGAACAAGAATATGACCTGGAAGTTCTAATCCTTATTCTGAAAGTATCTCATTATGTGGCTTTAGTGCAAGTTATTAAACACTCTGCCTCAGCTATTGCTCTGTGAAATGTAGATAATAATACTTGCCCATCTCACAGGGCTGTTGTGAGGTTAATTAGTTAGTGTTTGTAAAGCGCTTTGAAGATGAAAAGCACTATGTAAAAGCTAAGTTTATTATTATCAAGGGGAATTTACACATAGTTGAGACAGGCACTGTAAATACTGCTGGTTCAGGGTATTTGTCTTGTACCTATGAATTTACACAATATAAAACATAAAATGCTGTCTACTACCAAATAACTGATATTTGCATCTGTCATAATTCATGGTACAAAATGGAAGAACTATGGACTAGCTGCCAGTTCAGAACAATAAATTGTCTTTTGATGGGGGGGGGGGAAGATGTTTTTTGTGGGTATGCTAATTTTCAAAGATACAGTAAATAAAAATATCAATTTCTGACACACTGATTGATGAGAACTACACAGCAAAGGCATGTAAAAGGATTTATGATGTCTGAAAGAACAAAGCTGAAGGCAACTTGTTTTGATGTGTGATACGAATTAAAATACATCAAGCACTTTGAAATATTTAACAGATAGGTGTTGCTGCATCAAGGGAAACTAAATAAAGAAAAATGTCCTTTATATGCTCATGTAATATTTAATCTTATATGTCAGTGGTTAATAAATGCATATCTAGTGATTCAGTATAATTGCCAAGCAAATACAGGAAGATTCTTTTTAGAGACTGTTGGCTGAGCTTACAACACTGTTATGCTGGACACTAATTTGTTTTTATGCTTTTTTTTTTTTTTTTCAAGATGGTGGAAATGGTATGCCTGCATGTGATTAGTTTAATGGAAGCTTTACAGGAATGCAACTCTACTATCTTTGTAAAGGTAGGCATACCAGACCATGAATATTTAGTTAATGATGTTCCCTAGCTATTGTGATTTCTAGACATACTGTCCTCTGCTTCCCCTCCCACCCAGAAAAAGAAAGTGGAAGAAGCTGAGATTGAATGCTAATGCAGAAATAAAACCTAGGAAAGCATAACATGAAAAGTAAGGAAGTGATTGGAGACAGCCAACATGGCTTCATTAAGGGCAAATCATGCCTGACAAATTTAGTGGCCTTGTACGATCGGGTTATAGCGTTGGTGGATAAGGGAAGAGCAACGGACATCATCTACCTGCACTTGTGCAAAGCATTTGACACTGTCTTGCATGACATCTTTGTCTCTAAATTGGAGAGACACGGTTTTGATGGATGGACCACTCGGTGGATAAGGAATTCGCTGGACGGTCACACTCAAAGAGTTGTGGTCAATGGCTCGATGTCCAAGTGGCGTTCCTCAGGGGTTGGTACTGGGACCACGCTGTTTAACATCTTCGTTGGCGACACGGCCAGTGGGATCGAGTGCACCCTCAGTGAGTTTGCCGACGACACCAAGCTGTGTGGTGCATTTGACACGCTGGAGGGAAGGGATGCCATCCAGAGGGACCTTGGCAGGCCTGAGACGTGGGCCTGTGCGAACCTCATGAAGTTCAACAAGGCCAAGTGCAAGGTCCTGGACATGGGCCAGGGCAATCCCAAGCACAAATACAGGCTGGGCGATGAGTGGATTGAGAGCAGCCCTGTGGAAAAGGGCTTGGGGGTATTAGTGGATGAAAAACTGAATATGAGCCAGCAATGTGCGCTCGCAGCCTGGAAAGCTAGTTGTATTCTGCGTTGCATCAAAAGAAGCATGACCAGCAGGTCGAGGGAAGTGATTCTGCCCCTCTACTCCGCTCTTGTGAAACCCCGCCTGGAGTACTGCGTTCAGCTCTGGGGCACCCAGCAGAAGAAAGACATGGACCTGCTTGAGCGAGTCCAGAGTAGGGCTATGAAGATGATCAGGGGGCTGAAGCACCTCCCCCCTGTGAGGACAGACTGAGAGAGTTGGGGTTGTTCAGCCTGGAGAAGAGAAGGCTCCAGGCAGACCTTATAGTGGCCTTCCAGTACTTAAAGGGGGCCTACAGGAAAGATGGGGAGGGACTCTTTATCAGGGAGTGAAGTGATAGGACAAGGGGTAATGGTTTTAAACTGAAAGATGGTAGATTTAGATTAGATATTAGGAAAAAAATCTTTACTGTGAGGGTGGTGAGGCACTGGAACAGGTTTCCCAGAGAAGCTGTGGATGCCCCATCCCTGGAAGTGTTCGAGGCCAGGTTGGATGGGGCTTTGAGCAACCTGGACTAGTGGAAGGTGTCCCTGCCCATGGCAGGGGGGTTGGAACTAGATGATCTTTAAGGTCCCTTCCAATGCAAACCATTCTGTGATTCTGTGATTCTATAACAAAAAATAAAATCTCTGGTAAGAAGTAAGACCAGACCATAATCTCAAATCCAAGTTCTTCTGATTTTTTTTTTTTTTTTTTAAATGAACTTCTGATCTTCTTCCTCCTTCCGTTGCTGCAATGGTCTTATTCCTCTAATAGACTCAAGTGGTGTCACTGACTTTAAGAACCTCTCGGTAGTCTCTGAATTTTCAGCCATTCTGTAACTTAATCATCATAGGTCCTTTGCAGATCACTTCACTGTTCTGATCCTATCATTCTTGATAACAAAAACTTCGTGCCACAGTGGTTTTCTTATTATATGCCTATGTGTCTGTCTTAGTCAAATACTATTTGATAGTCCATCTTCCCCTACAATGTGTGGCAGGGTATTCTTTGATTAGAGAATCAAATCCTGCATGGTCCATTCATGTAAAATTCTTTTTTTTGGAAATCAGTGGAAATCAGCATTTTCAGAACTGATGCCCAAAGGATTGGAGTAGTCTCACAAGCATAAATCGTTTTCACTAGCCTTTTTTACATGTTTTCCCATTGCATTATTCTGAAGGGAGTTTTCACATAAAATATCAACAAATCAAGTATTTAAATGCACTCTGAATCTAACTGAAATATGTTGGTTTATATAGTTCTTCTGTTGCCCTAAAGGAAACTTCTGACTGTTGTTTTACTCCAGTCTTTTATGGTCAAGCAGGAATTGAAAATAAAGTAGCTAAAATTAAAGGTCTTCATGTTAACTGGCATGAAAGTATTCACACTCATTGTGAAAATACAGATTTATAGTCAGTAATTACTTGATTCACTATAGAAACTCTGTCACTATGGGATGTTAAAGTGATCATGGCTGTCCCTGGAAGACATGGGCTTCTCTTTCAGCCAATCCAGGATGTCCAGAATTTGACAAGGATGAAGAATGGCTTTAAAGCTGTGAGAAGAGAGGCCTTTAGGGCCAAATTCCTGTCACAATTCAAATGAATGCTTTCAGGGGGTTATATTTGAGAGTATATATCAATAATATGCTAAATCAGGTTAAAAGGACATTGTTACTACAAAATCAATCTTATAAACCTGTGAAATTCAGAGGTAAAAGTGCTAAGCTTTCTTTCATGTTCAGTGGGTGGGAGATGGAAGAGTAGAATCTGGTTGACCAAATCCGCTTTACTTAGCCCTAAAGTGAAATCCTGCAGGAACAATATATATACATAGTGGTGTTATAGAATTTGTAGTCCGAGGTTACTTTTTTTTTTTTTTTCCAAAACTAACTAATTGCAAAAAAATTTATTGTGGATCTGAAAAGTAAGTGTCATGATTTTGGGGAAGGACTGACTGTATGTTTGAAGTCCTTCAAAGAGCCAAAAGTGTAAAGCTAATTCACACAGGAACCAGTAAGTGAGTGGCATCTGTGTAATTTAAAAAAAGATCAGCTTTGAGACTGTCTCTTCTTCAGTGGCTCTGAAGAAGACCTGAACTTTGTTACTCCTACTTCAGAAGTCTGCAAGGATGATAATTCTTTGAATATTACTTGACTGGGCAGTTTTTTGGTGGTTTGTTTTATGCTAGACAATCTTCTATTGCCCTGCCTTTGATAATGAAACCATTTTATCTTGTGTTTTAAAGCATTTTTTAAATTTTATTTTAGATACAAGCCTTTCAAACAAGGTTTAGTTTTCACTGAAGGAAAGTACATAGTGTAGTGAGAGAGATTTTTAAAACAGAACATTCTTAACAGTCTTCTGGAGATTCGTTCAGCAAAATTAATAATTCCCAATGACTTCCTCTTGGAACTGAGTACAGTAGCACTGATAAATCCTGACCTTTTATCATTCATATATTTACTGCAGTGTCTTTTATTCCACCTACAGAATCAGGTGCCGCAGAAACTTCATTTGTTAATGAAGTCATTGCATGATTCAACACACATGTATTTTTAATGCACCACAATGAGAAGGTGGTGCATGTCACATGATGCCAGGTGGTTTATGGGATGGCTGTCTTAGGTGGCCATTTTCTGTATGACAAGTGAGGGGAAAATACGTCCTAAAACAAGAGAGAAAGAGAACATGTAAACAGTTCAGCTTTCCTTCACTGAAAGAAGAGCTTTATACCCAAGATAAGCACTCCTTCATCTCCTCCTTGTGTTGGTGCTGTGAGGTTTCCTCTTCCTGGTACTGTGTTGGCCTTTGCTATTAAATTGAACTCTCACTGATAGCATTGACATGTCTTTGAGCCATTCTATGTATTCTCAGAGGATATTTTTTTGATCTGATGTTAGACTATCTTTACCAATCTGCCAAGGAAAACAAAGTTTCTTTCCTGTGAAAACATTTCAAGTGTTATGTATTTATTTTTCTTTTTAAGTTGGAGATAGATACATATACACACATTTACACAGATGCACACATACTCACATATATATTTAATTCATTATATTTTCCTCTGAGGGGAAGCATTCTGCTTTAGGAGGGCTAAAATGAAAGTGTTCAGCTTTCCTTCTGTGTCAAAGGAACTGGGAAAATAGACATCCCAGGACAGCCACTGATGATGGAGACCAGCTCCTTGCTTATCACAGCTCTCTGTCTGACCATCAGATGTATGTCTGAGGAATTTAGGAGCCTACAGCAGATAAGGGAGCAGCTCAGCAAACTGCAATGTCTTTTCCAGTCACCTAGGGGTTTTAGGCAGCTCCAGCAGCTGCTGGGTAGAATTCTAGAGAACTGGGTAGGCAGCAGAGTTGGGGAACCAGAAAAGCACAGTGACCAACCTGTTCTCCAGCCTGGTTTCCATCAAAACTTGCACTGGAATCAACATAATTCTGTTGAAAATATGAACTCAAAAAAACTGACAGTATCTGACAGCAGTCTGTTCTTCCAGCTGTTCTTTCTAACTAGCTTTATGTATTCTTCCTTTGTGAAGAAAAGACTTGCTGGGGATTAGGTTATAAACCTCAAGTACTTCAATAAAAATGTCTTCTTGTCTCATTTATCTAACTGGAAGCTGTAGGAGTGGAGGGTTTGCTTGCTTGTGCCTGCAGCAGAATGTTTTGTTTCCCTAAATGTGTCCAGACCCTGAAGACAGAAGTGGCAATGGAGGACAATGATCTGTATCTAACCTTAGACCTCTACAGTGTAGATATCAATAGTTTCCCTGAGTGCCCTTTGTAGTCAGTGGAGATAAACAGGTATTTTTGGACATGATTCATCTTGATCTATTTTAGATACCTGCTTTGGGACAAGATGAACTGGATGTGAGAAGTGCTTGATTCTCTCAGCTGACTGTAAAAGATGTCCAGTGAATTGGTTCAGATGCAGAGGGGTACCTTGAGTATTCTGCCTAGCTTCCCTCCTTGTTTGACATACTTCTGACACCAGTCCTGTCACCACTGGCTAGCTCCAGAGGAACTTCATTAATGCTGGATGAAATTTTCAGTGATGTTTTGTTGATGGCAGTGGGGCATGGAGCATGGCTTCTCAGTATGCTTACCTGTTCTCTGCTTTCCAAAAAACACATCAGGACTTGCAGTCACTGGATCTTATTAAGCACTTCATTAGTGTGAGAGCCCATGGAAGGATGTACAGAACTCGCATGTCTGCTGCATCTGGCTGCATTCCAGCTGTTTTGGCATTCATCTATCTGTAAATGCTGAGGTTTGAATATGGTTCTTCATGTGGTAGACTAAGTAATCAGTCCTGACAGCACTGCATATGATTCTCCAGCAAAACAGCATTGAAATTGAAACAATTATCGTTCCTTGCACAAGGGAAGCAGCACTTTATCTAATGTTGTCAATAGTGATTAGGTTTAACTTGCAGCTGCCAGTAGCATAATTGGCAAATTGCAAATTTTAATGCCATTTGGAGGAACATTTTAGAGCAATAACCTTGGTGGTTAAATTAATATTGGAGAACATGAATACTTTTGCTAGAAATGCCTCTCTGTCTTCCATAAGCTTGTCATGTTATACTTACTCAGAAATAAAAGTTCTCTGAAGAGCAGGAGACTGAAATACCTATCAAGCCAATCATGGGTGACAGATTCACAGACCTCCTTGCCGTCTTGTTCTGGATAGTTAAGAGTTTTTACCTGTGCTCCCAGGCCTACAGGTCACATTCTGCAGTGAAGCACTGATGTGGCTAGTGGTTTATAAAATGTTGGTTACCATTTAAATATCTGGCCTATTATTAGGAACTTCTGCTGCATATTTGTCAGTTCTTGACGTAGGCCTCGCCATGCAGAATGTTTACTGTATTTATTGCAGTATTGCTCACCTGCACATACAGAAACATCCTCACACGGAAAATAAGAAGTGATTTCCTTTAACAAGTTTTTATTCTGTACTCTCACCGTTGCCTTAAACAGGGTATCAGTAATTGCTACTGGTGATTCATCAAGCTACAAACAAGGGAAGCTGGCTTCTTTACCTCTGAGAGTTACCTGCCCCAAAACATATGCATCATTTAAAAATAACCACGTTTTCAGATTTGTTGTTCAGGCTATGTCCATTCAGACAGCTAAATGGGTTAGATATACCCATCTCTGTCTCACAGTAACTGGAGCATGTTTACAGTCACTTGTATAGTAACAAAATATACCTCTCTTCCTACAGCTCATACCAATGTGGTTGCCAATGATACAGTCAAATCTAAAGGTAAGTTGTTTCTAATACCTTATCCTTTTATTCTTAGTGTTATACATTTCTGTAAATTCTGGAAATAAAATCATTAGATGTGGTCTCCAGACTCTCTGAAAATAGATCATTGTAGTGTATCCAGATGCACTGGATGGCTCAGCACTGAAGGTCTCAAGTGTGAGCATCATCAGCTAAGATACTTGTCCTGTAATCAGTACTGCTCTCCCTTTCCCTTCTGAAACACTTTCTTCTAACAGGTTCTGCGGCAGGGCCTTTTCTCCCTGTTTACTGAGATTGGTTGTTCCCTGAGCTGTGGTTTTCTTGATGTCTTAGGCCTGAGAGTCCCCTGACAAATCAGGATTGGGACTCTCAACTCAGGAGATTTGGGTTTTGTAGCAGATATTGTGGGCCTGCTTGCTTGGGTGAAACTGCTGGCCCTGTTTGTAAGAGAGAGCAAGGTGGATCAGTGTGGCTTGCCAGTCAAGAGAATTCTGGTGATGAGACTAAAAGTGTTGGAGTTAGTCTCACTATGGAGTTCTTTCTGTAAGCACATTGGCCTTTCATGGCAACACTACAGTGCAGGATGTGGAAGAAAAAAATGTGACACTGGGGCAGTGGAAGAACTTTCCCTGGCCAACAACCAGTACCGTTCACAGTGCTGTATTAATATATGTATTAAAGGAAGGAAACTGAATGTTTTGCATTATTTCAACAGCATTTATCTGCTGGACTTCAGCTACGCCTCCAAGCCATCCAGAGCAATGTCAACCATCACAGCCTAAGGATGTTACAGGGGTCAGGACAAATGAACAATAGCTCATCTGTGCTCCGCAAATGGCTACAGTGTACCCAATTTAAAATGGCTCAAGTGGAAATTCAGTCGTCAGAAGCTGCATCTCAATTTTATCCTTTGTGATTCATGTAATTTGTTCCAAATGTTCATTTTTAGCCTAGCAATAACAGGGTTAGAGCTGTAAAAGACCTTTTGTATAAATCAGTATACAGAGTATATACTGTATCTATACTTTTTAGCCTAGGACAGATTGTGGAAAAGCTTATAATGGGTGAAGCTAAGAGCCTGATCCTGCCAGTCTTTAATGACACTTACTCAGGATCAACAGGTTCTCAAGTCTGCATTCATGAACACGTATTTGCAGGATTGGACTCAAATCTATCACGTTGTACATATCTCTCTGATCATTGAAATATCTTGTTCTTAAATGTTTCTTTACATTATTTTTTGAAGCTAAGACAAAAATCACTTTTCTTTAACTTCTATTTTTTTTAAAAATAGAATTGTGGTTATTCACAAACATATGGAAGTGCTATGTTGCTATTTTTTGATGATAACAAAAGAAAACAGGGGTTTTAGGAACCTTTATAGGAGTTGGGGGGGTGTCTTTTTTTTTTTTAGATTCACAGCTGGCAAGGCAATAAAACCTGTCACTATAAAACAGTGATATTATAATGAGGCTTTTTGTCATCATCTTCAGGGGAAACAGCAGCTTGTAAGGAGAGTTATTATAAAGTGCACTTAGAAATTAGGTTGTTAAACTGTGCCAATTCATTTGTCTTTTTCTTCAGTACTGTTTTCCAAAACTGCCAAGTCTGATTTATTATTTTTTGAAATACTGCTTTTACTTCATTGATTCTGTGCTGCTCTTCTTTGTAGGTTTCATAGAAGCCTCTTTAATTTCGTGACTACCGTATTGTATTCTTCTGTCAATACTTGTACACGGTGCAATTAAAAATTGATATCCCAGACCTATTCTTATTGATGTCTACAGAAATTATGTTGCAGACTTCAAGAGGAGCATGATTGGACCTGAGCTTTTGCATAATGATATTTACAAATCACAGCATTTGCATACTATTGTATTAAACATGACGTTTAATAACAGATGGATTTTAATATCATTAAGGGACTCAGCCAAAGGCTATTGGAATCTAAGGAGACTGAATTAATTATTGAATTAATTTTCAGTGGATTTTACATAAAATCTTGAGAGCACCATGATTTACCACCTCTGTGCAATCACAGTTGTATTTTCTGTATTTATTTCTATAATGCACTGATTGGAAGAATAACAAACACACGTTTAAGTTGTGTATTAGAATGCTATTAAATTCCTAGTCTTTATTACCACTCTCAGAATCAACCTTTTTCCTCTCTGATTGCATGGAAGTGGAAAGGCATACCTGTAAAGAACTGCCTGAGTACATTTCACTTGTTGTGGAGGGTCAATCTTTCCTCAGTGCATTTACCAAAGAAAAAATTGAAATGTTTGCAGATATGCTATTAAAGTGCCATTATGCTTTTAAAAAAAAAACCCAAACCAATGAACCAAACTAACCAACCAATCAAATGAAAGATAGTAAAGCATGTGCTAGCTTGCTTAAAAGATGCCCCTCTGTGTGTTGCAGTGGAGAGAAACTGATTTGGCTTTCTCAGATTCACACATTATTGGAGTCTAAGCTTAAACTGGACTGACTATCTAAAAGAAAATCTAAGATTCATCATAAGCTATTTAATTGTAACTAGTTTTGCTTGTATTTGCTTGAGGTGAGTGACTTGCATCTGACTAAGCAGAGTTTCTGAGTTTCTGGAAAACATTTCTGTCTTGATGTGAAGATTATTAAGAGATCCACGAGATGATAATTTCTCAGTGTTTCAGGCATTGATTTTTGTCATGCTGAATTGAGATTGCACAGACCTGCATGCATTGATAAGGGAGGGCTTCTTCCCAAATTTTCATAGTGGTAAGAGAGGGAGATAGCGTTTTCTTTTCCCAGCTTTTGACTGGCTATGGGGAAGAAAGAACAAAGTGATACAGAAATGATTATACATGTTCCCATCCCTTCCTTTTTCCCCTCCCTTGTCACTTAATAATCAGCTAATAGTCATTACAGAATCACAGAATGGTTGAGGTTGGAAGGGACCTCTGGAGGTCATCTGGTCCCACCTCCCTGCTCAAGCAGGGTCACCTAGAGCCAGTTACCCAGGAACATGTCCAGATGGCTTTTGAGTATCTTGAAGGTCGAAGACTCCACAACCTCTCTAGGCACCCTGTGCCACTGCTCAGTCACCCTCAAAGCAAAAAAGTTTCCTGATGTTCAGACAGATTCCTGAAGGCCGGTCTTGCCAGTAAAGACTAAGGCAAAGAAGGCATTCAGTACTTCAGCCTTTTCCATGTCCTCTGTAACCAGGTACCCTGTCTTATTAAGCAGTAGGGCCACATTTTCCCCCATCTTCCTTTTGTCACCTGTGTACTTACAGAAGCCCTTCTTGTTGTCTTTGACATCCCTTGCCAGGTTCAAATCTTGCTGGGCTTTAACTTTCCTGACTTCATCCCTGGATGATTGGACAGTGTCTCTCCATTCCTCCCAGGATAGCCATCCTTGCTTCCACCCTCTGTATGCTTCCTTTTTGTGTTTGAGTTTGGCCAGGAGCTGCTTGTTTATCCACACAGGTCTCCTGGCTATTTTTTTTGCCTGACTTTCAACTCATTGGGATGGATTGCTCTTGAAGAGCTTGGAAGAGTTTATCCTTGAATATTAGCCATCTTTCTTGGGTCCTTCTTTCCTCCAGGGCCTTATCCCATGGGACTCTTCTGAGCAGATCTTCGAAGATGCCAAAGTCTGCTCTCGTGAAGTCTAGGGTTGTGAGCTTGCTTTTTACCCTTCTCCCTCCCCTCAGGATCCAGAACTCCACCATCTCATGGTCACTGCAGCCAAGGCTGCCTTTGACCTTCACATCCCCAACAAGCCCTTCATTGTTGGTGAGTATGAGGTCTAGCAGAGCACCTGTTCTCATTGGCTTCTCTATCACTTGGGGGAGGAATTTGTCATCGATGCACTCCAGGAACCTCCTGGATTGTTTCTGCCCTGTGGTGTTGTCCCTCCAGTAGATAACAAGGTGGTTGAAGTCCTCCATGAGGACCAGGACCTGTGAATGTGAGGATGCTCTTATCTGTCTCTTTAGGGCCTCATCCACTTGTTCTTTCTGGTCAAGTGGCCTATAGCTGACACCCACTGCAATGTCACCCCTACCTGTCTTCTCTTTAATCCTTACCCATAAAGTCTCAGTTGGCTCCTCATCCATCCCCAGGAAGAGCTCCATGCACTCCAGCTGCTCTTACAGAAAGGACAAGTCCCCTCTCCTTCAGCCTATCCTTGCTAAAGAGCCTGTATCGCTCTGTTGCAACACTCCAGTCATGGGAACCATCCCACCACATCACTGTGATCCCAATGAGACTGTAACCTTGCAGTCTCTGCACACAGATCTCTAACTCATTATGTTTATTCCCCATACCGTGTGCATTAATGTACAGGCACTTCAGAGAGACCCCTCAGCATGCTGATTTCCCAAAATGGGTTTTGGGGATTTCTCCATAATGGTGCCCTGTAGGCATTTCCTTGCTTACATGCAAAATGCTGGTGGTGATCCTGGTTGAGCCCCATTTTGTTGATTTTGTGATCCCTTCCTGTCACATCGCCCCAGGCCTTTTGTTCATCGAACCTGTCTGTCACTGCCTCACAGAGGTGCAGTTCAAAACTAAGTGGGAGGCAGTTGTAACTTTGGCCTTCAGGCAAAAAGGAGCTGTGGACCGTGTTTTCAGTGGGACTGACTCCTTCTGTTCCTGGGCTGTGTCTTCTTCATGTTCGTGTCTGCAATACAGATGACAACTTTGCTGGGTAACCATGTAAATAGGGCCCAGGTTCACTTATTGTGGGGTCTGGGGTCACCCTAGTGGAATGGAAATGCTATTGGGCCCTTGAAAGCAGGACATGTAGGGGAGAGAGATTTTTGTATTTTGATCTACTGTGACCTGGTGAATGTGAAAGACAACTGAAAGGCAAGGAGAGGGAGGGAGTATGAGGCCCTTGGGTGTGAGGTGGGTGAACTCAGATGGGTATAATGGGGATTGTGGAAACTTAGGGGATGAAGACAGATGATTTACAGGGAAGAGAGAGCCTGAGAAAGTTTGTCTTTAAAAGTTGCTTGTAGAAAGTAGAAGCCATGATCAGGCATCTCACTCAGTAGGTAATGAATGTAGGCAACATGGCACAAGCAGTTTCCCTGCCTAGCAAAATTTCTGCTTCAAAGCATCTAGTATTCAGACAGGCAAAACACAAAAAGAATGCAAATATAGCGGTGGGTACTTACTAAAGTTAAACACAAGCCAAAACCAGACCTGCTGAATCCAGGTCCATAACTAAACACTTAAAGACTTTGTGGGAATTTAGATCTAGTTTCAGCTCAGGGTTTAGAGATAAGAGCTGGTCACAGAATCTACTTCTGTGTCTGAACATAGGGTTTAGTATGGATCTCTCACTGATTATAATTAATACGGTTCTTACAGAGCTGTTATATGTAAGCAAACTAAGACTGTAAATATGAATTGAGGAGCTGCTTTAGCATAGAGAATATAGCCTGGAAGATGGTACGACCAATGATTAGGGATGTGTTGACTAATGTAACAAGTAACATGGGGCTTGGCCAGATGTGTGTGGTTTAACACCTCATGAAAATCTCTAAGTGCATTCTAGGCATCTTCAGAAGTACAGAAATCTGCACTAATTGTTTTTAAAAGCACTGTAAAATATATCTTTACAGTGCCTGAGGTCAATAGACAACTCAAGTGAGTCACTCACATTATCGCTCTGAAATAGCCCAGAGCAGCAATTCTTTACATTCTGTAGGAAGATTAGGAAGTAAACAACATTTGGTGTTCCCTGAAAATGCTACCAAATAACAGAGGCCAATCTTCCTGCTCTGCCACACTCCCAGCATGGCTGTGTCTCTGGGGATGTCACCAGGAACAGAATCTGTTCTCTGTCTGATCATAGAGAGCTGCTGTTTAGGAACAGCATTTAGTCATCTGTTGCAATAAGCTGCTTAAATCAATGCCTGTTACCAGGCCTGACCTAGTAAAAGAATCAATTTACTGTGCGCTGAACTGTGAAATTTTCAACAAGGTGGTGCACTTTGGATGAAGCGATGGTTAAAACCCCACCCCGGCCATGGCATGTCCTACCGCCGAATTACATAACTCGGTGTCCTGAAAGCAAGGTTAACGTCTACGCTGGGCACCTCCCAGTGCTTTCCTGCTGCCTGTTGAGAAAGCTGCTGTCTGAGCTACATGCAGGGTTGCACAAACAAAAGGCTTTTGCAGCACATCAGCTACTATCTACATACGTGCCTTATCTTATACATGACATTTCTGTAACATCTCATTAGAGCTGTGGCAGGTCAGAAGCCCTAAAATCACACAGTCAGTTTTGTGGCTCTGTTTTTCGTGCGATGACAACAGTCAATGTGCTGTAGGACTGATGAACGTTCTGGGCCTGAAAATCTCTCTGAACTTCGGCCTGCATGGCCTCCTTTCAAGCTGGATGAAGATTACCAGAGCCCAGGGCTGTTTAGTCTTTGCTAGTGCATCCTGGAAAAGAGCTCTGCAGCAAAGGTTCCTGCGCTCTTCCCCCAGCTGCACGCAGCTCTGGGAGGGTTTCGTCCACTGTTTTTCTTGTTGCATCTTAATGTGACTCTTCAGCAGGGCCGAAGTCTATATTCTTCCAGCAGGATCTGAATCTTGATTGCACGAGGGCTGTTTAGTCAACAATGTGGGTCTTTGTCTTAGCAGTCTGCCTAAAATCAGGTGGCGGCAACAGCATTACAGTTGGCTTAAAGTCGACATGCTGTTTGTTTGGCTTGATGCAAATTTGAAAGGAAGGGCTCTGCATTTGTCTGTTGATTTATAACTCTGAATTAAA